CGGGTCACGAGTGGGACCCTTTCTTTAATTAGTAAAAAAAAACAATGGTTTAAATTATGAAAAAAGGATTTTTATTTTAGTAACTCCCATTAAATTTTTTTTTTTCGTTTCCCATTTTTTTATTTATGACCATTAATGTATTTACTTTGTTAATTTATATATTAATCCGGGCCCCTAGTGATGAGGGGACCGGTGCGGAGGGGGGGGGGGGACCACTGGGGCCTCTCGTGTGTGATGTGTTTTTAAAAAAAAAAAAAACAATATAAGTAAAAAAAAACAATCCAGGGGAAGTGACCAACCACCTCCCCATCCACAAAACTATTTAAACATTTTATTGAAAATTGACACAGTACCAACGGGGATTTCGATGAAAAAACCTCGGGACCACCCACCCCTTTTACAGTTGCACTTGTCATTACTTTCTGTTTTCCATGTGGTGTCATAAGGTGGGTTATTATTCTATTTAGTTAAAAAAAAAAACCTCCCCCACAAACTAAAAACTTGTCCCTTCTTTGTTTACGGTCTATTGCATAAAATTGTAAATATTTTTGCAGGTGTATCTTTCGCCCGTCCCGGCCTTTGCGCCCCGCGGGCCACCCCTTCACCCCCCCCCCCCAACACCCACGGGTCCCACATCGTAAAAAAACAGGGGAGGGGGGGGGGGGACGTTTTGGCCCAAATTCAACTCTTTCCACTGGTCCATTACCCACAAATATGAAAAAAGGGGGGGGGGGGGGGGGGGGGGAAATTAAAAATTCTATGGGAAATTTATTTATTCAATTACCAATTAAGTGGTAGGGGTAGGGTTGTGATTAACGCCAGGGTCAATATTTAAAAGGAATCGTTTTGGGCTGCCAAAAAAAAAAAAAAAAAACTGGATGTATTGTTACCTGATTTCAGTAGGATTGGGAAGGAAACACGATTTAATGGGAAATTAGTTTTTCTTATTTTCGAGGGCGTTGTCCTTAAATTTAATTTTCTTTTTAATTTAAATAGGGAAAAGCCCAAAAAAACGTGATACACAAAAAAAAACAAAAATTAAACCAAAAAAAACATAAAACAACCATACATTATTAAAACATTGATGGGACTTAAATGGGTTTTACAGTTTTGCGTTTTACCATCATCCCACTTTTAAAAGGGGCTTAAACTTCAAAACATGGTTTAAAACATTAATGGTTTAGATTTTTCTTACTTCCAAAAAAAACTATAAGATACCAATAAAAAAAAAAAATGGGTGAAAAAATTATTGGGTTGTATTTTTACAAAACAACAAAAAAAAAAATATTGGTTGTATACAACAAACAAAAAAAGGGGAATTAAATAATAAACTAAAAAATCTAAAAAAAAGCTATATATTAAAGGAAAAAACAAAAAAACTTAAAATTGACCAAAAAAAATTTCCGTGGAACATTGAGTTATTGAGGAAAGGAAAAAGTTTTTTTTACATTTTACTGTTAATACAAAATTTCAAAAACTATTCATCTAAAATGTTCAACTCCTATGTAACTATAATAATTTATTTATGTCACAGTATAATAAATATGGTATCTTCCTCATCGTTTACCAGTGTGTATGTGGTTGAGACGGAACAGTCACTCTTTCAAAGTGGTCAAGTGAAATCAAAAAAAAAACAAAGGCGGCGAAAAAGCGGTTCTGGAGAGGGGGGGGGACCACCAACGGACCACATTTAACATAACATAACCAAAAAACTAGCCCACTTTTATACAATACCATTCATTTTTAACCAATTTTCTTTTAAATGGGCTTGCTTATAAATATAACCATAAATAACATTAAACAAGGTAATATAAATTATTTTTGTGAAAAAACATTCATCAAAGAAAAAAACACGGTCACCTATTTAACACGTGGTTAAACCCCATTATGTTTATTTTCCCCAGTTGGGTGTAACATTCCTGAAGACTCTTTCTGGTTTTCAGGACCTTGAATTTAAAATGTCTCACGGTATGATATTTCCGTAAAAACGGGTTCAATTAAAAAAGAAGAAATTAAGTCAAATTGTTGTGTCTTTTTATATTCAAATATTTATTGTATAGTTAAAATGGAAGTTGCGTGTAACTTTTAACTATATAAGTAAACCCATTGATAGTGTTATTGTGAGAAGGTATTAAATATCTGTCCCCAACATCTGGTCCGTTTGGGTCTTCCCTCCGAGATTGTGTTGGGGGGGGGGGGAACGGTTCCCCACCGCAACCACACGGAAAACAAAAAACCGTGCCACCGCTTATGATGGTATTATTAGTGGGGAACGGTTTTACCATGCCACCGACCCACTTCCTGGATTTTTTTACACTTTTACAAGATTTTAGTGTTTCTGTTGGGAGTTAGTTACAAGCCTCGTTATCGGTATCGTCATGGGTTAATGTGAAATTCGTGGAGAAACAATGTGTTTTACGGTTTTGTTTTCGGCTGTTTCATGTGTGTTGTGGGGACGACTGGGGGGGACCCGTTTCCAAAAAAAAACACCCCAACCCACGGGGGGGAACCGGGCGCGTGGGGTGAGGGAGCGGCGACAAGCAATCTCCGGACCTTTACAGGGGAAAACATCCCCCCCTAGCTTGGACGGGAGAAGGTTTTAAAAAACATTATAGAGAGAGGGGACAGGATTTCGGGAACCCAACCAGGTTTCACCCAGGGGAAGTCCCAAAATGGTGGACCAGGGCCCTTGGGTCTGAAAATACCCATGGGCCAAATGTAAAAACCAAAATACCAGGGGAGGTTAAGCCACGGCTCAATAGGACCCAGGGAAAACATTGTAATCGGTAGGGAGAAAAATTTAAGTGTGTTCGAGGGGAGTTTGTGATGTTTTTTATAGTGGTTTTACAGGGTGGGGAAGCTTTTATGAACCCGGGATTAGAAAAAACCCAGTACTGATAAGTAGATTTGGGGATTCTAGGGATGGAGAGTTTAGGTGGGTAAAACAGGGGAGGACACCTGGGACCCCCACACTGGAACCCCAGTGGAATATTTGAGCTTTTACGGCTAGGGAAAAAAAAAGTATAGGGACTTAAAGATTTCGAACCAGGTTTTACCATATGGTTCATTTCAATGCTAGGGGGGGACAGACCATAGAGGCAGAACTATTACATTATTTGGCCATTCAAAAAAAACTCCATATCACTTTTACTTATAAGTTAAACCATTAACCTATAAGCAAAAAAAACACCAAAAAAAGTTTTTCCTCTTCGATTTTTTCAAAAAGCCATTAAATAATTTAACTTCCATTTCCGTCTGGGGGACGCAAAACAGTGCGGGTTGGGAACAGCGGGGTTGATGGCAACAACACATAACCTTTTTATTAAATTCATTATCATCATTATTATTATTATTTATGATGTATTTCATTATTAATATTTCTCTATTATGTTTTCTATTTTTAATCCTTCCCCTCACCCCTGGGTTTTTACAACAACAAAAAACTTCCACGTTCCCTTTCCTTTTCATTAACCCCCCGTTCAGGTGGGGACTGATTTTCTGCGTCCAATTTTTCGTTCAAAGTATATTATTTGTATTTGCGGGGGGGAAAACCCACTCGTCTTCTCTCAACCGTATTTTTTCACTCATTAGATTACACAAAAACAGTCTTTTTTCAAGATGTTTAGGTATTTGTATACGGCATGGGCTCTGATATTAAGAACAAATTAAAACCACTAATAACAACATGCTAAATGAATAAAAAATACTAAAAAGTGTCGATTAATAAAAAGAAAATTGGAAAAATTTCCTAAAAGGGGGGAATCATGAAACAAAAAACTGGGTTCGGGGATGGATTTTGAAAGGAGTGGAAAAGATAAAAAAAGAGAGGGAAAAATGAAAAAAATTAATTTTTCAATCATTAAAATTAAAAAAAGTTACTTAATTAAAATCGTAAAAACAAATGTTTGTTACGGCCAATAAAAACCACAAATATGAAATTTCATAACAAAAACAACCATTAATCCACAAGGGAAGGGCTGCGGGCTTCCGTTCTTCATTTGTCGTCTTTCAAGTTTTTTTTATTTTTTTGTAATTATGGAAACAAATTTTTTTTTTTTTTTTATTCATATTTTACTACTATTAAAAAGGGAATGTTGGGTTGTTGTGTGTGCGTGTATTATTTAAATTGTAGGTTAGTCACACTATAAACTGGAACGTGAGGGGCGGGCAGGGTCGGAGCCATGTTTGTTTTAAAAATGTATTAAATTTAAAAAGTAAAAACATAGGTCACATGGGGGGGGTGCTGGGTTTTCGGGTACTCCTGCCTGGGGAGTTCCAGGGGAGTGTTTTTACCGGGAGGCTCGCCGATTTCCTTCATAATAAACGAGTTTCCAGGGGCGTAGGGGTGGATGGCGGTTTTTCCATATATGTGTTTTGTTTGTTGCTTTACTTATCTCGGGAGGAGGTAATCCAAAAAGCGTTTCCACCCAAGCCCTGACCCTCTAAACAACTAGAAAAAACTCCCTCGTCCCACGGAGGCCCCGCGTTTCATATTGAACGGGGGGTTACTTAAAATATGTTCTTTCCGCTCCCAATTATTACTTATATATTATCTTATCATGTGGTGGTTTATATCTCTGTTATTCATTTCAAACCTTCAGGCCCCATGTGTTTTATTTCCTCCTGTTGAGGGGGGGTCCCAGGGCTGGAAAAACCGGTTCGGTGGTGGGGGGAAACCGTTTAAATCATGTGGTGAGGTTATTTCAACAAACACCTTTCTCCCTCGGGGGGACGCCCACAAAGCCTCCACTTTACAACGGTCACTGCTACCGGGGAATTAAATTAATAATAAACTCTTTCCCAATCCCACACAATAATAAAAAAAAAAAACTGTGTTTTGTTTGCCGCTACTTAAAAAAAAAAACAACTATTATTATATTCTTTTCTACCAAAAAGCCGTTAATATCTCTTTCAATTTTGGAAGGCGGAGGTTGTGGGCATTGAAAATGTTATTTTGTGTTACCCACTAGGTTATTTATTATTTGCTCATCCCCCGCTCCCTATCCCACCCGTGGGTCCCCGGTCTCAACTTCCGAACGGGTGGGGGACCGGGTCCCGAAAACCCCCGTTTTTTCCAAAAAAACCGGGTCCTCGTGAGGGATGGCCCCGATGTTTGGTCTCCAGCTGGGGACCGTTTTGTATTTCACATCATAATGGTAATTGAAGGGGGAAGCCTGTCTTGGTTTCTTTGGATCTAATCCACACGAGTTTGGCTCCTTAACCACGGGTGGGGGGACGGTGGGGGACCTGGTGAACCTGTTGGTGGAACCTGTTGAGCTGGGGCCGCAAAACCTTGTCCGCTCCTCGTGATATTTTATTGTAAATTGGATTGTTCAATGAAGGGGTTTCTTCAGTTTGCAATGTTGGTGTTTCTTTTTATTAATATTGTTTCATGATTGATTGTTAAATCCTTACTATATAATCTACAAATCATCCACCAATGGGGGGGGGGGGGAAACACGTTGTCACACCCACTAGTCTCCATGTTCCGGGGGTTTGCTCTTCTCCTCCATTCGTATTGGGTATAATTCTATCTTCTATTAACCTTAATATGTTTCATGGAACTTTCACACAAGAGGAACACATTGTTTTTCGTGTTGTGACTTTTCTTATTCATCATTATTATTTACAACAAACACCTTTAAATTTTTTTCTAGTTACTTACTTAATTTTTTTTTATTTTTACTTTATAGTTCCTCGGTCTGGTGGTACATTAGTTACTATTATTTACATTTTGCCATTTTGCATGACCATTATTTTTTAAAAATTACATTATATCCTCCAGAATGTTTATTTAATAGGTTCCAGGTCAATCCATTAAATAAAAACGTGTCCCTCCATCTTTGTTCCTTTGTTCTTGGTCCACCCTCGGCGTCGGTTCAATAGGACGGCCAACTTCTGTTAGATTTGTTGGTATTGTGTTCCTTGTTCAAAGTCAATCAAAATAGTTTTTTTTATTTTTTTAAATTTTTTATTAAATAAATAAAACTAACGGTATGTTAAGGTAAATTATTATGGGAAAAATAAATGGTTTTACTATGTATATTTATCATGTATTATTAAAAGGTGCATGTTTATCTGTTTGTCACAGTCCGTGTTAAATTATTATTGGAAAAAAACGATCGGATTAATATATTGGGGTTTTTCGTTTTTTCCTCGAAAAAATGAACATATATTTTGTTTATGTATGTCGATTTTATCTATAATCTCATGTCTCAATCTTGAACTCAAAAAAAAAACCAATGTCGTTTTTCTCGGGGGTCCGCCAGTTCCCAAGTTTTTACCAATGCCACTTAAAATCTGTGTGTGGGGTTGTGTGTATGTGGTGTGGTGCTTGTGTCGTGGGTGTGTGTGGGTTAACCTTCCGTCGGTAATCCAAAAAAAACCAAAAGTTCGTCTGAAACGGCCCGTGGTTTCCCACCTTCCCCCCACCATGAGGAAAACAAAGTTGCGGAAAACAAGTTGACGGAGCTTACCAACAAGTCGGAGGCCCAGGTCACAAAAAAAACAGGAAAAAGTTACTTTTCGTGATTACCAATCCATTTACGGGGGGAACCGATCACACCTTTTTTTTTTTTTTTTTGTTTTTTTTTTTTTTTTTTTTTTTTTTTTTTTTTTTTTTTTTTTTTTTTTTTTTTTTTTTTTTTTTTTTTTTTTTTTTTTTTTTTTTTTTTTTTTTATCTTTTTTTTTTTTTTTTTTCTACTCCAGCTTGATGACTGGAATTTCTATTCAATAACTTAAACCCAAAAGTTTCCAGGGTCACTACTATGGGATTTTTCCTGGGGTTTGTTCGGATGAGGGAGTATATTTATTGTTTAATTTGCCGAAATGTATTCTTATAAAAAAAAAAAAAAAACTTATACTTTAATTTGTTTTTTAAAATTTTTAAATAAACCAGCCCCATAAAAACATTAACAACGTCTTATTAAAAAAAACTGTAGGTCTTTTGGTTATCCGGGGAAATTTTAAGGATAAATTGAGATGAAATGGTAAAAATTAAAAAAATAAACAAACATGGGTTGGTTAAGTTTTTGACAGTTGTTAAAACAAAAAAAAAACAAACAAACAAACTGTTATTTGGCTTTTTGCAAAAAAAAACTCAATCAACTTTTTTTTAAAGTTCCCCATTTTTACTACTTTACCAATTATTAAGGTGAAACAGTAAAAAAATAAAACAGGAACCACTGGCAGGTTAAAAACTAAATAATGTTTTTTTAATCATAGTGTAGGTGTAGCTGTTACAAATATTAAAAAATATGGGGGTCGAAATGAAAACAGGGGGGGCTGTGGGTCCAGGTGGGAGGGAGGAGGGTTTTAGGGTATTTACACCGGGGACCACAGAAACCACGCCTCCTTTAACATATGTTTTAAAATAAAAGTTGTTAAAAAAAAACTGGTATTATTGTATTAATAATGTTCATCTAATAAAAAACGAGTACGCCCGCACTATGAGATGTAGGGGGACTTCCGCGACTACCTATTCATATCAATTTTAAAATGCAACTAATTATTTTCGTTATTGCTACCACGATATTTCATATTTATTTGTACATTATCATCTCGTTTGTGAATGATCCAAGGTTACAGGAAAAGTAATTGCAAACATCGGGGGGAGGGAGTATGTAGTTAATAAAAAAATTATTTATTAAGGTAACATACAGATAAAGAAAGAGGGGACGTACCATAACGTTCTGATCACAATTATTTACGTTGAAAAAAAAGTTTGTTGACTCAAAAAAGTAGTTCAAGTGTGTTTGGGGACTTTCCACTTCACCGATGTCTTCCGGTTGGAAAAATTGGTTTCAGGAGATACCAAAAACAACACACAAACATACATACAATTTTACAAAAAATATATACCTACAATGAAAAAAAATAAAAACTGTTAAGTTTTAATAATTAATTAATATGGGGACGCGTTCAGGGAAAAAAAAAAAAAAAAACTGGTTTTTCAGATGAGTCTGGTTTTTACATAAACCTTATATATTAAATATATTTAAATATATTATGTTGTTGTGACAAAAACATACTATACAATTATATGTGTGACGGTCACAGAGGAGGAGAGAGAGAGAGAGGAAGAGAGAAAGATAGTTTTCTTTGTGTTGATGAATATACAACCGGAAGAGGTTGTTATGACGAACGGCGGAGAGTAAAAAACACTTGAGATGTGGTGAAAAAACAACGAGAATTTCCATGAATCACAATATACAGGGGGACGGGACCACACAACTGGGACCTGGGACCTGGGGGACCCTGGGGGCCTGGGGGGCGAGTGTACGGAAACCACTTCAACACTACAGATGGTGTTCCCTCGGTTAACTGTATTATTAAATAACAAATTGGGTCACGTGAGGCACGCATCACACTCATTCTGAGGTTGTGAATTTTTGCTGTGGCGCCCCGGGACTTAGTTCGTAAAAGTCAGAAAGAAAATTTACACAAAAACTTCTGCTATAATTTTCGGGACAAAGGAATGGGAATTTGGGTTCTCCCCGCCCCCTCCTCCGGGCCGCACCCCGCGCCTCCCGCCTCACCCCCCATACAAGCTCAACTGTATTTACTGGACTTATTTTCCCAAAAACTTAGTTTAATCATCACTGTAAATTCTTTGAGTGATTAAAAAGGTTAAAAAAACCTTACAGTTGTTTTCTTGCTTATTCGTGTTATTCACTGTCCTCGTCCCTGAATCCCAGGCTCTCTCCAGATGTTTCTCCAATGTCCTTGTCCGTATCACCAGTAAAAGCCTTATTTTCACCCGGGATCAATCATTATATAGTTGTATTGGCGCCCGAGGGCCGGACGCCTGTTCAACTTAGCGAGGAGCTGCTGGTCGGAAAAACAGTGAAAAAACCAAACTCACACTTATTACCGCCGGCCTCTCAGCTGCCGGTGATGTATTAGCTCACTTTCAGTCGGGCGGGGTGAGGACGTGAAAAAAAAATACTTCTTACTAAGCAGTGACTCGCGTACTGTACGTGTGGGCGTTTAAATACTGTACCACCGGAGTCCCACAACACCAGTGTGTATACGGAGATGACGTTTCAGGTGGAAAGGGTTGTCCTCACTGGACATCATTGTTTCCCGGGAGCAGGGAAGGTCCTCGTCCCTACTATATAATGTAATCTATAAGAAAAAACTCTTCTCTGTACACTAGTATCATCCCCCGGCCCCCCGCCGGGCCAACCCACACTCCTCAGCTGTGGTAAAACATAATGAATACCCAACAAAAACAAAGCACCGTGTCTTATTGTTTTGTATTTAATGTTTACCATATAAACATATATGTGTGGTTTGTGTGGTGTGATCGTGGTTGTTTGCCGGTCAGGCAGTACATTAATTCCCTGCTCTCCATTTTAAAAAACGAGTGGCACACGCGGTAAATGCAAAGTGCCACTAAATTACGGGGGGGGACCCTTCGAGGGCCGCGGGGGGTGGGCCGGAGGGTGGAGGGCTGTATCACAAGGGAGTAAACGAGCAAGACGGGGGGGGCCCCTCCCTTAATATTATTTAATTAGTCCCCAAAAATGAGTGATTCCGGGGCGTCACGGAACCGCCACCGGCTCCTGGCTTTTAAATACACTCCGCGTGTGATGCTGACCACGGATGGAAAAGAACTGGAGCCAATGTTTGCTACTTATTCCCATTATATTATTATAATTGATATAGACACAGCCAGGACGTGTTGTGTGTTGTGTTAGTTTTGTTCATGAAAATATAAATAATATTCATTAGGTCAGTTTTTCCAGTCAAACTCCTCAGAAACCTGCAGCCTAATCAAAAATCATGGTAAACATATTATAATGTAAATTCAGTATTTTTCTTCACGTTGTCCTCTCATCGACCAGGGGTCAGTCCTTCAGTCAGTCCCCCTATCTGTTTTCGACTAAATGAATCATAGTAACAACTCTGTTATAATAGTGCAAAAACTGATCTCCTTTTCCTAACAATTCAATATTTTGTTTAATTTCCTAATAGTCGCATTCATCCTCCTCGCTCTTTCCTCTCGTGGTATCTCTTTTTGTGTTTTCCTTCTATTTTCAAGTCTCTGTATCGTTTCTCCGTGTTTCACGAACACATTCGGAGGGCGGGGACTGTTTCATTGAGTTTAAGTAAGGAGCTATAACATATGTAAATTACTATACTATCAGTTTTTCTCCACTACATTACATTACATATAGGGAGTTTACCATTTTGTTTCATTATACAAATTAGGTTTATATTTATTTTAATTTTTCGTATTCTCAAAAAACTCTACCTTTTGGTATTTTAATTTCCTTATTCCCAAAAACAAAAAACCGTTCCGTGTGTTACAGTTCCTGTCCTTCATTTATCCTTCAAAGTCTTCGTGATTATAAGTACTCATCGTGTTTACTTGTACAAGGAAGAGAGTTTTCCTTGTTATAGGTTACATAGATAACATTATTTGAAAAAACACCCCGACACCCACTCCTTTGTGGGTGTTAGCCTACTCAGTGACAACACCTGGAAAAAAAAATCTTTGAATTACAATTATGAACATTCCCTATGTCTGTATGTATGTATGTTCGGTCACACTCCGCCTCACATTCTTCCAAGATCCTCATCCTTAAACATTAGCTCTTATCAAATCTCAAAACAAAAAAAACTTATATCATCTGTTAGGTAAGTGTCGGCCGCCGCTTCTTTGGTCTATAACTCTACGTACATACTACATACATGTGTGTGTGGTGACGTCACCGTACACACACACATACACACACAAACCGCTTCTCGATACATTTACAATATTTGGGATTACAAGCTAAACATCCAACGGATCGTGTGCTCGAGTGCTCGAGTGCTCGTCGTGGTGTGCTCGACCGTGCTCGTGTTTGATCGTGTGCGCTCGGCCGTCCTCGGGCGCGCTCGGCACAGCTGATGGACTGTTGCTATGTGCACTTACACACGAGCGAAAACGGACATGCAAATTATGTTACACCCGACAGATGCTAAACTTTAAATTGAAATCTACTTTCAGGGTTTGTATATTTGTAGAATCTATGAATGCGAAAAAATTTAAGTTACGCTTTTTATACAGTATAATAGTTTTAATATGTGAATTGGCAATGACGGGGAGTAGTGAGGACTCAGAGCGAGTAAATTGAATGATACATAGTACTTTAAAACATCATACAGGAAGACAAAGACCGAGACGGGACGAAGTCCCAAAAAAACACTCTGCAGCAACTCACTTAGACGAGGCCTACGTGACCGGCGTGATGTACACTCACACACACACAGACAACACCCGCACACACACAGGCGCGGGGCTGGTCGGACGCGGGGCTCAGGACCGGAACGACGGAACAGACATCGACCTTCACGAAAGAAAAAAAGAACGCCTCGGTGGACCTTAACGCGAGGGGAGTAAGGTGTTGTTTCAGACCGGGCGGCCGGGAGGCGGTTAGTGCGTACGTGACGTGGCGCGGGTGAGTGCATCTATGGCTCGCCTCCCGCCGACAACCTTTTTGCATTTATTATTTTTTACCGTCCGTGTGTTCGTGTATCGTAATCACTAATCTTTTCCTTCACGTCCCTCCCTCCTCCTCCTTCATCGCTCCTCGTGACACGCTTACACTGAACATGTCTTTACCTGCGACCCTCCCCGTATTGCCAATGTCTATAACAGAACTCTACATTTTTATAGTATGAAATTAAACAAAAAACATACTTCAGGGTTACGTTTACTTTTTTATTTTTCGACAACAAAGAAAAAGGTCTCGGGACCGAGCAGAGTCAGGCGGCAGCGCCTTAAACATAGGTTCGACCTTAAGGAGTCAATAAGTTAAATGATTTCTTATATTAGTACATTCCAAATATCGTGTGGGTCTTTGTTCGCGATCTACACAAGCCATTGATGACTAGTGACTCGTTCATGAGAAAATTAACAAAAACTACACCCTTCGAACGCAGCGAAACTTTCTCAGGGAGTTTTATTTTAATAAAAAAAATATATATAAAACTGTTTTCTGATAAAAATATATACGAGACAGCGCCTGGAAACAGAAGCTCAGGAATAAAGGTGAAAGTTGGTGCGGGGTCGCCCTAAAAAAAGGTTGGTGATCCGCGGGCCGCGCTTGGTAACAGGCGAACGAAAGCGGGAGACCGGCCGCAGGGGAGACTGAACCTTGAGTGTACAACATAAGGTCGACTATCTAATAATAAGAGGATCGGCGTACCGGCCGCGCCGGGGGCTGAGCCTTATGTCCGCGGCATAAGGTCTGTTACCGAGCAGACACTGCGATCAGACTCCTCTCGAAGAAATCAGAACCATGAGTCCACGTTCGAAGGTCGGGATTCTTTTTGAGAGCGTCTATTGATCGAAGCTCACTAAAAAGTTGCCAGTGTGTAACCGTAGATAGAAACAATTATTGAGCAAAAGGTTTTAACAGAATATAATTGATTCGTTCGAGAAGATTCTATGAGTTGATATTGTAAGGAGACGAGTGAGGAGGAGCCACGGTGGCGACGAGGAGGGAGGACGCTGAGGAGAGACAAAGGAGGAATAGAGAACAAAGGAAACGGAGCGAGGACAGGAGGAGACGGGAGGGAAGACTTTATTCAGAACTCATTGTTTATTATTCGAAACACTCCTCCCTGTCCTCACGAGCGTCGCCTCTGTCCCTCTACTCCTCAAGCTCCGTGTCTGGTCTCCGGCCCATCATCATCAGAGCAGTCCTCACTCTTATAAGTATTTGTTTATACATCACTCCCAGTGTCGCCCTCCCTCACTGTACATAGTGAGTGTGTTAGTTGGTTGTTGTACAATATATTTTGTTAGTTTTTGCAAGTGTCGTCCGTTATCACAATATGTATTGTACTAGGACACAGGTTGTTCGACACCGCCAGGGGTCGTGTGTGGAGCAGGTAGGGGGACACACACACACACACAGGCTCCCTGTGGACGGTTTATATTTTTTGTTAAACAGCTGTTCCAGTCCCCGGGAGAGGATTTCCGAAACCACCAGGGAAGTGAGTTACCAGGATGAACTACTGACTCTGAATATGGTGTTGAGAGGTTTGGGTGGTTCCTTATCAACATACAATGATAAAAAGTGACCGAATTTTATATAAAAAATGGTTCGAGAGAATTACACGAGGATAAATCGAAAGTTACGACTTTGTAAATATAACAAGTGAAAAGTAAATTTAATTGTTTTATTATTTTACGATACTTCTGAGTCGAATTGAAAATTTACAATAATATATAAAATATAATGATAGCTGCGTGTATAGAACATCTTTACTTCACAATAACATTACTTCTTAGTCTTAAACTGATTCAAGTTTTTGTCAAACTTTGAATAAACTAATTCAACGAATCGTCATAATGATAAGATAGGTTCAGTAACATTTAGAGTGAGGTCTGGAACGTTACAGGTGAAATATAGACAAACAAATAGTCTTCAGAAACAGACAGGAGTCGCAAGGACTATACTTCGTGTACCAACTAAACAACTCTTTACTTAAAAATCCTTTTTTGTCTTACTCCCATACTAATATTTTTATAAAAATATTACAAAGTGAGAGATGTCGGTGGACGGGGAGCTCGTCCTGGGTGATGCTAATCGACTCCGAGTTTCTCGATCCTGATGACACCCACTTTCTGCCTGAAATTCTTTCTTCACGAATCCTCCCTATATATCTCTTACGTCTTATTACCGAGTCATAAGGTCGGTTTCTGTTCACCGTATTTAAGCCGACTGCATATGAGTAAACATATCCTTTGATACAGAGCAAACTTGCTTATGTCCTTTTTAATATTTGTGTGAACCTTATTTATCAAGCAGTAAGGTCTATTTTTGTTTTTCATTAATTAAATGGGACCGTATAATATATGGTCGTATATTTCGCTACCAATCTTACGCTCAATGTCACTTATCGTCATAATAGAGATCGGGAGTGCGAGAGGGACGGACTGACGTCTAACGGGGAGGGAGTGAGAGAGAAAGGAGACGCGTGACGTCACACGGAGCGGTCGCAACAAAAAGTGGAGAAATTATTGTTAAATTATTGATGAACTCTTAATGAAAGAATATATTAAAAATATGAGTGAAATATATAAGAGTGAAGAGAGACTCGTAGATTACGGTCCATTAATACTGACAGCTCGATCAGTTGTATTGAAAACAAAAAACGTTCTCAAAGGAGATCTGAATTCTTCTCCATTATTTAATATAATTATAACATAAACTAAAATGTAAGATGGCCGCCAAGCGAGCTGGTTTACAAACAGTAGTTGTGTGTGCAGCAACAGATTCTGTAATTATTTAATATTAACAATAAGGTGGTGTGTGGCGAGCTTCAAGGTCGGCTTTAATTGTTTTGTTTGTGCTCTGATTCATTACGACAACTACATCATTTAATATTTTATAATTGTACATATCGTAGAGTCGGGATTAAATTTATGGAACTGAAACGTTTGATGGTTTTTATAACAATGGTTGTTTTCTTAATGTGCGTTAAATCGAACCGGTTATCTTTTACAGCTGAACCTTAAAATATCATTGTATATTTTCACTCGTCCGTCGGTAAATATCATCTCTGTACCCATTCCCTTCTTCCATGATTCTCTTCCAAACCAGAGCTCTTTTCTTGTATTTCTGAGTCAAACATTAATTCAATCGTAACAAAAAAATAATGTAGGAACGTTTTGTGGTCGAGTCCGCTAACGGGCTGACAAAAACAGTGAAAAAAAAGAAATATGAAATGAAGTTATAATGACTAATGAGTGTAGATGTTGCGGGCGGCGCGGCGTGTGTACTTTATATTATTTTATATTATATATTTAATGAAGCTCATCAAACCGGCCGCATCTCATGTTTTTAGAGTACATTCTGTAACCGGAAACCTGCACGTCACAAGAACTTGTTAAAATGTAATATTTCCACATATCCATGAAGTATGAAGTGTTTCTCTGACGTTTACATTATCATAAAGTCGTTCATTATTTTATTTGTGTATTCAAGGGTCGCCTGTTCTCTTCGTGTGACATAGTATATATCTAGTTCTTGAGAGCTGATCGTGAGTCGCGACTCCCGCTGTTCGTTCTATCAGCGAAGTTGGCTTTATGTTATTTCTCAGTCGTCAGTATGTCCTATAGTTCCCACTCCCGGTCCTGGTTCTATGACTCTCGTCTCATCCAGGTACCGTCTCCGTGTGTCCATGTGTCTCGTGTGTCCGGTCCTCTCACTCAATGTTTATTGTGGTCGCTGGTCGTGTTGTTTTTTTGTTTGTTCTCCCGTAGAGGTCTGTCCGTTATGTAAGCTTACACAATCCGTGTCCAATACGTCCGTAGGTCGGCGGAGGTCACTCTAAGATCATATACCTATTCCTTAGACTGCACTGCCCTCAGGAATCAGCTTATCTTCTTGGACCAAAAGACTGACAGTCAAGGATTTAACAGAAACAAAAATAGAAAGGCACTGCTCATGCTACACCCTGCTAACCATCGTCAGTAACACATGACATATCACATGAAGTGACTGCACAAACACCAGGGTTTAGGTCACATTTTATAATACAGACGTGGTGCTGGAAGGTCACTTTTAAGATGCAAGTATATGGGTGTATGTCTGTCTGTGTGTGTGTGTGTGTGTTTGTTTGTGTGTGTGTGTGTGTGTGTGCGTGGGTGTTGTATTTAAAACAATGTTCGAAATTTAAATCATCGAACACACATCTCCACATCAACACAGACATTTGTCATAATTATAAATTTAATTAAGTTACTCGATAGAAGATAAAGAAATATTGGAACGAAGGGCGACACGAAGAAAAATAACGAGCAGAAGGAGAAAATTCGTTACTTAAAAATATTAATTTATTATTTCATTTTGTGCGAACATTTTTCACCCAAATTTTATGAATATGAAAGGAAATGGAATATCTCCCGTTAGAAACAATAAAATATATCCTCTAATGAGTTTAGCAGGGGTGAGGGGTGCGGGGTGCGAGGGGAGGTACCCTCCGTCATCTTAGAATTTAATATATTCCTTCTAGAGCTGCTACAGCCGGTAACGAGCATCGAAGGTGACGGCTCCTGGAACTGAACGACCGTGTTGATTATAGTGGAGGTGAGGGTTGTGTCACATGACAGGTGACGAGACACTAACACAACATCTCCTCACAGTTCAAACTGTTATAACAATCTCTGCCCCTCTCTGTCTCTGCCCCTGTGTCTGTGTGTATGTTCATCTGTTCCCTCGCATCTCCTCAACTACACCATATTGCTGAGAGCTGTCTTCGTGTCCGTCATCCTAGTGCTTTATGTTTTTTCTTGTATGTTGTAAGTGAACCAACAGTCGCCAAACACAACAACTGTTCTATGTTCTGTTATATTAAACACGTAAATACTGTCCGTCTGTCCGTGTCCTCACTCTGCTACATATAGTATGTATTGTATTACATCATTTTTCTATACACATAGTATATAATTAATAAAAAAACTATCTTCATATACGAGGTACATGCAGGACCCGCGCCAGATCATCCTCGACCCTATTATTATTAGTGTTAGAGTTGTAAGTTGTCTGACAGGTCTCTTCAGTACAGTTTCATAATTTCTACATATCATTGTCGTTAGATGTAATTTTACCGTGACGTCACATCACCTGAGGACCCTCGCTGTAAGGAACACATCTCCCGACAGCTAGTGTTGACTCAACTACTAGTTTACACACAAACATTAACTTTATACCTTCATATTATATATATGTATATATGTATGTGTGATCTGTGTGTTTAACTACATAGTACAGACCTACGTATTCATATTGAATTGTCATCTTCGTGAAAACTGGATTTGACAGATACAGAGAGCGAGATGGAGATATAGACGGCGAGAGAGGAGAGACAGGGACGGAAGATGACTCGGAGAGGAGGCGAGCGAATATACACCTTAAAGTAAGGATGCGAAGGCTTGGATCCGAGTGACGAGGACGGGCGGGGAGCCTGGCGGGGGGCGGGGGTGAGTCGACCGGTCGGCCAGGGTCATCAGTTATAATATTACATTTTTTTGGATGTTTAAATTCAATTCTTTATGAAATGTATCCCGGGGTCCTGGGTCACGATCGATAGGGAGGACGTGCAGCGAGAGTTCAGATAATACTGACCTGAAACAACGGACTATTTGACGGCTACGAAGATATTTGGGAGGCGGGATACTGCTTGTTCAAAATATTTCAACATAAAACAAAGAAATTATTATTAACTTTAACTGTTATAAATGATTATTAATTTTATATTTATTATTTATAAAGAGTCCTCTATATTATGGTAATCATTTTTATTTACTCAGTATCCTAATATAGTCAGTATCAACCCTAATGTTATATTCGCTATTTGCTACCGGCTTACGCTTCTCTCCGGTCGCTGGGTCGCTCGCCGCTATTATAAATCTTATTTAGAAAGGAATACGTGCTATAATGGTTTACAACAATACATAGTTACAGAGGTACTGGTTCTGTGTACTAAAACAGCAAACGGCTCACACATAAGATATAATAATATTAACGAATATATTAAAAGATATATGAATGAAGTAAACACGTCGGGGGAGGGGGGGGGGTCACTGTTGTTGTTCAGGAGATATTAAACTTTAATGACAACAATATCTCATCATTACTGTGTGTACAGATATACTGTAGACTAAATATTATCGCTTGTATTTTTATTGAAAACTATACAACGTCTTGATCTTAGTTTCCATTAATTACACCACGGAGCACTAAGTTTCACTTGAACCATTGAGTGTCTGTAATTGTAAATTAGAATTTATTTTTAAGTAGATAGAATAATGTTGTTATCAATTTTGTTTCTTAGTTTTTTAACTTTGTTTAAACCTAGTTTTTATTTTGTTTTGTTTTATCTTAGTTTTATACCGTTTAGTCTGTATTTTAGTAAAAAAAAAACAATGTTGTATACACCTGTAAAGGCAAATAATTCTGGATTGAATAATTAGTGCATTATAATATTCTTATCTCTGTATAGTGATTATATTACTTTAAACCGTCATATAACTCACTCAGCATCTCGTGTAGTTTTGTAGAATGTGGGACCATCACACGCAGATCGGCCGACATCCATTGAGGAGCCAATGAATTCAATTGTTTTGACTGAAAGACTATATGTCGACCGTACTACGTCTGTATGTGTATATAAGGTGACTTAAAAAATATCAAATCATTCGTATACATGTCTTTAGTTAGTAGGAAATTAATATACGTATATAATATAATTAATGTTACAATATGGATATCGTTTTACAAGTTCCACATTTAGAGAAGCTGTAAGGTATACATGAGGGGACTCATTCACAACTAGTGTTGCTCTTATTATATGTTGACCTTAAACTTAACAGAGGGAGTAATTAAAGACTTTAAATCATTTTGAGAAGCTTAAATAAAGACGATATGAACATAAAAAAGGCGTTGTTTATTTATTTATTTATTTTATAGGATCACCAACAGATATGACAATAGTATTACAAATATTATATAGGTTAACAATTGAACACATTTGATAATTGTATCTCTTTTTATAGGTAATCACAGCATGCACTAAATATATTAAACATTAGTAATTATCACAAGATTGTTTTCTTTGGATCAATTATATACTAATTAAAAAGAATTTGAATTATTCAACAGTTTTATAATAATATAAAATTGATTGATTGATTGTTAGTATACAGTTACAGAGACAAGCAAACAGCAGGAGTACAGGGAGGACAGATTAACGTCAGGTAGCGTGTATTAAAACTTATTTTATTATTATAGTAAGCAACAAGTCATAACTCTCAGTCGACCTTTGACCTTCTGTTTGCAGGTCCCAGCCGCGCCGGTTGTTGTGAGTGTGAAACACACACGGTGACCTGTGACCTGGACCTGGACCGGATCGTAAATACAGAATACAAGCTAGTTTATTACACCGGACCGTCCGGACACATGTAATGTCTTATATCCGAACATTAAATATATTTAAACGGTTGGGTTATACGGTGTCACATCACTCCTCACTGATGACCGGGAAGCCGGATTTGAATTTAGACCAGGCATCTACACTATACTCGACCGTTACCTGGATGTAACCACGACTGAAGACAGCTCGGAAAAAGAATACAGAGTCTGACTCGACGTAGGTTGTAATGAAAACGAAGTATCACCTTACGGAAGAAAATATTTTGAAAAAAAAAAAAAGGAACAAAAGTAACAATAATGGCCCTCGAACGAGTCTCGAGACAGCCCGCAACCCGCATAGGATGCCGGGCCTCTTCAGATACACGGAGGTTAGACAGAACCCCTTCAGACACAAAGCAGCCGCCCCGTGAGGTGAGGAGCGAGACAAAGACTCTCCGGGGAGAGGAGGACCAGCTCACATACGGGCTCTTAGAGACGAGCGACGGGCTCACACAACATGTACAGGGGGTTCTGTTACCTAGGACAAGAGATAGAGACGTACATACAGACACACACTTATATAAAAATAGTTTTGAAATAATCTGATTGTGTATCCTTTATTTGTTTGTTTTCCATTCCGACACACACGGTGTCATTTTCTTAGTTATATAGGTGTTTATAGGAAACAAAATATTTCTTACAACACACACTTCGTCCACTGCTCTGTTTCTGTAAGGTTTTTTAGTAATTCTTACTTCGAGTTGATGATGGTCTGGTTCAGTAGATGTCGGAGTGTGAGGGACTCAGGGACGAGGCTTATACACGAAGGAGACTCATGTGTCCCGAATATCCTCATCGTGTTTTGATTCTCTGTTTCCAACTCTTCACGTATTCCCTGCTGTTTTCTCTTCCCGTACAACCAACCATTAAAATATCGCCTTAACTTTACTCGTCTTGTAATCTACTATATCTTTTATTTAACATAGCTTTAGGTGTCCTTATTCCTATGTTCGAGTCATTCTCAAGCGGAATATATGTGAGCTCTTATAGTTTCAAGATGAACGTTCCTTATTACATTACACAGTAATTATCCATCTCTTTCTAATGTCAGGCGTCAGACAGATACGGGCGATCTCTTAAATTTATCTTGTAATTTAGTTTTATGGTTGACTTACAGAAAAAAAAGGAGCAAAAAAAAAAACTGTAAAAAAAGTGGTTCAGGGGTCGATGAGAAGTGAGGAGGATGGACGGTGGAGTGGTGGTGGAGTGGTGAAATATAAGGATTGGGAGAACACAGACAATACTTTAATATTTAAACAAACAGACTATAAGTTAGAAGTGGTCGCGTTTAAGTTTAATAGTGATTTGTATTTGATATCTAACATGACAACATCAGTCAAATGTGTGTTACAATCTGTTTCTAACAGCCATCCCTCACCCTCGCCTTACGTCAGGTGTATAATTCTGTATCTGAGGAGTCATCTCCTATCATTTCTTTCATCTCGTGTCCAGACTCCATCTCTCCCTCAGTCCCTGAGCCGATGTGTTTTTTTTGTTCATCTTTTCGCCAAACATTCGCCTGTTTTTTTGTTGCGTTATGTCACGCGGCCGACCACGAGCTTAATAAGATAAGGTTGTATCACAAACAAAATATACACCTTACTGGCGAGTGACACAAGAACGGGTTTACATTGGGAATATTGTTTTTTTTTTTTTGTTTAAATATAAAAAAATAATACTCGCTTAAATTATACAGATAACGACGGGACTGACAGGTTTCTCATAGTAACACACACAGTCACATATATAAGTATAAAGAAAACAGTTTAACCATACATATAATAACACATGAAGGTCATAAGTCAGCTTCTTAAAAAACCTATTCAGTTAACAAAGATTTCAAAGAAAACTGAACCGAGGAGTAGCGATGAGACGTCTCATGATGTACCGGGGAGGCTGCGGGGGGGACGGAGACTATTATAATAATTATAAAAACATATCACGACGAGAGCAACGACGGACTACACTTTATTATGTATATCTAATAGTTTTTTGTCCGAGACTTCTTTCGCGAGGAATTTGTTATTGGATTCAGAGAGAAATGTATAAACTTGTAAAGTTACTTCAAAAACAGTAATAATAATTTTTATATATATATATAATTCTTCTGTGAGTGTGTATGTCACTGCAAGGCAAACCTCTCTCAAAACGGACCGGACCCCCCGGACCGATTTTGGGGATGAATTTTTTGTGTGTGTTCAAGGGGATCTGGGAATGGTTTTAGATTCACAATTTTTGTCCGCTGGACAATGTTTTTTTTTTTAAATTAATTTTAATTTAATTTTATTTTAGCGGTTGTTGATACAAAACGTTTTTTGACATTAGATTTGACAACTAACTAATATGTCAATCATTCAAAACACGGAGATTTTATAGCTTTAACAGGTAAACTCCAAAAATATAAATAAAAAAAAAACGTAACAGATATTTCTTGATTAGGGGGCGACACGAAGTTCACCTGGGTCTTCTAGTATATATATCGTGGGGGGAATATCTTCTTATATCGTAGCTGCCAAAATTAAAATAAAGTTTTATTTAGATAGCGGATATATTATTCGAAAAAATGTATTCTTTTAAAAATAAAGTTAATAAGATGTAGCCATTAATTGCCTTCAATTTTGTTTGTTGTTTAATGTGTTTTGTTACTCCTTAAAAATGTTGTTTCGTAGTTTAATTATATTTATGTTAGAGTTTTTATTCATAACTGCCGAAAAGAAAATTCTTTCAATATGCGTTTTTTAATGTTTGATTTTATGTATGTTAGTCTTTTTTTAATTTTATTAATATGTGTCTAATTACCAGCGAAACTTAGCTGATATATGTAATTTTGTATACTCATAATCCCATCATTTTTTTATCCTATTGTTTGTTTCCCTAAAATTAAGAGAAAATAAAATAAAATAGAAAAGATAGATATGAACTGATGGAAAAAACTACTTACACTAGATAGTTATTGAGACAAAATAAATAGAATAATTCAAAGAACAGCTTAAATAAAATGTATATATCGATACAATTTTTCCGTCAGTGTGTTTAAACGATTCAGTCTCTAATTGCGTGTGTCATGTCGGTGAGGAGACGCCGAGGGTCGGGAGCAATGAGACCACAGCATCACAAAGACTTCACATTTATTTTCATAAAAGATTTCATTTAACTAGTACATAAAATTATTCTATTCTAAATCACGTCGTAAAAATTAGAAAAAACAGTAAACAGAAGTTTGGCAACACATTGGGAACAGTCTCTCAAAGAAACGGGGACCACCCTGACCTAACCTATGCTTAAACCAACTTACAACGGAACTTAAACAATATCTCGGGTCGAGTTTTACCCTGTAGTGAGCGATCCGAACCTCGGCCCGACTTAGAAGACTCAGTAGACTTACGAGCAGAGTTGGGACGTAGAAATAATAAGCTGTTTTCTCCTCTTAGAGGGCCTCACACCACGTGCGCCTTCACGAAGGCGCTGACGGCGTCCGGCAGGAAGGCGTCGCAGCCCTGCAGGAACTGGCCCACGCTGATGGGGGGGACGAGTTCACACCCCACCTCGCAGGCGCGCGCGGCGGTCCCGTGCCGTACACGCGGAAGAACCTCTTGCGGGCCTGGCCCACGCTCGGGGATCTTGGCCAGCTCCCTCATCATGGCCGCCTTGGTGAGCGCCATGATGAGCCTCGTCGTCCGTCTGCACGCCCTGGCTGGTGGCCACGTGCGCGTCAGGGGCGCCGACACCTCCGTCTGCGTGCCGCGGTCGCTGGTCTCCGTAGGAGGGCAGGTTCAGCGTGGGGCAACGGCCGTCTTCTTGAGCAGCTGCTTCCCGTACATGCGCTCCTCGAAGTGCAAGGCTGCAGATGTGACAAGTACTTTCAGCTGCTCCACGTCAACCTTACCCTGCAGCTCCGGCCCCGCTTGCAGGCCGCCACAGCCACCACCAGCGCCCTTGTGGAACGGAAACGGAACATATCTGTCAGATTAATACTCGTTCGGCGGTGACCGCGCGGCTCGTATGAACGAGCGACGCCGCGGACAAACAGGGTGAGTGTGTTGTGACAACGCGCTGTACCCTATCACTAGGGAAGCGGCGGGCACGGGCCGAGGGCAGGCTGCGGAGGTAGTCGGAGCGCCGATAAAAATCGACATTGTTACAGGATAACAGTGTTGGACATCCGCTCACGCTCTCATCCCTCGGGAACTGGTGGAACTTGAGGCCCCTGTGGCGGAGTGACGAGGGAGTCACAGTGGAGCACGGCGCAGCTGGTGTTGACCATCCTGTAAAACGTCCCCCCGACGGCCGCTCCCGCCCGGATACTGATGGACCCCCCGCGCGCTCCCCCGCCCCGCCGGACCCAGCTCGACCCCACGCTGGCCCCCCGTGACCCCACAGCCGCCCGGCGCAGGCTGCACCGCGCTCTCTCCGAGTACACGGGTTGCTAATATTAAATCTGTTTCACATCTCCACCTCCATATAATAGTTTTTACAATTTACACTGACACGCACACACGGACCTCCACCGTTATATACTATAAACGTATGTAATATATATTATAACCCTCCCCCCACCTCCCCCCGGAGGTTTTCGGGTATTTATTGATCTCGATTGATGAAGTGTCTATACAATAATATATATAATGTATTCGTTCCGTGGACCTTCCTCCTAACGTGGTACTGTACAAGAGTCTGAGCAACCACATCACCACCAGCTGCACGTGTTCCTCGACGCCCCAACAGGCCCCACTCGCACCGTGTTCATCTACCCTCGTCATCATCAGCAACGCCCTTTCCATCAGTTACGAGCGGGGTCTTCGGTCCTCACTTGATCTCACCATCGACTCACTGGTGAATGAAGAAAACAAAGAAGAGGAACATCATCGGCTGTGAACGGCCGAGGAGCGCCTCCAAGGGTGGTCGTCGTGGCTCCTCATAAATCTTAATTCCAGTCATTTTATTTGATTTCCAACGTGTATCCTTAATATTAAATATGTCTCATACTATCAGTAACAAACAAGTAACCTGGACCGGGGACCTGGACCTGGAGCTGGAACGAGGCGACGAGGATGGGCAACCGGCGAGATGGGTTTCAACATGAAAACGGTTAAAAGTAATGAAAGGGTGTCGAATGTTTGAAGGACACAGTTTATTATTGTTATTCAATTATATTATATAAAAAGACACCTGACTTCACTCCGCTGACTATAAACAACGATATATTTACAGCGCTCTCGTCACGAAAAATATCTTGCTTTATGGTTAGGGATCGATAAACCTAAATTTCAAGATACACATTAACCATATTAGAACAAAGTTGCAATCACTATTAGGAGGCCACTCACTAGAATGTCTACGTGTGTACCAAAAAGAATCCGAAATATTTTATACAATACTTTTAGTAAAATCTCATTTAGAATATCTAATACAAGTTTGGGGACCAGCTACGACTTCAAATCTAAAGAGTTTACAAAAGAATACAAAATAAAATTATTAAAATTCTATATAAATATCACTTTTTTACTCCAATGGCACAACTGTATAATGAAACAAAAATAATGAATATATCACAATATACACATACTATACATGCATTTTAATTAAAATCAGGTTCCATTCAATCGGAGATAGTGATTTGTGAGAGACCGCATATTTGGAACTTAAGGAATAAATACAAACTTCAAATTGATCACGTGAGAACTAATTATGGTAAAAAAACAATTCTGTTTTGAGGGAGTACAACTGTTCAATAAACTACCAGGACGAAATAAAACTGTGTGATACTATAGGGATTTTTAAGGTTATATTAAAAAAATATTTAATATCCTCGCTGTAGTAGTAAATGTAGCAAGTCTGTCATGTCCCAACGGCCCCTTTGTTAAAATTGTTATCTTGCAAATATCCCTTGTAAGTTGTATCTCATTTTAAGTGAATGTAAAATTCTTATGAGAAAATAAAGTTCCTTATACCCATTCAATAATAGTAGAAGGATCGACGAGCGGCAGACCTGCCAGGAAGTTCAACACAACATGTCCACAGGAATAGCTGTGCAACTACAAACATTATATAATATATAAAAATATAATAGAAACAGCTACTCAATAAGGACGATATACGAGAACATGGAGTCGATACTCCATGTTCTCGTATTTATTAATTCGTATGGAAAAACATATTTCATAACATCTCTTTAAATATACATATATATGTATGTATGACCTCATCGCTAACAAAAAACTTTCCCCGCTCATTAAATAGCAACAACTAATATTGAATATAATTTAACGCTCTTCAATCGCATGTCATGAGCTAAAAAAGTATTCTCTCGACACAAAAACTTTGTTTTCCCCCGGACTTAATACATCGACTTGAGATCGCGTTAAAAAAACCCCGAACTGTCTCTCTATAAATATACATTACGTGTTACAAAGAAACTGAAATAAAAAAAAACACATCATTACGAACATTTAACAACTCGCTTCAGATATTGGCTGAGTGACTGTTGACTGTTGGTTGCCATGGAACATACGAGCGTCTGTGGCGACTAGGAGTCTAGTCGCCTCATCGGAGGAGAGGGACGGCCTTACGCGAGGCGAGCGAGTGGGACAGAGGACGGCGCACACGACGCGGCGACGTCGCCCTCGCTCCCTCACACGGTATGCGAACGACAGAGATTGGCAGACGAGAGGCGAGCGACGCTCCTTGGAACGAGCAAAAATCAGTTGTCAGTTTACATGAAGATAATAAACGAGTTAGGAACAGTTGTCCAAGTATCGGATGAGATGGAATGAAATGAAATGAAAAAATAGTTGTAATTATTATCAAGTAATAGAAGCTGGACGGATGGATCAGTGTGTGGACGTGTATGGATGTATTAATTAGGAACATGTTAGTTTATATGTCAGTAGTCGTGGCCGCCGATATCATGAATACGAGATAAAGTATAACGGGGCCACGGAGCGGCCCTGGTTGAATAGATGTTCCTTTATTCCCTTTCTGCTGGATGCTGGGTTGTGAGGGATTCTCCACCTCTCAATAATAAAGTTATAAACCAATAAACAGAAAAGATATTTCGACATTCCTTTAATAGCATGTTTTGTCAAAATAGATACCGTTCTATAAATAAATAAATACTTTATAAGTCACAATATATGTATGTACATATAAGTTGTATATTATGTTTATATTTCCTCTCGTTGTCGCCGGCTCACCTTGCTGCCGCTGCTGGGCGCGCGTGTTGTTTGAATGGGTCGGCTCCGTTAGTGATCAACAATAAACACATGAATTATTATAACAATAGAGAACGGGTTCATGTAATGTACTACGACGACCGACTCCTTCACTGTGGACCTTACCTACCCCAAGACACGATACGTTGACCCTAGCCGCGACCCGGGACCCGCTCGGACCAGGACGAGGATCTGATGGATGGAGAGGAGACGAGCTCGGTAACAGAAAACTCGTTTATAGATCGTAGACACGCTCTAGAGCGGCTCATATCTCGGATGTTATCTTACGTTTCGAGTTTATACACATGATTCATACTTAGCGTGCAGGAAAATAAATTACTTTTTAAACAAAGATATAAAAAAGATATCGTGTTATAATTATTGTAAACGGCTATTTATATCGTATGACGTTATATCTCGCCTCGCTGTACGTTACATACAACTGTACAGGAGTTGGATTGTGGTTCACTTGGTTCATCCCTTTATAAGTTAGAGGCGATATTTTTCACCACCATGATTTCATTTTTTTTTAACCGTTATTTCGTCCACCGGTCGTAGTTTTTTATTCAGGCAAATCTTATGTTTGTCAATAGACAGTTTAGGCCAGTGCGAATGCCTTGCCTAAAAACAATGAAAAATGAAAATAAATTATAGTAGAATGAAACCCGTTAGAAAAGGAGGGGAATATTATAAAAATTAAAGGAAAAATAATTTACGGGCGATCTGAGGTCGGGAAGGGTACGGGGATGGGTATTTAAGGGTTAAAAAATAGGTTTTCTTGATTTCCGACAAAACTAAGAGTCCTACAGAAAAAAACAAAAAAAAATTATATCGCAAAGTTGTAGGTAAAAAAAAGGTCTAAATCCTTTGTACTAAATTTTTTCAAATAACCTCAAATTTTATGTGAAAAATTCGAAAAACCAAGTTTTTTTTTTATTTATATGTCTGGCGAAAAAAAAACAATTTTTTGACACCAAATTTGGTGAAAACTTTCCTTTTGATGTTCCAAATGCACTGTAATTTATTTGATAAGAATTTTTTTTTTTTTAGCTTATTTTCAATAAACACTAAAAGATCAACCTTATTTTCAATCGAAAAATTACCCGTCAAAATATCAGCTTTTTTTAAAAAATAGGTGTGTTTTCTGTTTGTTGAAATCTCTTTTTTCCGATGGTGAAGAAAAAAATATAAGTTTCTTACAAGCAGTACCAATTTTGGATAAAATAATCATGTCCCTTGTAGTGAAATGACACTCGACATCGTTTTGAAAATGCTCTTTCTAATTTATTTTTAATAGTTGTGTACTCTGAAAGTTCTCCAGATAGTCGCTCTCTTAGGTAATTTAGAGAAAAATTGACATTAAGCTGCTAAAACTATTAAAAATAAATTTCTAACGGGTTTCATTCTACTATAATTTAATTATGTTTTAAAAGTTATCGGCACTGGTCTAGTTTGTTAATGGAGGGTTTGACAAAATATATATTTATATCTACATATGTTTTTACTTCTATTATATACCCTTAACCATAATCAATTTTGTTTTTCCACTGTCCACTCCTTATGACCGTTAAAGGTTTATATTAGGGAGCAGACCAGGGATCCGAGGAACGTGTTACTACAACGAGATGTTTGTGACATAAACCTACGCCCTGTTGTTAATTTGTTTCGTTGTGTATATTTACGACATGAGTAGCTCCGCCGGTGAACGCTCCACTTACAATACACGGATTGAAAATTAATACAGCTCCTCTATTATATAGGTATAAAGAACTTTATTTCTCATAAGAAATTTACATTCACTTAAAATGAGATACAACTTACAAGGAATATTTGCAAGATAACAATTTTTAACAAACGGGAAGTTGGACATGACAGACTTCCTACATTTTAACTACTACAGCGAGGATATTAAATATTTTTTAATTTAACCTTAAAACATCCCTATACTATCACACGGGTTTTATTTCGTCTGGTAGTTTATTGAAACAGTTGTACTCCCTCAAACAGAATTGTTTTTTTTTACCATTATTAGTTCTCACGTGATCAAATTGAAGTTTGTATTTATTCCTTAAGTTCGAAATATGCGGTCTCTCACAAATCACTATCTCCGATTGAATGGAACCTGATGTAATTTGTTTGATTAAAATGCATGTATAGTATGTGTATAATTTTTTGATATTATTTCATTATTTTTGTTTCCATTATAAAGTTTACGGTTTACGTTACTTTTTATAGAAAGAACGATATCCATGGAGTCTTCAGTTATCTCTACCAGGACATATTATTATATTTACTAACGGGAATAGTTTAGTATCTTACCGCTTTTTCCTAGTTGTTATATGTCAACAGGGAACCTGTTCAGAGTAATAGTTTATGACGCGCGCCATCTAGCGGCCCCTCGAGTGACTCCCGACCTGACGAACTGGCAACGTCGCCCTCGCGACGAGAGCGGAGTGCGCTCTGAGAACTACTCAATAACATAATATAATTGTTGTATGTTACTTGATAATCAATTAATAGTAAATTTAGACGACATGCACAAAAAAATATTATTAATATTAATGGCGTTTTCAACAAAATGATATAATATAAGTGTTCGATGTTAGTCGGCGATCACTCGGCTAAACATTAGCTTTCGCCGACCACCGAGCGCGATAAGCGATGGAGTCGGCGAGCGGCGGCGCACGGAGCGGCAACCTCGCCATCGCTTACGTTAGCGCAGTATAGCGAGCCACTCGCTTGGAGCAGACGTGTCCCCGGCCTCGGACACGGGATGAGCGTCCGGGAGTACAGGGAGAAGATCATCGACGAGGTGAAGAAGTACCCGTGCTGTACGACACGAGGCACGAGAAACCATCGGGACATAGACGTGCGGGACCGCTGCTGGGGGGAGATCTCCGACAGGGCTGGGCGTGGAGAGTGAGTCACCAGGCCTCGATCACACATGATTACTGTATACCTATAGTACCGCGGATATACGCGACCGCCGACCCTCGTGTGTTCCGTATCTTAAAGGACTGTAAACGGTCCGTGTGGGACGTAACCGTTTTTACGAACCCACCGTAAGGATGACTGACTGAGGCGACTCCACGCGACCTTCACCGTTTGATACAATCCTATTGTGTTCTGACTCGAGACTTGAGAGACTCACCGAACTGTTTTTTTTTTATTGTTGTGACTTTAATAAACATTGACATAAAGTCGAATATTAAATGTGTTACGAATATAAATCATATAAAAACATAATATATTAATAGATATAAAATATTTAATGTTATGTTTTATAATGTGCGATATATTTGACGCTACTGTTTTTGATCTAAGAATAGAGTATTGTTCGCTTGATTGATAACGTCGTCAGGAACATGAATCGATATCACACAGAGCTGCGAGGACCTGAGTCAGTCAGGGTGAAGAGTGACTCCGGGCCTCCTCTGGTAGTTGTTATAATGTATTGTATGGAAGGAGTTCTAAACATGTTAAAGTACTGACTGACCTGTTACTATACATATACTGACTGACATGTTAATGACTGACAGACAAGGGTGTGTTATTAAGATGACCGATGTGGTATTTATATCGGAAGGACGCGAAATATACAAGTAGATATTAAGTAGTAATAATTATTAAAGTGTGGTCTCATAAGTCACGTCGTGTGTGTCTCCAGGCGAGGTGTTGAAGCGGGAATGGAAGATCCTTCGCGACTCGCTGAGGCAGTCTCTGAAGAAGATCAGCAAGGGCGCCACCACCAAGGCCGGCGTGCCCTGCAAGAAGTGGCGCTTCCAGAGTCGGATGGCCTTCGTGCTGCCCTACATGACCGTGAGGAGGTGAGGGCCCTCTGTCACGCCGGGCTCGTGACGGCCTAGCTCGGTAACTCCTTAACTAATAAAACATATTTCCAGGAACCAACGTCACGTCCGGCAAGACATCAAGATAGACGAGACGGAGGTCCCGTCCGACCAGGACGTGGACTCTGAGCTGTGGGAGCCGGGGAACGAGCACCAGGAGTCGCTGGACCTGTTCTTCGCCAGCGTCTGCCAGAGCACCAGAAGGCTGCCCAGGAAATACCAGAACCAGATCAAGAGGCAAGTGCTGGACGTGCTGATGAAGGTCGAGGAACAGTTCGAGGCCGACACCGTGGAGACCAAGATGGACCTCTACAAGAACTGTTGAGTGACTGATGACCCTCGGACCAGGGTGGCCAAGAGACTGTATAGTGACGGCGCCCCGGTGTTACAAGTGTACATACATATGTGTTGTTATGGTCAAGTGGCTGGCGGGCAGAGTCTGTGTGGAGCACGCGGCTGGTGTATCAGTCATCGGTTTCAACATATCATAGTGGAATACCTTAATGTTCTGATGAATGATGATGTTTTGTGATGTTGTTGAGGTCTGTTCTGATGAAGAAGTCGAGGAATATAATAAGTTTCCTAACTGTAAGTGTCTCGGACTCTATGTATCTGTTCCAACTCAATAAACACCAGCTGCAGGCTCAAACCTTGTTCATTGTGTGTTCATTAACTGGCAGTACTTTATAAGCGTTTTATTAAAACTACTACTCTATAAGGCATTTTTTTTTATATTTCCCTAAGTCCTGAGTAACTCTATTTCTGTCTCTTTCTTCGTCACGATGAAAACCTACTTATACTTACTATATATTTTTATAAATATTATCTTTTTACTTTCACCAGTTCATTCTATCATTCAGCTACGAGGGTTCCCGTGTCTGAGGTCTCTCTGAGAACAATAGTTTTATTTAAAACTTTAATATCAGTGTTTCTGTGAAGGCCATCTTTTAGTTTTTGTTTGTTGAGAAGGTTTTACAAAACGATTTTCATATTGTAAGACCGAGAACAAAACGCCAGTCATTTTATACTATACTAGAAGACCCTGCGAACTTCGTATCGCCCTATAATCTTGAAATATCTGTTACGTTTTTTTCATTTATATTTTTGGAGTTTACCTATTAAAGCCATAAATGTCCGTGTTTTGAAGTGCGACAGAATGATTGACATATTAGTTAGTTATCAAATCCAATATAAAAAAAAGCGTTTGTATCAACTACTACTAATAAATTAAAAATTAATTAGAAAAACATTGTTCAGCGGACAAAATTGTGAATCTGAACCATTCCCAGATCCCCTTGAACACACACAAAAAATTTCATCAAAATCGGTCCAGCCGTTTGAGAGAAGTTCAGTGACATACATACTCACATAAGAAATTATATATATAAAGATTAGATGTAGCGTGATGACGGATGACCGTCGCCGGTATTGTTTCATAGTTTACTGTTAAATGTGTCCATGTGTTAAGGGAACCCGTCTGACTGTAACGAGCGGTCTCTGTCTCCTCGTCTTATTATTATAATCATTTTATTGTATATTTTCTATGGTCTCTTCTTTCATTTTGTGTTTGTATGTCATTTAATATTTCCTATCCGTCCCTCCTCCTCCACTCACTATGTACAATCTTCAGGTCCATCTCTGGGTAGCTGGTGGTCGTCTCACAGTAAGTCGAGGTGGTGTCCTTCACATTACTCTTTATTTCCCAACTGTTGTTGTTCCCGAATTCCTTATTTCGTGGAGCACGTTTCATCTGTATTGATTTCTGTAACCCGAGCCCCGGGCCCGCGCCCCGAGCCAACAAATTGCAACTGTCAGTATGTGGTTACGGGCTCCCACGAGCGTAAACACACATCACCAAAAGGGAACTCCGGCGAGTTTGACTCTTATATCTGAGTATTAACGCATACAATGCCGTGCGCGGGATCCATGTGAAATTACATACTTTCTCCGATATGGACGGGAAGCGAAAACAAACGTATAAAAATTATAAATGTACGCATTTATGTAGTATGAGTCACATCGTACAGAGCGAGCTGGTCTCCGCTCCCTGACCTCCCTGACATGTAGATCCTGTACTAACGACTCATTGTAACACGTCTGTGGTCGCCCGCACCCCTCACTTAAACTATTCATTTGTTGATCTCATTACAACCGTCTCTATATAATACCACATCAGTCTGTCCTACAAACGTTTGTTCTTAGTCTCCGGGCCCTCAGCCCCGGCTTCACTCGCTTCTGGTGATATTTTCGCTGGTCACACTGTTCATTACAAAACATTTCTCATTGTGTTTGTGACTATTCTGAACTTATTGTTCGTCGTTGTAACCATAGCTTTGTTTTCTTAGCGCAGTTCACTCACTCTCATTCTTTTTATAATTTTGCCTACGAGACTCTCCGTTTCTATTCTTATAACATTGCTCTTATGCCATCTTCACTATTTAGAGAAAAAGATAACACTCCTCAACATACGGCGAAATATAAACTTGAGACACAAGATCATTAAAACAACAATTTATTTAAATAAAGACCTAGGTTCAGCTAAGTCCTAAGAGCGAGTCGTATCCAGTCACCTCGTTGTGTAGGTTGCGTATGTTTTAAAAACGTGAAGCACAAACAGAGTATGAAGTGGAAAAATAAAACAAGGCCGTCATTCGTTTCCTTCGGGTTTATTATAAAAGCCCTTTGACGTTCTCGTCATGGAAGCTGATGACGTACTCCACGATGTAGAGGACGTCGAAGTACTTCTTGACGATGTGCGCGTACCAGAAGATCTGTTCGAAGACCCTCATGACCTTGGGGTGCCTCTTGTCCCTGGACCTCCAGGCCAGCGTGTACACACGACGCATGTCTATCAGGATCTGCCTCAGTCTGAAACGACAACGGAGCACTACGGTCACCAGTCTGCTGATGATGATTATCGGGAGTATAACTCAAGAAACCACCTTGATGCCGCGGCCGGCGAGTCATTCCTCACTTGTTCGTTCATTTTGTTAATTCTGAAGACCACGGATATTCCTACTTTAGTGTACGAACCTGTTAAAGATGAAAGCCATCCTGAAGCTGGGGTCGTTCTCGTATCTCTTGAGTATCGGTATCAGGTTCTCCATCCTCTCCTGGGTCGTGTAAATGGATTGTCTCATCAAATTGAGTAATTTTGTTTTATATTCCCTTTGTTTTAGGAAAAAAAGTACACCGGATAAATTCTCAAGCTTCCCTTAGTGTCGTTGTGTGGCGGAGTCTCCGAGGCGGAGGAGCGCGGGGAGCTGTCTCCACCCCTCAGTCCATTATAACTGACGAAGGTGTCGATGTCCAGCAGCAGGGCCGTGTCCGACGTGTTGCTCGTGATAGTTCTCAAGGTCTCGTTTATTTTCCTCTCGATGGCGCTGTTGAAGATGTCGCAGGAGACGACCGACAACACGCCCACTACTGACATGGAACAATTATAATTTATAAATAGGTGAATTATATTAAAGTAATTGGATTGACCTATGATATACCTAATAAATATGTATTAAAAATTAAAGCTTAAAATTTATTTTTATTTGAACTGTATAGTAATTAAATTAAATAATACTTTATTAGTATTATTTTGAGTTATTTATTAGTTGGATAATAGTTTAATTGTATATGTAATTACATAGTTCATTAATAATAAATTAAGTTGTTACTAATATAGGTATAAGGAAAATGTGTACTAAAAAAAATATTGGTCAAAGATGCCTAAATAAATTAAAATTATTATTATTATTAATAATTGTCAGACACGATTGATATTGAAACAGAACATTATCTAGAGAGTACTCACGTACGGTACAATAGAAACATTATGAGTCCAGCGTCGAGTACGCGACCACCGACCACCGACATTAATGAGTTCTAGTGTGGCGTTAAATTAATAAGAGAGTGATAACGAGTTGTTACACCTTGACTGGTGCCGAGGAGCGCACACGGGAGACCTGACGCGGGGACACAGTGTGCTCGAGACAACCGACCGCTGGCCGATATAAAGTGACATTCTTATTTAAAAGTTTGTTTCATATTTAAGGTATAACGCGTGAAGGCACACATTTAGCCCCCCCTGCTTCCCCTTGCGTCCCTCCCGCTCCCCTCCCTCCCTTCCCCTCATCAGATTCTCCGCGAACGGTTTTTCTCAATTTGTGAACTCGAAACTAAATTTCCGGCCGCTCGATGCTCGCGGCCTTTTTCCTTCCCCTTTGAGGAATGAAAGTCGACCCCTCGTCCAGGAGCGGGTCTTTCAAGTCGGACGATTTCAATTTGGTAGCGGAAATATGTTTTTATGAATGTATCGCCCGTTTAATGTGATCAGGTGTGACCACGCTCTCGACGACAGAAACACGCGGCTTGTACAGGTCTAGTGTCTACATAACACACGGACAATTGATAACGATAACATTTTACGATACTATAATAATAATTTTTTTTTAATAATAAACTAGTACAGTTCAGTTGAAAATAATTTAATAATACACTGTGAATGTGTAATATTATATTATATCATCCGTACTATATATATACGTCCGGCCGTCTTCCCTCATCTCTTCAGCCGTCCCTGTCATCTCTGCTTGTTCAGTACAAGTCATCAACACAGCTTCAGTTGATGTAAGGTGAGCCCTGAGCAGAGCGCGCGTCACTCGCCTCGCTTAAATTCGTTCCTAAAATATTTCTCTTTGAAATCTCAGGCTATTGTTACTGGAAATGCAAAAATGGCTTTCGCTGTTATCAACCGAGCGAGGTACAAAGAGGATCAGGGAGGGGGGAGCTCGCCTCGAGACACGCGAATAGATGCTTTAGGTCTGTGGGAATACGAGTCAGCGAGGATGAGAGGTCCTCGTACAGTGAGAGACGAGGAGTCAGTGTCACGAAGCAATTACCTAATGGCGCACTATATATTATACAACCGAAATAATATGTTCTCACACTTACATTAAAGACGATACATCGGAGGGCATTAGCTGAGCATAATGAGAATCACACTCACGGTTATTATACATGTTTTAAAAGGGTCATGTTATATGAGGCTGTACGGTTACAGTAGAACCCACCACTCCGCCTTGTTGTGGCGCGGCGGGTGAGGGCTATAATCCGAGGACATTGTTCGACGAGCGGTGGAGTTGTCGAATAAAAAAAAACAAAAGAAACAAGGGTCGATATAAGATCGTCACAGAAATAAAGGATCGGTGTTTTATAACGTGTTCATATTTAGTGATAACAAATATATTATTAACTCGTGTCAACCGTCCGTCAGGTTCAGGCGTGTCTCCGATCCATCCTGCTCCAGGGTCAGTTCTCGGAGACGTGTATCATCCTGAAGCTCGTCTAATATCTCGGTTATTAAGAGTCACTCAGTAAAAGTTCGCCAATGAACCATTTATGGAACGAAAAAACGTCCTCAACCCGGGGCTCCTCGTCCTCACACCCCGCCCACCCTCTCCAGGTGAGCCGGGTTCATGTCCCGTCCCCACAACTATGTACATATAACGTACAAGTCAATACAAGCTCCCTAAGGTATAAATTTCTTTAGTATATCAATAACATTCAATGTATGTTTAAATGTAGACACATTCCCTTATTTCTGTAGAGGAGGACCTCCATCCGTCGTGGAGTGTTAATTCTCTCTTTCAGTTATAAAGTTCCAAGGAGCCTGTCGCGAGTCCTATTAATAAACTTTGAAGGACACTCGATGTTTAAAAAAGATCTGTTGTTTTCTTTCGTAATGTTCTTCATGTCACTCTTTGTATATCACAATATTTTACATATAATATATACAGTTGTTTCTTCTTAATTGATTTTCGTATTACACATAATGCATTTTTTTTAAATAACAATAATAAAATAAAATATATATATTTGAAAATGAAATTGTACTTTCTGTAATAATGTTATTAGTCATGTCAATATTAGTGATTATTATGTAATGTTTTATTGTATTTATTATTATTGTTTTTTTAATTTAAATCTTGATTTACTACAATTATTATATTTTGCATGATGTGATAACCTATAATTAAAAGGACATTTATGTTATTATTAATAGTTTGATAATGTAATGAATGTAATAATGTTTTCTTTTGTTGGTTTCCAAATAAAATAAAATAAAAATATAAAATATCGTTCTTTATATTTCACTATGGAGACCGCTGAGCTCAGTTTAGGTTATTGTGTTGTACATATGTTTGTAGCATCCAAGAAGGTATCAGGGTCTGAATGACTCACTCCACTGAGGGTGCGCACCCTCCTCACCCCGCCCCCCGCACCCCCGCACCCTCCCTCGCCTCCTCCCCCTCCGTTATATAAATAGCCGTCCTCGTTCAGTGTCAAGGTCAGCGCTGATCGATGCCAGCCTCACGTCAAACAATGCTATTTATTTAATAATAATAATATGGATTATGTACATTATTTTCTCAATTTTTTTGTATGTATGATAATAAGTCAGCTTCAGTCAGCTCCTCGTAGCTCGTATCCAGGACCTCGGGTCATCAGTTTTTTGTCATGTACATTATAATATGAGCGAGTGTCGATTGTTATAGTGGAGTTCTTTTGAGGCTCATAAAAGTTCCACAGCAGGTATTTAAGTCCATGTGTTCCTAAAGTTACACTCGAGGTGGCACCTGGCATACATTATATGAACTATATGAGTTCTGAGCGGTGGGTCTCATAATCTGAGTTATAGTCATAGTTTAGTTGTTTCGGTATATTTTGGATATTTTATTATAAACTCCTTTTTTTTAGTTCAGCATGCTCCTCACTACTCTGTTTCTGTATTATATTTGAGATCCACTGTTGTTGATGTGAGCGAGGTGTGTCCCTAGTCCCTGATTCCCTACAGGTGTTCCAGGAGCGGCCCTCACATACCCGTGACCTCACTGAAGGTCGTCGTTGATATAGTGTGATATTTATTACATACTTGGTTACTGTATCGGTTTCCTGTTCATCCTCGCAGGTCCCCTGGTCGACTCCACCATCCTCGTGAGACATCCCGCGCCTATCGGTTCTCAGATCTAACTCGAAGTTTGTTTTATTATGAACGACACTGATCGATCAAATCAAATCCCTCGTTATATTATTGTATGTGTAAAGGAGCGACTCCCCTCTCTCCTCCCGCACCCCCCTGCACCCCCCGCACCCCCCACATCTCGTGTCTCCCTCTCACCACCTCATTGATATGAAATCTTTGCAATGAAAGTAAAAATAAGTAGTCTTCAATGAGAGGGACGATCAGCTGATTGTTGCCGGGGGAGCGGGAAACACCCTCCGCTATCCTTCGCTACCCCCGGCGACCGGTCGAGCGATCAGTCGGGCGACTGGTCCACGTACCGGTCGGCTGGCTCTGCGCAGGTCCAGTATCGACTGATAACTCGAGCTCGGGTGCTCAGGCGATAACCTACCTTCAACATACGCGATAGAGTTCTATGTGAGTTGATAGAGACTTTGGTAAGTTACATCATAACAGAAACACGCCAATAGAAACTTTATAACCTAGGTTTAGAGGTCACCTAGTAGGTGTAAGTTATCCTCTGCTCGTCTCCACGTAACACGCCCTTCGTCCGAGGAAGGCTCCGTGTCTCCGGGTAAGGCTTGTAGAGTAACTAATTAGAAATGATACTTTGAGCTACGACCCACTTAACTTTTATGTTTCATAAAATTATGGAATTATTCTTTTGAGACGCGAAGACTCATAACAAAATATATTAAATATTATAATTCTTCTTCTTCTTCTACCTGGCAATTTCCCAGCTACAGCCAGGGTCTGCCTTACATGTTGTGAATAGTTTTTGGCTATTAGTTTTTACGACCGGCCGCCTGCCTGACATCAACCCTCTTTTGGGAATCAACATTAATCAGTGATGTCTAAATACTCTTAGAAAGAACATATGATTCGGAAAAATCACATTGGTACGTTGCCCGGGCCAGGATCGAACCCGCGCCCTCGGCGACGAGAGGCGGGCTCTTTAACCACTGAGCCACCACTGACATATTAAATATTATAATTATTGAAACGAAATGAAAATATATAAGACACGCGATACAGGGACGTGGAGTGGACTGTGTAATAATGTTTGTAAGTATGGGTAACTCGGTAAACGACGTTAACAGATATATTACAATGATTGTACTTGAAGTGTCGATGAGGCTGGATCATTAATGGTTAAAGATCTTTATTCTCATAAGAACATACACAGGTTCACTTAAATGTTACACACATACATTAATATTTGCTACATGGAATGGCTAGTACTACTTAATATTGTCTAATATATATATTTTAAGTTTATTTTTAAAAGCATTTTAACATTTACATTCCTTTATGTAGTTTGGCATATCATTATATAGTTTTACTCCATCAAAATGTATATTTTTGTGTCCATAATTTTAGGTTCTGACTTTAGGTAATTCAAGTTTATGTCTGTTTCTTAAGTTATGCTTGTTTGATTTTTGTGTAAATGTTACGTTTAAATGAATAATTTTATATAGTATCTTTTTAATTAAAATATATGTGTTATAAATGAATGTTTGATTTAGGTTGAATAATTTAGATTTTTTGTACAGTTCTATCGACGGTGTGAAAAAGTCATAGTGAAAAAGTACTCTTATAATTTTGTTCTGCGTAATTTGTAAGATTTTAAGGTTAGACTTTGAAGCTGATCCCCATATTTCAATTTAGTAATCAATGTGTGGCTTTATCAGGGAATTATAGATAACACTTCGCACTTTTTTTGGTATACAATTATTAGATCTTCGGAGTGCTCCTACAAGTGAGAGTTTTGATCTGATATGCTCAATGTGTCATTTAAGCATCACAATACATTAATCAGTAAGTCATAGCCCGTTCTGTTGCAGGAACCCTTCCGTGTTGTATTACCTCACTATATCACTACAAGAGACTAATTCACGACCACTGCTCTGAGGTCGCGATCACTAATTCAATCCTAATTTTAATTTTTCTCAATAATAATCGTCGTGTCTGTTTCCCTCCAGTATATTTCATCATCTCTCTCCGTCGTTCCTGGAGCTCCATCGTCAGTGCCCCGCGCCCGTTTGATCCATATTATGTAACATTTATCAACCGCGTCCCAGACATTATTCAAATATATTTAAGGTACAGCAGCGCGGGCCACGGACCCTCCTCATAATTACATTATCTTAACACTTATATATTTCATTCGGGGTTCATTTACTTGTTATTGCCGAGATTTCTTACAGAAGCTTATAAAATCATTTATAAAATTGTACGTCTTTTAATTTCAAAGGGGACTTCCAAAGTCGTATCTTTCATTATGAAACTTTGCTCGGAATATTAATAACGATTTATATGCGAGATGTACATTACAAAGATCCTTGAACTACAAATACAGCTTTCGCAATCATTACAACGCTCTGTTGCTATGTTAAAAACTTCTATGAAAAGAAATACAAAAAAAGGGAGTTTTTTTTCGCGTGTTGTGTTGGTCGCGCGTCACCGCTGACCTTGAACCTTCAGTCAGCTGTCAGCGGCCGGTCCAGCTCGGAACAGACGCGAGCACAGGGCACAGTACACAGAGTGTGCCAACACGCGACCACCGCTCATATTAATGATGTGGACGAGGGTATATTTAGACTGGACGTAGATGTATTACTGTTGTTTATGTTCATTTAGAGTTATGTATGACAAGTATTGGAGAGATTTTATGCATAAAATTATGTTATAATTTTAATGAAATTCTACTTGGACATATTCGGGAGCCGAAGACCCGTCCTCAGCGCTGGCAGCTTGCCTGTTCTGGACTCTTCACTGGGACGAAGCCAGAATGAATAATACAGTCTGCATCAGCTTCATGTAATGTTGTAAATGTTAGTTGGCTCCTTTTGCCAAATATACTTTTTTTCTTTTTTTCGAGAGACTCAACAACAAACTTATAAACTTAATATCATACACGAGAACAGAGAATTCACACAAAAATAACAAATTTAATTTGATCGAGCGAAGTGTTCTCTATCGATAAACATAATAAAGTTATCAGAATAACGAAACTCATTCCGTAGCATCAGTCGACTCTCCGCTCTCCGTGAGGGTTATTTGGTAGCTTTTTGAAACCTGTAGTGTTAATGTAGATATGTATAAAACTCATGACATGGCTCAGACTTGCTTCTGATGTATCTTTAAAAATATACAATCATTTAGGAGTACCTATTATCGAGAATTATCGAGATTATATACAATATATTTAGTTTCCCATACATCTTAGACCACCTCACGTCTCAGTAGTTGGAACTCAACACCGTGTAGACATCGACACGTTCACTGAACAGTTGTTTAATGTTTCTGATGACGTCCAACATATTACAAAGATACTAACTTTAAACATGATTCCGAGAAGTATTGGCGCGTCTCGACGGCTAAAATTTGTTACGAGATTACTGTCGCTAAGGGATATAGAGGGGTGAGGGAGGTGGGGAGGGGAGGTAGACCTGGTAGACTTGACGTCCGCAGTGCTGGTGATCAGCGGACAGGTCCAGAGATGGCGGCCTGCCAGCGTCACCCTGTCTGCCGCTACCACACACACACACACACACACATACACACACACACATACACTCTACGGACTATAATAAGCTGATGACGTCTGTCTGATGTTATTGTTATATTCACTGAACAATTTACAGTGAAGCTGACAGACCTGGAGCCGCTGATGGGGTCCCTCCCGTCACAAGGATACAGGATATATATATGTATGAATGAAATGGAATGTGATACTTATATTAAATGGAATATTTAATGTATTGGAGTGTATGTCTTCAATCAAACCAAAACATTGAACAGAGCTCGTCATGTTTATGATTACATTCTTACTCATACATATGTTGAAATATAAACTTTGTCAGCGACGGATATCTTGTGAATGTCTCCTCAACACCTGTGTATGTATATAAAACACTATATCTGTTCTGTCACTCTGGGGTGAGTCTGTTGAAATAAATACAGGATTAAACCGATTCATCTCCAGATAGATAACATCTGTTATAATGAAAACTTTAATAAGTTGTCATCGATGGATTAGAGAACACACGGCGAAGTGAAGGAGATGGCTCTGATACAACATAACAAAGTGTATGTTAATTAATTCAATGGAAATGTTTTGGTTTCACGAGACGAGCGGCTGACACGAACACACAGTGGACTTTAAATTATATTTCTTCGTCGTCAATCAGCAGACCTTTGAAGTCCTCATCAATATCATCAGTTAGTGTCAGCTTCAATATGAATGTTTTTACATCATGACATCATTAAAAATTATTTGTTTAGAAATAAATGTTTCAATGTTCAGATCACAATCATTATGCAGTCACTGAATCTTGATATCAGGCACATACCTGTATTACAATAATTAATATCTTATTATCGTAGATAGATAATGCTTTTTTTCAGTAGCCGAATTACGGTTTTCACTGATTTAATAAAAGTAAGTACTCAAGATATAAATCAGTTTAATCTTTTTGAATTAATTTTATTTTGAGTGTGTGTACGGTATTTATTTCGGTCAACACTTGTGAAAAACCCTGATTCATGTATATAACTATATTGTATCTCAGTATCGTTGTCTAAAAACACATATCTGTTACATTCTGTGTGTCTATCGAGCCGCTGATGTCAAGTTCAAGGTGTCCAACACGAGTCTATTTCTGTGGATGTCTTCAGGTTCAGAACTTGGCACCTTGGACTTGGCAGTTGGCGTAGTGACAGAGATCATCAACGTTCGCCCCTTCACCTGTCACACACCGTCATGGAAATCCTTAAAGTATTTGGAATGTCGCTCGGTACAATGATTGCATCATTTAAAACATCTAAAGAGTGAGCATTATTACTGACATGCTGAATATTGACGAGACGTGTGGACTGTTACTGATCATAATGGCCGTCTGTTAAATGTTAAATGAATGTATTTATGATTTTTGTCGTCGGTTTGTCTGACTGATACTCCGTTCATATAGATTTTGGAATAAATGAAGTTGCAGTTTATAATGTTAACTTTGTGCATAAGATATGTGTGTAACTTTAAGTATGAACGCCACACTACATAGGAAGATATAACATTTTGTTTCCTAAATATTTTCACTCCATACTTATAGTATTTTATTTATTTATTTAAGGACCACTAGTAGCTACTACATGTTTAAATGACAAATGTAGAACAATTAAATGAAAATAGGTAACATGAGAAGCTTTTTAAAGTGGCCACAACAATTACAATATTTGTTTTAAAAATACATTAACACATTTGTAACTATAGCGACATGAGTAGAAAGATTAAAAAAAATAAGTTAAAATTGATAAAAATTAAAGACCATAAAAAATAAATATGCACTTAATAAAATTAAAATTAAAAACACAATTAGTTTGAATTTATATACCTAGGTACAAATTAAAATTAAATAATTCATTAAATTGACGGAGGTTATTAATGAGAAACGTGAAACGCTTCGTGTGTAGTGTGAGGATGCTAACTCTAGCTAAAACATTGAAGATTATGAAGCCCTCACACACAAGCGACTTCCATAATATTACATACACACACACACACACACACACACATACACACACACACACATACATGTATATGTCGTCATTCCTAATTTGTCTGAAAGCATTGTTTTTTGGAGCACAAATCCGTTGTAACCACTAAGACTAGTTGTGTTATTACAGAATACTTTAAATCATATTGTATTTTTGTAAATTAACATTTTCTTGAAAGAAATTCATTTTCCTGAAATTTTCCATGAAATAAAATAGAATGTATGTATGTTTTAGGAAATGGCAGAAGTAACTTTGGACGTCGCTTGTATTTTCGTGTTCCAGTTTGTGAAACAGTTTCTGTCCGTTTGTCAGAACAGTTCATCTCGGAAGATAGATGAGTGGAGAGTGAGACAGAGAGACCTCTTTTAACGAATGGTTACGGTGAGCCGTAAGGTTGAGGTTCTTTCAATTAGTCAAGCTGTCATAGTTAGTTCTGCTGAGACTATCAACTGTCAGATGTAATCGATAGTTAGCCGCTAATATTGCCAAATACTCCATCGTAGGTTGGCTCCTAATAAACTTCACATACAAGTTCATCTTCTCGCGAGTTCCGTCACCTCAGTGAACAGTTCCTGTCTTCCTGTTTCATAATATAGTTTGTATTCCATTAATGTGAAACGATGTTTTACATTTATTAACTTTTGAATATTCGACTTGTGTCTGTGATCATAGAGTTCAAACTCGTGTGTCTCTGTGTTCAGTCGCTCGGATATATATGATTTAGTCCCGTCTAGTGAACAATCGTTATCAGTGCTCGTTCAAATGAAATAACTCGAAGCTGTTTAAATATCCTTATTATTACAACACCAGCTCTAAGGCTTGGTTACTATTAAATAATATCCTTGTAATTTTTAAATAAATATTGGGGATAAAATAAAACATGGTTAGTATATAATGAAAATTGTTCATTACTCGCTAATATTGTCAGGTTTTAAAGACAGTAGACAGAAAATATTACTAACTAGGTGACTACATTCAACAATATGAATAGTTACGAGGTCAGGTTTGAATCTATGTATCATTTTAATACACACGACTCGTCTCGTCCCTCCTAAGCTACCTCACCAAACGTTACTCAGATCTTGCAGACTCTGTGCTCGACCAGGATCCAGGTGTGAGAGGAGGCTACACTTTAACTAATATATAACTGAAACACAGTTACATGTTGTCTTGTACTTCTATCAGTCGCAGGGAGTCAGGAGTCTGTAGTCCACTCGCAGCCGGGAGTCATAGTAGCAGTGTACTATGATCATTATAAATAAAACATACGTGGTTATAAATACACGGTGACCTTTATCTATATATATATTTATATATCTGTTATATATAACCTGTTTATTTCAGTCTCCTCCTCGCTCCTAAGTGAACTCCGGTCACATCGAGTTCATAATGTATATTCACTTGTCTATTTATATATTTTTTATAACATAGAATTTAAACCATTATTTTTAATAATATATAAACAGCTTTTATAAAAGAATATTAGGAATTGTTATAGAAAAGTATTGTTACAGTGAAGTCAAAATTCTTTTAGCTGTAAAGTCCTTGAGAAGAATTTCGTTTAACAGAAATCTTATTATCATGAAATAATAATAGATTGAATAAAGTCACTCAGCGAATGTAAACTATCAGAACACGTCCTCCACAGACACCCTCATATACCTCACACTAGTGTAGGAGTATGTCAGCTCGTGTCTCGACACAGCATTGGGCACCAGACCCTGGCAACTCCTGTTCTGACGGCTCCTGGGTGACGACAAGTTGATCATTTTTAAATGTTATATTAATTATAGTTGCTATGAAAACGATATGAAAAGTAAGAGGCAGCCAATGAGTTGTTGTTTTATAATAAAAGAGGCATGTTTAGTAAGTTATCACATTTATAATATGAATCTACACGAACCAGATCTGAACCCGTCACCTAACGACTGTCATGTTTTACTTATCTTATTAATTAAGTTATAGTGGAGCATGTCACGTGTGTGTGTGTGTGTGTGTGTGTGTTTATGTCTTTCGGATGTTTTAGGTTTCAACAGCGCGGCGGTTTAGCCAAAGATTATTTTGATGTTTTTATAAACATATTTTTAGTTGTTTTTTAAATGTCATCTATTAAAATAAAGTTCAGCCACATGAGAGTTTAATCCATCTCTTCTCTGTAACGTCATACTGATGCCGGTCGGTTACTTCAAACATACACAATGTTTGTGAGCATTCAAAACTTTAATTTTCAATTTCCTGTTTTGTAAAAATATATAACATGTTTCGTTGAACCTTGTTTTTATACATTTTATAAGTGTTGTATTAGGAGAGACATTAAATATAATATAATTTAAAACATTAAAATATTCACATAACTGTATAAGATAGTCTCCCGTGTATCTTATACTCTATGTTCCACCTCCTGATGTATTTCTCTGTTCCTCCCTCACCAGCTCGCTCCTCCTCGTCTCATCATCATATTTTTTAAAAGACTAGTGACTATTTCTTTAACGACTGAAATTGTCTGAACATTTCTCATCTCCACGCACCTTAAGGACTGTGTGACGATGCTCTGGTCTCCTCTTACAATGTATCTATATATTCACAATAATTTCTGTTACATTACTGTCCCTCCCTGTGTTATATGTTAATCAAGTTTCACCTTCCAGATCGTGTAATTATTCAATGTATGTTACATAGTATATGTATAAGGTACATATGACACGTGTTATGTCACCTCGTCCTGATGATGAAACGTTCTGTTAAAACACATTGTTATACATCTCCTGTTTCGATACAACTTATTTGGCTCTGCACCAACACAAGTACACTGTACACTACGTTCTGGGTACTAACAGAGATCTTATAATGTTACGTGTGTTATACAACTATTACTGACCCTTAAAGATAATGAATAACAAGCTTTTTGACTGCCAAAGACGATGATTAAATAATATCATTGTGTGTAACGTGTAAGTTAATTTTAATATACGTATAATAAATGTAAACAGCGGGGCTCGCTCCACCGCGCCACAGCCCGGCTCCAGTCATATTTCATAGTTAGTTATATATTATCAAAAGCCGCAAAACTGACGGAAACAAGATTACTGAGACGAAGTAATCAAGTTCTGTGAACACTTGATTACTTTAATGGATGCCAAGACGCATCGGATGTGACGCGTGCTCCCTCGAGGACGCCGGGGGGCGGGGTCGGGGTTCGGGGGTCACTATACATGTACCTCGTACGGAGTCAAGTTATGTCTGTCAGAGGACTCGTCTCTCAAAGTGTTTTTCATACTCAATGTGAGTCTTTTTGTTTTAATCCGTGAGTTATTTTCCTCTGTCCCTCCTTGTGTCGTGTAATTCGTTGTATTCGTAACAGTATCCAAGTCTCTAAGCCGCCGCTCGCTCGATCCAATCTATTCTGTATTACGTCCAGACTCCAGATTGTAAGGAACAAAACAATGGAGTCTTTTATCCCGGTTTAATCAGGGCTCCGATGAACGTCCTGTGATTTACGGCCCGTGGCCTGTGTGTATGTACGTATGTATGTACACTGTACCGACTCTCATTTCTCCGGACCTCTCGTCCTCCTCGCTGTGTGTCCGTATGTGTATTTATTTTTCGTTTATTACAAACTCATGTACTGATCGTTTTGTATCGATTTAATTCCATCCCCGGTGTCTCTTGAGTGTCAATAATAGAGGTTAGTAATAGCTCCATTTTTCATTTCATTAATCATATCATCGACCCAATGAGTAATATTGAATTGTAGGACTAAAATTTTAATGTGTTCTGTATTAATCATATCGCCATATGATATGATAGGAGGCGTCCTACCCTTAGATTTTCTTCGTCCCGCGTCTCTCTCCGCGACCATAACATTTACATCTTTCTGTAAAAGAATCTGTTTACTCTATCTCTATAGACAGTCACTTATAATTTTTGACACTGTACAGTATCATCATTATAATCGCGCGTCTCTCTCTCAATCTAAGCCCGGTCCGCGTCACCTGAACCCCAATTTCCATTTAACCGTTCCCCTCTCCTTACCGGTCGTGTTTCACGCTGCACTCGTCCTCTAATACATGTTAACTCACCGTCTAATAGATCCTTCATATTCCCCGGAGACTTACTCCACTATTTACCATTATGGAAACGAACTTCACTAATGACTTGAAATTAAACCGGTGCCCGCACCAGCTAGAAGAGAAACTGACTTCATGATATGGAGTGGTTCACCTGTGATGTGACGACGTAGTTATTGTACTGACAAAATACAAAGATGTAGCAAAACAAAAAGTATTCAGAAAGTTGTTTGTTAAATGATATTAAAGAGTTGATTGGATGGACACGGGTCATGAGAGGGGACGCGACGCTGGCCGTTCGTTTTTCTTGATTACATATTAAACTAAAATCCTCAGGCATGTCATCAGTATATCGAGGTTCATATTTGATTATAGCTTGGTGCCCGTCGACGCGGCGGGGTCGTTAAAAGAAGTGGCCCCTTATATTATATTATATAATATGATGCAGGTCACTCGCTGCCGGGACTGGAGGAAAGTTAAGTTATACAGGATACTTACAAAGAATACACACACATACACACATACATATAATAAAAATAATTGAGACGTGGACAGTGGCATCATGAGTCAGTGGACGAAATGTAAAGTGGAGAGCGTTAGTGCAGCATCAGGTCGATGATGATCTTTACTCCGTATAGTGAGGGGTCCGAGTAAGAGGAGGAGGCGGCGGGGGGAGGGGGGGGGGAGCTTTGTTGATAAACAATGCTGGTTGTGTAACACGGCCGCGCCTCAGGCACACACACGGAGTAATAGACAGATACCGTTACCATCGTTATAACAAAATTAAAGTTGGAATCTGTTATATACGTCGTAGGAGCGTATTCTCTCCAACCACTAGTATCAGATATTCATAAATCATTACAGAGAGTCGCCTCCTGTCATATGTTTCATTCTCTCCGCTCTCCGCTCGTCGCTCGTCCACGGTCGATCGTTATTACACCGCTTTAAAAAGCTTTCGATGATTTGTGATTAAATGTTTTGATGCGGAAAATTGTGCGACCGATTCATGTACAGCGGGTTCGGGGTTTACACTCCCGTGGATGACTGTGGTGTGTGTGTCGCTCAGATAAACGGTTCAGTTCATTGAGGTTCACACATTGTAGGACGATCTTTTATATTATATAAATAATGAAATATAGACAGAACACTGTAATGTTATCATTGAACAGTCTTCTTTCGGCAGCACAACACATAAGATGAATAATTTTGTTTGTAGACTTGTCATTTAAAAATGTTCTTTAGCTTTTAAATATTAAAACAGAAATCTATTTAATAAGTTGACCGGTCGACCTGATACATTATAATAGATTTTCCTTATAATGAGATAAAAACCAATACGAGTACACATCTCCCTTCAGTTCTGTTCAATCTTGTCTCCTCGTGTCCGACACACCTAACACTATGTATGTTTTAATAAAACATTTTTTTGTATAACAAATATATTTCTTGTATGATTTCAATGTTATAATTTAATGTTATATAAATTAATATGACACACTATATGTCATTACTAGTACATGGTTGAACTGGGATCAGTTAGAACATGACATGATAATAAGCAAAAACCACTGTCAACTTTATTGATATTTAAATGAAAGTTGTTAATGAAGGCGTTTATCGAATCTAATAATAATGTTCGCAGGGTGGTCGTTGCTAGGAACTATTCATCTTTCCTGAACCAGATGGAGGAGGCAAGAATCAGAGAGTCCTGCATCCAGCACGTGATAAATACTATACATTAATGTAGACTTCGACATCGTTAAGTTCATGGCCGGCCCTCCCCGGGTATAGCTGCCCAGTTACCCTAATTACCCCGGAGTCGGTGACAGGTCAACACTGCTCTTGTGTATGTCACAATCGAGTTTCGGATAATTATTCGGTATGATTCCTCATATGATAATAATTTCGATGTATTTTCTTATTATTTTCATTCATCTAAGGTTCTCATGTCTGAGATTTTCTTCTTTTTCTCCTCCAGAGATCGCTTCACCAAACTAGTGATTGACATTTTTAATGTCTTTTTGTATCACCAGGCCTAAGGGTGATTCTTTTTAGAATATACTTAGTCGATATGTAATACGGTTAAACAACTACTGGGACAATTTTGAAATGAAATTTCATAAACTAAAAACACTTAAACAAACATTCAACACATCGCTCACTGTTAGTCTTCTTAGAGAGTCACAACATCTTTTACTTTTATAAACGTGTGCTTGGATCATATACAATATCAAAGCTCGTCTTTAAACACTGACTGTTCCTTATCGAGCCCTATCATTTGAAATGAATGCACCGTGTAAAAATAGATTAAAATTAACAATAAACAAAAAGAAGCAGGATTGTGAATTTCCTTTTTCCGTAGTCGGTAAAAAACAAACTGCCTACCGTCTGTATATGTAAGCTTGGTACCAACACCCGCGTATGTTCGAAGAGTGATGTGTTTGTTGTGTCAACAACAATTTGAATCTTAAATTGTATCAAGGGTGGAGGTCAGTGTCTGTGGACGAGACATTGTCTCACTCCTGGTGTTAGCTTCTCCTAAAAAATCTATTTTTCTCTAGTGGTTACGCTGGCATCTCGTCTTTCTAGTGATAATAATATGTACTCTAAGCTTACTCTCGTGAATAGCATCGACAGCTGTCCTTATCACATCACATAGGAGGAGTGAGGAGCACAACAGACACTCCCAAACAACTCATGTACATAATGAGTGTAATGAATGAATAAGATTTACTCTTTGACAAAATGACACAAATATAATATAAAATAAGAAGATTTATATAATAAAAGTTTACATAATTCCTGAAAAATATATATCAACTGTTCGTGTTATAAAAATGCTCTATTTTGTTAGGAGATGACGAAGAAATACGTTATATTCAGATGATAATATTTTGCATAAAAATAATTTTAGTAAAGTTTCTGTACTTTTAGTGCTGACAAAGGAATTTATTAGACCATATTATTTCCAGTGTTTATTTATGAAAATTATATTTTATCAAACAATCGTCGAAGCAAGCCTCGTATTAAAATATTAATGTGATAACTGTTATCATATAAACATACTTCATACACAAAATAACGTTTTATCGACTGAGAGATGAGAGTTAAGTTAGTTACTACCTGACAAGTTACTTTTAATTTCGCGTAGAGGTCGGAGGTCAAAGAGTTATAATAATATGACATATGTCAACAAGCTTCTTTATTGCTAAAAATATAATGTCGCTGTGAACGTCTTACATTGAATTATTTTTATTAATAATTTCATTAGCATTAAAACATTTTATTATTCATATTTCTTTTATTAATCTTTCTTCCCCGCGAGTCCTTACTCCGTTTTATTTTTGTTAACACATGTCCTCAGCTCCTTCGCATATTATATAAATTGCTTGTTCCACTTTGAGTGAATGATTTCTTCAGGGTCATTATATTTCTTAAACTGTCTTTATTATACATATATATATCGTAATAAAACCATAAGTATAGTAACCCTGGCACGCCTCTCTCTCTCAGAGCGTCTTTAATCCTCTAAGAGTGAAACTTATTAACATCGAGGGACTTCGCCAATTCTGTCTCTCCCAAATCCCAACTATAGAATATATTTAATTCAGTGGATACACCCTCCCTCCCTCCCCTCCGCCCCCTACCCCCCCGGGCTCCCTTCCTCCCTCTCCCTCCCCCCGTTCCCTTATCTGAGCCGCCAGTGTTATTTACTGTGTGTACTATGTACATGTACATGTACATGTAGTCATATGTTTTCACGCACCACTCACTGATACGAGTCTCCAACTTTCTTCAGTCGACGTTGTTTATTATTGAAGTAATCTTAAACCATTCCTAACACACTTTATATATACATTTAATTTAAATACTTTAAATGATATTCAAAGGGACCCATAATTAATTATTGTAACAGCGTTATAATGTATGCGACGTATTTATACAAAACCAAATATCTTCTATATAGTACACATTGATTCTTCGACAAAAATAAAAGTAATATTTAATCACTCTGTTACTTTTTATTTTAACACATAATATTTTGTATGTTCCGTTCATTCATTATTTTCCGTCTAATAACAAAGTATATTCCAAATATTATCAAAGTGTATCCTCGAGTCGTGAATTCAAACTCCAGTTCACTCCAACATATTTAAACTTCCTCCCCGAGCTCGCTGTGACTCAATAAAAGGGATTCTTTAAACAGCTCGGGTCGGCTCGCGGCCTTGGATAATACAAAGTAAAGTGAAACACACACTGAGAATTGTTGAATGTACACCTCTCACTCCCGGTAGCTGAGGAGAGGTGTCATATAGGACTGGACGATCATGACTACTCAACTGACATCATGTGGATATAGATACAATAATATCAAGAGACAAAAAGATGAAGTGGAGAATAATCTCCATATAATAATATAGATACATGACAATACTATAATGTGACTTGAACATTATGAACTAGCCTGTGGACCGGTCTCTGAGGCGATGTAGAAACAAAAACAAAAACATATTAAAACGAGGAAGGAATTATAATGTTGTTTACTGGTTCACTTGTAGGAGACCGGACTGTTTAACGTGATCCACATTGATATAACGAAATATATTGTTTAATATTTGACGAATGTTTAAACAAAACTTTATTCAATTTTAGCTTTATGTGAAGATATGTCAAGAAGTATGGAATCAGTGTAGGGTGACAGTTATTATGTTAATATCATGTCTGGGGGATGTCTGTGTGTTTAGCCGAGCTCCAAACAATCCGTGGACTAATGACCCACACTGACCCCGCAGTTACATCATGCGTTTGAAAAATTGAAAATTAAATATTGTTGTTTATTTCTTATAATAAAATATTATTTATCTAAAATAAAACAAAGGTGTATTCAATGTTCATAGTTGATTGTTTTTTAATAATGAAATACTGAATGTGTTAACGTATGTTAAAAGAAAATCATTTTCAAGTGTCATACTAACATCTAATCATTACCTACCTACGTATACAAGTAGTGTGTAAGAAATAAATATTTTTTATGTGTTATTCTGAATGAAATAAAAATAAATACTTTGGAATAAAGATTGAGCGATAGATATATGAGAAACGTGCCAAGTGTGAGTTGAATTAACACTTGCAGGGTCCGTAGGTACATTTATTTATCACAGCGGCATACAAATTATTGATTTTGTATTAGATAGACATAGCTTAGTGACTGATGAACCCGAAGCAAAGTTTTAGTATTAGGGTCTTTTAGAAACGGAACCCTAAAAACAAGATGCCATTTAGATTAATTAGTATGGAAATTAATGGCCCTTGTAAATTCAAATGACCAACACAGAGTAATGAAACTATTAGAGACAACATTGAACTAAACTCCATCAGCGACTCCTACCACACGAGGAGCCTCTGTATCAAGATGCTGATGGGTCTGTGTGTGTTACATGTCTTAGGTACATGAAGAAGAACTCCTCTCACATCTCAACCCGTTCTTGATGATCTTATAACGTGTTTCATTACTTAATATTTCACCTAGTTATAATATTTGACACAGTGAGTCACGTAGTCATGTACATACAGGCTCGCTCACCTTACATCACGTAGCTGTTCCATATTATTACATATAATATATAAACGTATATAATATCGCTGTATTTGTATTGTGAAAAATTTAAACGACTTTCTGAAAATATGTACATTTTTTTTCATTAAAACTTACAAATAATATTTCATCTATAAGGAAAGCGTCTCCAGAAGTAATCCAGACTTTGGAGATCATATCTCGCTGTCGAGATTCATCAAGTCCGCGGAGAGAGAGAGAGAGAGAAAGAGAGAGTGTGAGAGAGGAGGGGGGGGGTGGAAGTGAAAGATGCAAATTAAATATGAATCATGAGGTCCGACACGAGCATGAGTTTCCGCAGCATCTATCAGCCAGGAGAAGTAATACATTTAATAATGGTAACGAGAAAATGAAACGAGAATATGTATAAATAACACTTGATACATCAATACTAACATCCGGGAAAAAACTACATCCGGTATCTTATTAGAATATAACGAGAAAAATAATTATAATAATAGTGGACATAAAATGATTAATAATACATACAAGCGTGAAATAACACACTATATATGAAGACTGTAGTTGTTGCTCGTCTTTTAATATTAGACTAGTCACGTTTAATATTTATAAAATACGAAACTTCAATTATAACTAAATTATTTAAAAGTCATTATAAGTTTTAACTGTAACTTAATGTATTTGTTTAAAACTATTATTTAATTTCATTTATAACGCGTGTAACTGAGTGTAAGTCTCTTACTGTACATACAGTAACTTAATCTCTTTTTTATAAAAATAATTAGTTATGTTTAGGTTCATCACACTCCCGCGTCTTGATAAGTTCTCATCACAGTGGACACTGTATTTTGTCTCATTCTGTTTCTGTAGGGTTCTTCTGTCACTTCTGATCATATTAAATACAATGTTAAAATATTTCTGTTTCTCTTATTATTATTATTTGTTATCAATGGATATCTAAACATTGACAGCAGCGAAAATGGAACATTGAAACTGAGAGTCGCCTTCATTTGAGTGACAAATTATAAGCATATAATATGATAACTTTGATTATTCTTCAAGGATTTTATTTACCATTTTTTATTTTTAGTTTTATTAATAAATATAAACAATTAATTATAGAGCAAACTGTAAATAATAATTAGTAATCCCTCACCTTCAATCCTTCCTCGCAGCATCAGTTATATCTCTGTATCTCGCCTCATTCTCGTCCACATCCACAGTCTCCCGGTCGGAGCTGAGTGTTCACAAGGGTGAAGGGAATTTGTCAGCTTTAAATGAGTCTCTCAAACGAACATCGCTCATTAATAATAATTAATTGTAATGTTTAACTAAATGGTTTAATATACAGGGTGACTGGTGAATTACTATCGATATTTGAGGACGTGATATTTGACGATCATATATGACAAAATAAAAATTAATATAACATAAATATTAATAAACTTCTAAGTAAAGTTAACCAAAAGTTATGTAATTAATTACGCATCGTGTGAACACCCTACAGATTAGGTATACACACACACACATACGCGCGCGGCGGCGTGTTGTTGTATCAGCACGCCGCCGCACGCGTTCACACTTGGAACACTTGGAAAATGTACACACTTTATTTATTTATACGGAAATTTGGTCAAAAATTAAGTACCTATTTTTTTACATAATTCGAATGAGAATCATGTACCGAGTATTCTCCTTAAATATTGATATGTAGTAATTCACCAGTCACCCTGTATAAACACGTGGTCCCGCATCACACGGAGACTAATATATTTATTTCAGTGACTCCTGTTATAAGTACATCATGATAACATAATTTTATAAAGGTCAGTATAATAGTCACCATGTGTACGTTGTTACAGTTCATAGTTGGAGCTCATCTCTCTGCTATGAGTTCCTGCAACATGTTTTAATGAGCCTGTCGTCTGTATTTCAATGTATAATGTCACATATTAACGGCTCTCTCGGAAGATTTAATACATTTTAAACCCGTCATGGGAAATGGGACGTGCTGTGACGCCGACGTGTGGCGTGTGGCGTGTATACTGGACAGAGGGGTTGAGGAGATGTAAAAATATTGTTATATATAATATCAACAACACAAAATACATGACACGACAATCTCTGTTTAAATAACGAGAGATATATAGAAGATATAGGTCTTATGAATATATTTAAAACGGTATAATAATAATTATTATAATCCTCGTTATGATTCATTCAAAAAACAACAAAATTCACTGTGAGGCAAGTTATACTAGAACCCACCACACCCACCTTACTGATTAACAAAACTATTGACATATGTAAAAGTATTTATTACAAGTACGATTCCATATCAATAAAAATATATAAAAGCAACAGAAAACAACTTTACTTACTTCATGTCAAACAAATACTAAAGAGATTTCAACTCGTGTGAGAACAATTAGAATTCCTAATTAGTAAGAATAAACTTTTAACAGGGAACCAATAAAACGAAGACAGAGCTCTGAGAGCGAGGACTCAGGCACGAACAGAAATGTTCAAGAGAACTAATTAGAAATAATACTAATGCTATACTATAGAGAGATGAGATGAGAACTGTTATTCTCGGGACAGAACTTACTGTGGAGCTATCCTGACATGATTCATGACACTAGTTACTCCTACACTCCTCCTCAACTTAATCTGAATGTTATCAAATAATTCATTTAAAATCTTTATTTTTCTCTAAAACTATCGACGTGAGCCGGAACACTATGTATAGTGAACAGTAACTAACAATTCACATTCATCAGTAGACAAGACTCGGAAGTAAATAGCTCACATGTAGACTTATATTGATACATATTGTAAGGTTGTACGAGGAGACTCACTCACTGTTGGTAGTATTAACTCTGGTCCCAGCGAGTGTCCCCACAACCTTGTATATATAACACGTGTGTCAGTGTGTGTGTGTATGTGTGTGTGTGTTGTGTGAGCGCGCCGTTTATTTCATATTATTTATATTACCTCAAGGGCTCTCACCATCTGATTTTCTCGATCGTCGATTTGCTTGAAATTGAATTTCATTTTCTCCTCCCCGCGGCCGGATATAACACGGGTACAGGCGAGGGTGCCTCACACCCCCACACCCCCACACCCCCACCCTACACCCCCGGTGTAAGTGTGATAGACCCGGTGTATAGAATGCTATAACCTGGCCATCAACACATGAGGAACGATAACTGTATTTGAATGTAAGCCTCTCGGTCCTTCTAGGAACATTAATATTCATCTCGTCCTCGTGTCTACAGTTCGTTTGTGTTTCATCTTTTATTAGTCCTCTGTGTGTGAACTACAAGTGTGTGTCGTCACACTACATACTAACCTACGTAAAGAATAAAGTTTGAATATTTATGAACGATTAACTGTTACGTTACCGCTCCGTGTGTACTCTAAGTGTACAGAACTCGGACTAGGCAGACAACTTGAGTGATGACACAATACTTATTCAAAATATATCACGGTCATATAAAAGGTTAGATCTTTTTTACTCAAAACTTAGATTTTTTACTGAAATTCATGTCGTCTCGTAATGAAAACTTTTCATAGAAAAATCTAACTGCGAAGTGATAAGACAGTGATGAATGGAAGTTGGTGTGTCTCACGAACTTGTAGCTGAGTAACCATCAGAGAAGGAGAAGTAAAATGTAAATTTTCTAATACTTTTGATGTTGATTGAAAGAGTAAATAGATATTGTAGCAGGAAATGCTTATTCCATGTTAGAGGAAACCTTCTCCTCGGTTTGTGAATCTGTATATTCTACATACACAGTTGTATACCGCGTCGTTACCTGCCACCCTTCATCTCTCCCCCTCACGTAACGCAGTCGGGGAACGTTATTTTGTTATTTTCAAAAAGCTTAAAACCCATACAATAATTGTTTGTGACGTGAATGTCCATCAAAGTACTTCCAACATTCTGTGAACCCTCGCCTCATGTTTGATCTGTTTCTGAAGCGTCCTCTGTTACAGTAACAAATATTTTATACTCGTACTAACCAAATATTGATTAATTATTTCTTACAATCAATAAAAGGCATAACATGGAATAAACCTATATATAAGAATACATAACAGTAAGTAGTGTTAGTTACACTATTTATAAGTCAAGGACGGCTGTACGGATTTGTCCTAAAATTAGTAGGGATCTAGCTTGGAGCCACGAGGCAATCCTAGGATACTCTCATACCGTTCCGCGGAAAATAAATAATTTAATAAACACCAAAATCATTTGTAATTCTCAAACTGAGACATAGACCAGTGCAGATGCCTCTAAAAATGATGAAAAGTGAAAATAAATTATGGTAGAATGAAATCCATAAAAAAAGGAGGAGAATATTTTAAAAATCAAGGGAAAAATAATTTACGGGCGATCTGAGGTCGGGAAGGGTACGGGAGTGGGTATTTAAGGGTAAAAATGGGTTTTCTCGATTTCCGGAAAAACTAAGAGTCCTAATGAAAAATGTTATATGGCAAAGTTGTAGGTAATAAAAAGATCTAAAACTTTTGTTTTAACACTTTTTTCACCTAACCTGAAAATTTATGTGACAAATTCAAAAAACCAAGTTTTTGGTTTTTTATTTTTATCTCTTACAAAAAACAATTTTTTATCACGAAATTTGGTGAAAACTTTGCTTTTGATGTTACAAATGCACTGTAATTTATTTGATTAGTAATATTTATTTTTTCATCTTATTTTGAATAAATACCTTAATACAGCCTCATTTTCAATCGAAAAATCACCCGTCAAAATATCAGCGTTTATCAAAAATTTGGTGTGTTTTCTGTTCGTTGAAATCTCTATTTTTTGATGATGAAGAAATAAATATAAGTTTCTTACTGACAATAGGTACCATTTTTGGATAAAATAATCATGTCTCTTTTAATGAAATGACACTCGACATCGGGTTGAAAATGCTCTTTCTAATTTATTATACGATTATTTTTTCTTTAATTTTTATAATATTCGACTCCTTTTCTAATGAGTTTCATTCTACTATAATTTAATTATGTTTTAAAAGCTATCGGCACTGGTCTAACAGACACAGTAGCCGACAAAAACTACATAGTAATATATATCACTGACCACCTCTCATTGAGTTTGTTGTCGATTCATAAATCAAAGTGTGTCCAAACTTAAACTAGTCGTTGTTCATACGAGGCTATGAACGCCGTCTCCGGTTATATTATATACTGTTTATATTTAATTCAAACATTATTTTGTGTTTTAATTCTTAATCCTGTGTAATGTGTCTCGTGAGCCGTCCTCACCTCGCGGCGGCTCCTCGACAGTGATTCAACAGTCGTTGTAACTTTAACTCTTACATTTAATGTGGACGAGCTCCCTGCTCCTCGATCAACGTGTTTCTGAGATGAATTATAAACAGTAAGTAGGAACGGATCATGATCCTTACAACTTTCAACATTAACTCTAGTCTCTAGTAAACACTCGGAATACTTATTATAATAATTACATCTAAAATCAATGCTGCTTTTATAAAAAATGTAAGTACATATTTATACTTGTTTTGTACAATTCATAATTATTTTTTTAATTTTGTATGGAGGTGGATTCAGGTGAAGGGTTTGTTGTCTAAACCTGTCACTGGAGTGACGAGTTCCATGAGAGGATACAAGACCTGACTACAGACATCATCACCTCGTCACTACAACACTCCTCTATGAACAGTATACGAGTAATCCATTATTATAAGTCTACATCACTGACAACACAACGAAACGAAGCAAACATTCCAAATATATTATAACATATTGGGATTATAAGATAATTATCTTTACTCCTACTACAAGTCATATTTTTGTGATAGAAATACAAAAACAGAGTAACAAAATTTTAAAACTTTTCGTTTTATTTTGTTTGTTTCATAAAATGCTTTGAAAAAAATTACTATTCGCTATTAAAGATGTGACCTAATTGAAAACCTATCCTAATATATATTTTTTCGAAACCTGAAACATTATTATTTTAAGTTCACTCAAACTTGTACTCCTCATACTGAGTTGGGAAAATAATGGTTTACAGTCACATAGAGACATACAAGACGTGTCAACCTGGACTCGTCTTTAAATAATTCTATTAATAATAAAAGTATTTACTTTTCATAATATATATTGTTACGGGGAGGGTGTTGTAGTTAGTATAAACAATGTTAAAGGAGGCTGTTCATTAATCTCATTCCCGACATAATCTAAGAGGAATTTTTATCTATTGCTGAATGTCTGCTAATTAATATGACTTTAGTGTAGGGTGTTAGTCTCTCATGTGTTAAGGTCAGTTTCTGTATCACTTGCTCACTTTATATATCTATATATATTAGGTATGGTACTGAAGAGGACGCCTGTACGGTATGAGTGTCGGCGAGTAGTAACGTGTGTTCGGAGGACGGGAAGGTTGGGGTTCATACAAATTAAAATCACTTATATAATTGATTCGTTTTAATAGTCATTGGCTTTACTTTGACCACTAAACATGTGAGGTTTTCTTTTTTTTAATTCTTTATACATACTTTAATATTTATACAAATAATTTTTTTTGATAAATTAATATCTAAAGAGGAATTTTTTGTATACATTCTCATTTGTATCGTGTTCAGTTATCATGACCATCTCCTACACTCTGATACAGGAATGAATGTAGTGTAGTATAACATCACAGGTCCGCCTGACCCGCTTGCACTGACACCACACCCTGCGTACAGTCCACCACACAGTCGCGAGGACAGACGACACGTACATATTTCAATATATGAACTGAACTGTATCTGTCACTGATGAACATTCAGACGACTGTCCCCACAATACACATTACAACTTATTTACCTTCTCCACGGCCCGACACTCCGCCGTGAGCCGACCCGCGGCCGTTTGTATCTAACTCCATACACTACAGTGACAACACTCGAGTCGCCCTCCGTAAACATGACAGCCGCACTCTGTTTACATTGATGTTTGTTCTGATATCGACTCTATTATAACTACACATACAGTCTACATCAGAGTGACCGTGTGAAGGTGTACACGATTGTTTGTCATTATTTAGGACCGCGCGGATGTAATCTTTAGAGAGCAACACGACGTTAGAAATAAATAATAAGTATTAAAACAACTCATTAACTACATAAGTTACAGTTCACTTACAACGTGAGCACTGTGTGTCCTTAATGTCTTATAACCTTATATTACAGGAACTCTCTCCACGTCACCACCTCCTCTCCGCCACACTCCCTGTGTCGGATCCTTCGTCACTTCCTCACTATATGTTTGTCATATCGTCACTCCACTGCTCCCCGCCGTCAGTTGTTGGGTAGTATAAAGCTGTCTTCGAGCTGCGTCTTCTGCTCCTTGGCCTCCTCGTGCTGAGCCGTGTGTGACAGGTTGAGCGCGTTGTTCTCCTGACTGTAGCAGCTCGCCCGCTGGTTCTCCTCTCCGTCCAGCAGCTCGTGCAGCAGACTGAGACATTTCCGTTTGAAGAGTCTCTGTTTCTTGGGCGGTAGCTCCTGGTAGTCGTTGTGGATCCCTCTGAAGAACTGGAAGTACGAGGACGTCTCGTCGGGGGCGAAGGAGCCGGAGCTGTCGTCGGTGTGGAGGGAGGGGGGCGCGCGGGGCTCCGGCTTGGGCGAGTGGGGGGCGCTCAGCGCGAACCAGGGGCTGTGGATGAACGGCTTCACGTCCACCGACTCCGAGTTGGAGGACTCGTTGATGTCCATCTCCAGCATGGTCGGGGCGAAGCTGGAGTACGGAGACGATCTCCTTGGAACAAGAAACACATCACTGAGTACGGAGCTCGCTACGAGGGGTCGTTATGAAGGTGTGAGGAGAGGTCTCACATGTCGGTGGCCATGTGCTCCCGGAGGAACTCCAGCTCGTCGGCCAGGTACCAGCGGCTGACCATGCGGCCCTTGCTGGTGCAGGCGCCGTGCATCTCGTTGCGGAGGTGGCGCGAGTACGAGTTGCGGATGTGGGACCACTTGCGGCGGACGTCCGCCACTACACACACACACAACATTACATGTACAATGTATAGAACACTGATTGAGAAGAGTTACTTATACTGTATGACTTACATCGTAAATTAATTATTACTTATTAGAGAATTCATTACAATCTGTACAGTGTTAGAAGACAGTTGTGTTTTAGGTTTCCTTAAAATGTAACGATTCTCTGATAATAATATTAAGATGAGTGGAGGACGACGCTCTCTACAATATATTTGTATATTAATTTACAATACAATAAATATTTATTTTCTATTCATCCGCGACATGTAAGAACAATAGTTCTACTACAGCCAACACACAAACTATATTTCATTTAAGCTCGCAATATATTCCGATCGTTTCAATAGTTCGTTACACAGACCTAACTGTCATGGAAAGGGTTTTCATTTTATTTTAACTAAATAAAAAAATGTATGATATGTAAATAAAATTTCAATTATATATCCTTGTTTTATAATCTCCATAATAATATGATTGATCAGTATGAGAGACGTGAGTGTATGAGAGTCGAGAGGTTGTCACTTGTCAGGTAGAAACTAACATCACAGTGTTTAATGGACACGGTAACGTTATTGTTATTTTAACAAGAAAAAAAACACAGTTACTGGAAGATTTAAAATGTTTTCAACTTTTTACTATTTGACTTTTAGGATATGTTTTAATTTTCTTATAATAACGATTTAGAATTAAATGAATTAAAGAAAACAACTGTTACTAGAGACTGGACAGTTAGACTACTCCTGATCATTCAGCACATTTTGAATGAATGATCTTAATGTATGACAAGTACAGCTGCGACGACTGTGTGTGTGTGTGTGTGTCTGTTTACGTGTTCCCTGCCACCTCACACACCGGACTACTAATCCCTACTAATATTATAAATGCGAAAGTAATTCTGTCTGCCTGTCTGTTACGCTTTCACGCCTAAACCACTGAACTGATTTTAATGAAATTTGGTACAGATATAGAGTTGATCTTGAAAAAGAACAAAGCATAGTTTTTATCCCAGACTTTTGAAAAGTTCTCTTGGAAACGCGATATATTCGAACTCCAAGCGGGCAAAGCTGCGGGCGGAAAGCTAGTACAATATAAGAACTATACTATCATAATATTATTCAATATAAATTATTGAGTTATTATTAGTTGTCATCGATAAAGATAACGTTGATAAAGACTCGCGTTTAACCGACTCCGAAAATGATGTCCCCTTTAAAATATATACATATATACGATAATTAGATAATGTGCTAACATATATGTAGTATTAAAACCGCGGGATGTACAGTGTAGTGTGTAGTGTGTGGTGCCCGCGACTCCGCTCGTTATGAACGGTATTACCAGCAACAGTAATAGTAACGCTCCACACAAACACACAGACACGAACACAAAGACACGCCGCGCTCCCCCTCCCCCGCCCTCCCCGCCCCCTGCCCGCGCTCGCCTCCCTCCCTCTCTGTCTGTCTGTACGTCTCTGTCTCTCCCTGTGTGCGTGTGTGTGTGTGTGTTTGTGCGTGCGTGTCTGTGCGCGCGTACCGGTCCATCCCATGGCGGCGGCGACCTCGTCCCAGAGCGCCTTGACCTGCGTGTAGAAGCTGGCGACGGGCATGTTGTTCCTGGCGTACAGCAGCCGGCGCTCCCTCACCAGCCGGATGAGGCGCCGGTCGTCCGCCTGGCTGCAGTCCACCATCCTGCCCACGTCGCCCTTCGCCTTGAGCTCCTCCTCGCACACCATGGGCCCCAGCGACACCCTCTGCCTCTTCTCCTTCTCCATGGCACACGTCACGTCCGGCCGGCGGCGCGGCGCACACAGCCAGACACGCGCGCACGCTCGCAGACAGACACGCGCACGAGGGGAGCGGGGAGCGCACGGACACAAGCAAGAGCGCACACGGCCGCGGGCGGGGTCCGGGGGGGGGGGGGACACGCGGCGCTACTTTTATAAATTCCACATCGGTATCGATTCGCGCCGGTCCTCGGCGAGCGAACCATTATTATTTTTTCTGTATATTTCGGTCATCATCAATGTGTCTGTTCCCTACTGTACCTGTACGGTCACCTCTTCATCGCCCCGTCACTCGCCCTGACCTTCGTCCCCTCCGCTCCTTATCTTTTATCTCTTATCAGTCGCCGGTACAGTTCTGCTACACTGTACTCGATGTTGAATGATAATATTGATAATGATGTTATTTTGGATCCTAATTAATTAGTATGAATCGATAAGCGAGCTCCGACCGTGACGAGGTCAGTGCACACACACACACACACACACACACACACACACACACACACACACACACACGGACCTGTGGAGTGTCTGTGTGTGTGTGTGTTATTGTAATGTTGTTGTTTCCGTCGTCTCCTACCGGTTATAATATGCCTAATGTAATACAGTAAACACAAAGTATTATACTAATTATAAACTGACTTGTATTGTTTTCTCCACGCTGCGGTCCGAGTGTAGTCTGTTACAATACTCGTTTGTACATAACATACAAGTTTCTTAACAACAAATCAGAATGATAACTAACAAATCCTATATGAAGACGCATAATGAAGTAAAGCTACGACTGTAATATACAACTCTCACCCCGCAGCTCACAGCTCGTTGTAAACTGAATATGTGTCACACATTGTAAGCGCGTGTTTCCACGGTAGTGAGTAAAGACGTCGATGTGTTTCAGTAGTGATGACTGTCGGGGACGGCGGGTCTTATGGAGACGTTAAAATGGCTCCGGGGCTCGGAACTAGTTTAATGACAACATTTTATTCCATAAGGAAGACATACGTTAAGTTCCATAATACATTAATATTCTCGTTACCGCTGTAGTCACACAATCCGTGGATCATTTCACGAGAACGATCTCAAGGTACCTATCTACAACACTCATCTCCAACAACACATTAAACAGGAGCTGAGTTCAGGAGACGCAGCCGGCCTCCTCGTGATCATACTACATAATGTATATTTTAATGACTTCTTTTACTTTTCGTTGTACACAAACGAGGGCGGGGGCGTCAGTCCATCACCTGGAGCCCCGCAGATTAATTGAATAGATACCTGTCGCACTTCCATAATCATTTTATTAATACAGGCTGCCCGGGACGGCGGTACGGTCGTTTTACGACACTTTTTAAAAAGCTCTTAACTTTACAGCATTTCTTAAAAGTTGGGCAATAAATTCGCACTTCCATAAAAATAGCTGAATAAACTTTGTGTTAAGCGGAAAGGAGTACCGGGGGAGAGTCGGGCGTGGATGTAGGGTGGTGGCGGGGAGGGGGGGGGGGTCGCAGTATAACTGTCACGATGTGATCACGGAGCAACCGGCCGGGATGCAGGAATCAGCTTCATATCGTAAATTCGTATCATTTTTACGAGCGCGGCGCCCGTCCTCTGGGTTGGCAAATTTGAATTTGAGAAGTAATTTCAGAAGTCAGTTCTTCCCCTCGCGGCATACAAATGATCTGTTTTAATTGTCCCTCCTCACTACTGTTGTAACCTCGCTCCTCGCTCCCCGCTCCTCGTTACATATACGACACTCCACTCTTACTAGTAGGCACACAAATACATAAAATCACGATAGAAAAGGATATAATTTGATAAACGAAAAATTATAATGAAATCAATTCTCTTAACAACATCGTCCCAGAGTTTTCAGCTGACTCGTAAACCACACAGTACCTTAGTTAAAGCATAGTTTTTGGAAACATTCCCCTTCTAGATCCCTATACTTTGAATCATTGAACTAATACATCGCACCCTTCTCTCCCTGACTAAACAATAACTGTTCAATTGTTAGGACTCGACGGTCTATACAGTAATTGTTCTCTTAGCACCGATGTATCGCACCATTAGTTATGAATGAAAAACTTTGTTTATCTGCATTTATAAATGACACTCGTATTTATAAGATAATTAATTACAGAATGAAAAATGTTATTCCGCGTCCATTACTGTGAAACAAAAGAAATACAGAGAGAGAGAGAGAGAGAGAGAGAGAGAGAGCCTGTAGCTGACAGAACACGCTGGAGACCGATCTTATGTTTAATGATGATTAGTTTATATTATAAACAGCCTGGTCTTCTGTTTATTGAATGAAAAAATAATATTAATGGATAAATAGAGGAATGAAAGAATTAATTTATGGATGGATGGAGGGATGAAGGGGTGAGTGAGAGGGTTAGTGGGCTCGGAGGGCTGTTATAGTAACAAACGACCTTAACTCAGTTAGATCTCAACAGTACTACAGTCAGTATTATTTCTTCTTAACATTTAAATGATAATAACAGACAGACACACACGTGTATGTTTTATAAAAACGAAGTCGGTATAGATTCATCTGTTGTGTCCTCACAGAGACACAGACTCCCACTGAGACGTGTGTACTCGTTGAACGAAAGATTATACAAAACATATTAATAACAATAATAAAAAAACTTCCCTAAAAAGTCAAATTTATGATGTTAAAAGAAAACCAGAGACTATAAAGTCGGCCTCAACTGACTGTAACTTTTAATGATTAGTTACTGTATAATTATTTTTATATAATGTAACTGATGATGAAAAGCAAACTTAACTATTACAGTTAATTTATCTTTCGTAAATAATAGTAACTCTTGTAACCAAGTAATGTATAATTTTACTAAAATATTAATGTTATCTATTATTGTTTTTGTTAACACACAAATAAATTAGTATACTTCAATTGTACAACAAGTCTCACACAGGTCTAGGATACCCAGGACTCTCCAACAATGCAGCCTGTGTGTCGCTAACTTTGTTATAAGCAGTTTTAGTTGACACAGAAATTTGTTTATTTTGAGTAATCAAAGAGTACTCCGGTCAATTCAGTTCTCTTCAGACAAAAGATTTTGATGGTGAGACCTAACAATACTCATTCACTGACTCACACGGACCCTAAATAACTAACAACTGAAGCTTCCTTCACGGTCACTCTCCTATGTACCTATGTTATGTATCACAGAGCCACGTATATACCAAGTGATACACGTCATGAACCCTGTCTTTCCTCGTCCCCGAGTCAGTTTTCTTTCGTCCAACAGCTCTCTAAATATAATCTTCCCAGAGCCGGCGCTCACTCTGTAACTCTATATTGATTTACGGACCAATTAAGGGACGAACACATTTTTTCGATGAACAAACGGGTCGTCGGTTATTTTTTTCAGTAAAATTAAACACAGCTCCGATTTCTCGTAAAAAATACAGTATAATAACTTGCGTTTGTTGTTAGTTTCTGAAACTTATTAAAACTGTTGTAATGACAGATTAAACAATAGTTAAAGAAACAGCAGTCGGTAGTCTTCTAATATTCTGCTGGTCAAGTATATTTCAGATTCTGTGTTATTCAACTCATTACATTCAAGTCTTGACACAGTTATTTTCGTATTTTTTTGTTTGTCTCTTGCCGACGTGTTCTGTACGAGGGAATGCAATTTATAGTTTGAAAAACTAAACAGGAAGCCAAAATGTTCCGTTCCATGAACGTGCTATTACTATTGAAGTAGGAAGGTGCGGCACACACACACGCGAACCAAACATATGTTTCCTTTGACAGAAAACAGCTGTTCAGCATTCCGAGAACACATTTTAACGGTCGGGCTCGTGACGAGGCGGCTAGGTAATAAGGTTCATTATAACAGACTCTCTGATCAGCTGATCGCGAGCTACAGACACACACACAGGATGCGGCGAGGGGTCCTACTAAGAGTAGTTAATATATTGGCGAGGTTTGTTGTCGCTACCTGCTGCTCGGTTATTATACTAGAGCCGCCTTCCTGGTCATGACACAGGTACCTGGCGGGTACAGACCGGGACCTTACATCGGACTGTTGATATTGAAGTACATTGTTATGTTAACAATACATATCACTTTTATTATATCTGTAATTGATGGCAACAGGTACAGGTCGCTGAACAGTTCGTGAGCATGTGTTATATATATTAAAGAGATTTGACAAAACTAAAAATATTCTGTATATAATATATGTCATATACTTACATATGATATCCTCTTACTATGTAATATTTGTCAATGGAATTACTAATGTTTTATGTAAAATGATTAACACACACCTGAAAGAAGCTATGTACATATTAGTCAAAGTAGAAGTCAATTTATTACCACTTACTGAACTCAAGAAACGTCTTTAAGAAATATCAATATTTTAAGACATTAATCTCTATTAATATTGTAAATGCGAAAGTAACTCTGTCTGTATGTCTGTTAGGCCTTCACGCCTAAACCACTGAACTGATTTTAATGTAATTTGGTACGCAGATAGAGTTGAGAATGAGAAAGAACATAGGATAGTTTTTATCCCAGACTTTTGAAAGGTTCTCTTGGAAACGCGATATAACAGAACTCCACTCGGGCGAAACTGCCGCCAGAGAGTTAGTGTTTGTATATAAAATACTTTGAAATGATGTAAACTAATGAGAAATCTGGTCTTTATTGATCAAATTGGAAGTCTCAGAGTAACATACATTATGTATCGATTTTGCTAAAATAAGTTTATGATCAAACAACACTTGGAAATTAAGTTTGTAATTTTTTTGTTTAAAATTAACGAACAATACTGTTACTACGAAACATTAAATGAAATTCATTTTATTTCGATAAATAAATAACATATTCATTACAATATAGAAAAAATTTATTGAATATTTCTAGTCTGAAGACAACTTTGAATAATAAAATTTAGAGATTTCGTCGAAAACACATTGTTCATAGAAAGCTGGATATTAATAGAATTAGGAAAGAGAATATTTATAATATTAATACAGACCATATATTACTAACATACACCCAGACAGGACGGGATCATTATAACAGACTTTTTTTTTTTTTGTTATCGCGGTGAAAGGTTTTATACCTACCCCTCCGTCTAGGGGAGACAGAGGCGGTTATGTGGGATTCACGGCCAGAAGGGCCCATGTTACCCACTAAAACACCAGCGGTCACTCTCCGTTGCCGCCAAGTGGATCGCCACGGGAAACGCCGAAGCATGCATCCGCGACGATCCGGCGGCGGGCCGCGAACGGCCACCTCCCCCCCGAGGGCTCACTCCAAGTGACCAGGAGTGTCCCCCCGCCTGGCGGGCTTGCTTAATCGCGAGAGGGTTAACCCCTTACCCCTCCCACCCAAGCCCACGCGGCCAGTCTCCAACCGCCCACCGACGAGCGCAAGCGCCCGACGGCAGACAGAGAGGAAACCGACCGACCACAAGCGAACTCAGGCCTCCGGAGAGACCCGAGTATCCCCTCCCCCCCAAGACAGCCACGGACGGCCTCCTGCCAGATCCGTGACCGTCTTACTCCCAGGGCTGTACCCCCAGCCCTCCCCCCCCGTGACTGATTGCACCGGAATACACCAGTGGGCGATGGGGTCGTCACGTCCCGACGCCGGACTGCGCCGACAGTGGCCGAGGCCACCCGCCAACACGTAGGGCCGAACTTGGCAGCGGCGGTGTACACCGCCGAGCCTCGTCCTACCCACCTCCATGGGCTGCACCCCCAGCCCGGGCCAAGACCCCACGAGGAGGTCAAGGCCCTTCCCCCCCGTGACTAATTGCACCGGAATACACCGGTGGGCGATGGGGTCGTCACGTCCCGACGCCGGGATCATTATAACAGACTGTGACAACCTCACATTATAATATAATGTAGGTAATGTTGTTCCATCAATGTAATCTGTACTTTATATGAAGTTATGAGTAGACTTAAGACAGAACAGTTTTACTGTACAGCTAGAACAGCTCAGGTCAGTGTCGGGGAACAGAAATATAATGAATAAAGTAAAGTAATGAACTAGGTACAACGAAATTACTGAATGTGATCTGTAGTTAAAGAATTACATACTGATGATAGTTTGAAGAAACGTAACGCTATATACTACAGTATGACACGCGCGGCATCAGGGATATGTGACGTATTGAAACACTCCACCCGAGAGAGAGAGAGAGAGAGAGAGAGAGCGTATCTCCATACGGGACAATCTATAATCTACAAGGAATATGCAAAATCACTTACTAAGTAAGAAGATATGTAAGAACATGGCAATCAGTTGTTGATTGTTATTGTTGTTTGTTTTTATAGATAGTAAGGAAAACGACAATCATTAGAAAATGTAAATGTTTATTATATATATGAGAGTGACTGGAGATCCTACTTACAATAATATAAGGTACACAACTCGTCGAATGACTTCAAGCTTTACATTATATTGTTTGTGGAATACAAACACACAGCACAAGTATTACGGACAGAGCTCACCATCAACCTCACGAGGGGGGATCCCTCGCGCGGCTAACATCGAAGCTCCTTATATGTTTATAAAGTTACTACTGCTAGTAGGTACATACATTCCTCCACTAAACATTTAACAAATACATTTGGTATCCATCAGTCAGTGGTCCGCGCTACACTCAGGAACTCATGACACACGTTATGTAACACACACGAACTGGAACGAGTCACGTTAACTCTAATAATAACAACAGTCCTTTATAACTACAATACTGATGAGAGGTAACCTCCAGCGGCGTGAGTCAGTGTGGTCGGAGGCCGTAGCTGGCGTAGTAGTAGCGGAGGAGCGCGGCTCAGGAGGGCTTGCGGTCCTGGTCGTCGTCGTCGGGACCCTCGGGACCCTCGGGGCCGTCCGGGCCGTCGTTGTCGTCGGCCTCGCTGCTGGAGGAGGTCCCGGCTCCGCGGGCCCACAGGCTGGCGTAGTTCTGCTGCTCGGCCAGCAGCGCCTCCTCCGCCTCGATGACGGCTCCGAACAGCGTCTTCTTGATCTTGATCTGCGCCGGGTAGGGGAACCTCTTGGTGGACTGACACATGCTGTTGAAGAAGATGTCGAGCGGGTCGGGCGCGGCGGGCGGGTGGTCGCGCTTCCTCTCCCTGTACTGCGCCTCCGTGTAGCGCCGCTTGCTCTCCGCCTTGCACAGGTAGTCCAGCTTGCGGTCCATGAGTGTCAGCCGCTCGCTGCCCTTCCTCTTGGGCGACGACTCGGGCTCGGAGTCCGAGTCGTCGGAGGAGCGCGGGTCCCCGTTGTGCGCGTGCTGCGACGTCTGTGAGTGGTGGAAGTGGGCCTGGGAGCCGCCGGACCCGCCCGGGCCGCCCGGACCCGCCTGCTGCTGGTCCGCGGGGCTCGCGTAGTGCGGGGACTCGGCCGGCTTCTTGCGGACGCTCATGTGGGGCTGCAGGAACTGCATCAGGCCCATGTACTTCCACGGATAGTTCTTTTTGGTGGAGTTGCTGGGGTCTTTGGCGAGCATATCGTTCTGCCGCTTGAGAGCGTCCCGATAACTGTCGCGGAGTTTCTTCCATTTGAGTTTGACCTCTTTCACTAAAACAGACAATGAGACCACTTCCTTAAAAACATAATATAACAGATACGTCACACAAAATATTATTGTTTATGATGAATGATAACAAACATTGGAATGTTTTGTAAGATTTCCAAAATTAATTGAAACATAAATGAGCGAACCGAATATAATGCTTACAGTTACTACACATTTAACTAATAGTACATAGTGCGATACAAAAATGTTACATCGAAAAATAATAAGCCAATGAATTTAATAATAACTAATACTTCGTTGTTTAGTTTCAGCCACACGCCGGCGCGGCCACGGCTGTCAAATCTCCACATATCTACTTCAGGTATCATTCAATCAATTAAAGCATTAATCTCTTAATAAAGTACTGAGTGTGCTAATTTACTAGAACTATGTTAGTATTTATTCATTACAATAATTTAGTAATCAATAATTTAATAATCGGATTCATGATAATAACAACGTATTGACTCATGATAATACATGTGTAGTGTACTGTGAGAGAAACATTATGTATGAAGTGAAATGAGTATCGGACGGATTAATGTGTAGACGTACGTGCCGCGCCTGGCCGCACGACGCGGACGCCTTGAAACATCGCGTGGACCGGGCTCCGGGCTAGCGACGGCTGAGGGAGGGGGGAGTGAGGGAAGGGGGTGAGGGGCGAGGGAGGGGGCTCGCCGTGCGGCCGGAGCGGCGCGCGTGTGTATATGCGAGCAGGCGGCAGGCGGCAGGCGCGCACACTCACCGGAGGACAGGTCGGTCTCCTTCATGACCTCGGCCCAGGCGGCGTCCTTGAGCTCCTGGTCGCGGTACTCGATGGCCGCCGTGTTCCACAGGCACGGGTACTTGCGCACCGTCTCTATGAAGTGCTCCATCTCCATGGCGGCGGCGGCGGCGGGCTCCGGGCGCGGACTGAGGCTGAGCCCGCGCGCGCCCGGCCCCGGCCCGCCGCACACCGCACACCGCCGGCCCGGCCCGCGCCGCACACCGCCGCACCATATACACGATATACATATTGTATATCATACACTCGGTGGATGGTCACGTTACACATCTCAAGGTCACCTGTTACACACTCGCACCTCTCCTGTGACCCTGACTCCCTTCGGTCTCTCTCTCTCTCTCTCTCTCTCTCTCTCTCCTTTTAAGTAGCCTCGTCCTTGGGTGACGTCACTTCACTTTTCATAATAATCCTATAATAACGAATATTTATAATTATTATATTATGATAGTCTAGTGTCGAGGCAGGCGGCGGACCGTCTGTATGTATGTAGTGTGGGAACTTTGGAACTGATATGTCGAGAGAAACTCGACGTGTTTCATTCAAAAGAAAATAATAATAAAATCTTTTTTAGGCGACAAGACAATTTCTTAATATTTTGGTTGGCGAAAAACGTCCAATAAAATGATTCGCATCTTCCCGAGGAAGTTTCATTTCCTGAGCGTCGCCGCGCCAACCTCCCGCCGCCTCCCGCCGCCTCCCGCAGATGTCGCTTTACTTTAACGTTAACTTATTTTTTGATAACTCACAACGTTCACAAACTTAGGGTTGACGAGTGACAAAAAAATATTCAATAAGAGAAAAAAATTAAACGAATAAATGTATTTACTTCTAAGAACTTATGTGGTCTTTAAAATTTTTTTTTTTTAAACAATTTTATATACGTCTTGTCCTACACTCCGTTGTCCATCATAAGGGTTGTCACGAGGGTGTAGGTGCCAGCCCTAGCCCGTCCGCGGCGCCTCTTTCTCTAATAAAAGTTTCCGCCAATCTCCTCGTTGTACATTTTATTTTATGAGCAGTGTTTTATTTCATGTGTCAGTCACACAACACGATCATATAATATATAATACAATACATGAAATACATTCATTATTATTACGGACAATGATAAACTAAGGAAGTTAAGTAAACAAATTATTTACTTAAAGAATTAACATAAAATTCATACAAGGAAATGAGAAAATAGGTAAGTCCTGTGTGTGTGTGTCGTGTGTTACACGTGACCTTGACCCCGTGACCTCGACCTGCTGGTACACACAGGGTTGAGGGGAGGAGGAATTATATACTGTAAGTTTTGGAGACAGAAACCAGTCTCCTCTGAAAAACGACCTCCACACCTGCGTTGTATTCAGACCAGGACTCACGTCTACAGTATTAATATACATATAATAATGAACAACTATCTTTGTTATTAGTCGTGTCATGTCACCTCAGCTCTAGGAATGATAAACTGTGGACTCACCGTATAACGTGTCACGATATACATATACTACGACTAAGGATACTGAACTACTTCGACTGATCTTACATTGATTGATCTTACATTGAATTTTGAAGATATTGATGATAGTAACTGTAATTTTTTTACGTCAGTAATGTGTTAGGAAATAATTGTTATTTTATAAAATATACGAAGTCATATTTAAATGTAACCACAAAAGAAAAACACGTAAATGTAACGTGTCGGTCGGTTCGTCCTGCAATACGAGTATCAATCATTGTGCACAGTATCGTGTACTGACTGTATCCACGTATATATAATGATCAATGTACTACTGTTTACTGTCAGTTCCTCTTCCTCCGTCCTCCCTCCCTCCCTCCTCCATACAAATTAATTCACAAATTTCTATTTTCAGAATAGTCACAGCAACATATCTTAACATTACTTAAAGTTATAAGTAATTGTAATAGGAGAGCAGACTGTTCATTGCTACATATTTTAAACTAAATACGATCTGTGAGACGATTCTGTTAAATATTATTAGGAACAGAAGAAACTATTGTTTATATTGCTCGAGAATGACTGACAATAACATACTGACATACATACTCATGAATTAGAATTATTACAATGAAATGTACATATTATATTTGGTAAGATTTATGGATTAAATAAAAAAAAAATACATTATCTTTATTTTTAAAATAAAATATAATTAATATACCTATGTACTGTATGTATGTATTATCTGAACTCCGAACCTGCTTCACTGTTAGAAGGTTCGTGTAAAAGAACTCTTAAGAAACAGTGTGATGAAAAATAGGTATCAAATATGTAACGTTATTATACCAATAGATAATAATTAATTAATGAGTGTTAACAGCCGCCATGACTATCATTTGTTTTACATGTCAGTGTAACGTCTTCCTTTTATTGTGTTTTAATAACAATATAACGTGTAATCGTCCTGACTCCTGCTGTCTCATGCTGCCCCGACCTCCTCGGAGTGGTTCCTCCACCAGAATGACGGACTGTACTGTACTGAATGGACATGGAAGCACGTCATACATGACTTTATGTTTTAAAACCTTCCTCTACTAGGCATAGCGTTAACAATTACACCTCAGTATACTTACACTATAAGCCTCGCTAAGTCTGCACCCCCCCCCCGCACCAGTCCTCTGATCAGCTGATCCGCTGTGAGTGTCCTCCAGCCACCAGCGGCAGGTGTTTCCGTCTCTCTCTCTCTCCCGTCCTCCACAAATAGCTGTCCTTCTCTTCAGATGTCAAAGAAAAGAAAATCCTGATCCATATAAGATACTTGCATGTAGTTACCGTCAAAAAGTATAAATACTAAATATATCGGTAAAAGTCGCAGTAACAGTAGTTTCGTAGCTAGTAGTTATAGGAATGTAACTTTAAGCCGGTAATAAATTGAATAATAAGCCAGGTCGGGACGTGCTCACAGCTGTGCGCGATCGATGGCGCCCCCCCCCCGTCCTCCGGACGCCTCACCCCTCACCCCCCCCCTCCCCCCGGCCGGCGATGCACCGCGCCCTCGGCACCCAGCAACAGTGTAGAGTGCAGGCAGATGTGTAGGAGCTATTAAAACAGTGATCGTTAACCGGGGCTACAATGTTCCTTTGTTCTCGTCGCGGGGTGTGCTCGGACCCCACTACATCACTCCACCTCTCCGTTGCCAGCCGCCCACAGTCACCCCCCACCTCAACCCTCCACGTGATGCCCCGTATGCACTTTCCGCCCTTGACACGAGTCGATGTTGCTCAAGGGGTTACGAAAAACTTTTTCTAATACAATAAAAAAAGTTTCGTAACAACTTCAGTCACGGGTCAAGAAACACATTATGTATGAAGACTAAAGAATTATAAACAAATTAGGAAATACCATTTATTTTATAGTTAATGTAATTAAATGACACATTGCTATATATTTTTGTAAGGCGTTCAATGATTCTTCTCATTAAATTTATATATTAAATGATTTGACACTAAAAGTACTACGATCCATTATTATATTAATAACAGTCCTTATTGAATTAAACAAACAATGTTAAAGTGATCTTCTAAGTGTTCTGTTTTTATCGATAGAGATATTGAATCCGTATTGATATATTACAACATAAAGATTACAATACAATTATAGGTTTATTTTTATTATTTAATCAAAAACATTTGTTTATAAACTATAGGACATCACATTAAATCAAAACATTCAGATAACAATTTTGATTGTTTATCAACTGACAATATAAGAAATGTTTTGTTCTCAGAAACGCCTACACGTTCCGTGTGGGGTCTGATATATAGTAAGTATATAATTAGGCGTTCTATTTATATTCACCCTCAAAAGACGTCTATTGAAGTTTAGTAACAGAAATAAAGCTAAAATTGCAAACTAATAAATTAGAACATCGTAATCTTATAAGACAATTAAAATATAAATGGTTTCTATACGTGTGTTATCTGTGTGTTTATAACTTTAAAAAAAGAGAACACTGTTATTAGGGATATATAAAAGGACAACTAAAACAATAAAACTTTAGTATTCACGAAATAAATTGTAGACCAGTGCCGATAGCTTCTAAAACAATTAAATTATAGTAGAATGAAACTCATTAGAAAAGGAGGGAAATATTATAAAAATTAAAGGAAAAATAATTTACGGGCGATCTGAGGTCGGAAAGAGTATGGGGATGGGTATTTAAGGGTAAAACATGGGTTTTCTTGATTTCCGGCAAAACTAAAAGTCTTATAGAAAAATAAGATGTGAACAGACATTTTAACATATTTTTTTGGAATTAGTTTAAAAGCACTAACTAGTAATAATGAGAATATGAACTTAATTTTGTATCAAAATGTTTAAAAAGGTATTTTTGTCATGTGAGGAAAAACAGGTTAAAGCGAAATAAAACAACATTTTTTATGATTTATTTTTATTCTGAGACATCATTTTTTAAACAACATTTTTTATGAAATTGGACAGGTGGTGAAATGTGTTCCCGATACCTTGCCCAACTTAAAAACTATAAAATAGTCATTATATGAGCGCAGCAACCCACTGTCCTTCGGCCAACCATACAATTACAATAATTCTTTTACAGCTTCCTTAACATTGTGATTATTTTCATATAATATATATATATGCCTGCTTTGTATTTTTCCATGCAATAATCTACAGTTGGCCAAAGGTATCAGGGTAGTCAACCAATAGATCGCTGGCTATATTTCTACATACTTCTATAGTATTGGAACCATCGCCTCTTATGTGCTGCCTATAATACAAACAAGCTTGTTTTAGTTGGTATGTTCCACATGCAATTAATATAAGATCATTATATTCTGTTCTTGGAAATATGAAACTGTCCATGTTTACATTTATAGGTTGAAAGTCTGCCCGCCTTCTATTTAACTTATTTTCGATAACAAAGTCAGCTAATGTGTTAGGAGTAAACATCTTTTCATTAATAATAATACAACAGGATATAAGGATTATAATTATATAAAACAATAAAACCTCATATTGGATTATAGGAATAGCATATACAATACATATCTATTAAAAAACGAGTGATTTAAATAATTAATTGATTTGACACTTACTCGTCGAGGAGCTATCCACTGTTTTATAATAGACTGAACCTGATTAAGATCTAGACTATGTCGCCTTCGCTCTATCAAATCAGTTCCATAGTTTATGCATCTCAGAGATACGGATTGATAAGAAGTCACTTTTTCTGTGTGCAGACTATCATGAGACACGCTTTGATTTTGTTCAATGTCCATATTCAAGCCGAGGTTAGCGATGATGCTAGTTTCGGGGTCCATATTACGTGAGTGTTGTTCATCGTTTATGCTATGTTCGGAGTCCATAATACAAAAGCCAAGGTCATCGTTTGAGCGAAATTCGGGGTCCATAGATGTGCCAGGGTCATTGGAAAAAGATAGGTCGGAGTCCATAATGAATAAACAATCGTTGAAAGAAAATCCACAATAAATCAATATTCTCAATGTAGGTAAACAAAGCGAATGTCAATTTGTATTTTTTTGTTTGATTAGTATTGCAATAGAAAAAAATCATTAAAAAATCGATCGAAAACAGATATGATTACGATATACGTTTAACATTCTTTTAAATGACGAAACTAATAAAAACAAATATTTTTAATTTTTTTTTTGTATTAAACACTTATAGTTGTATTAAGTACTGCAAGATGATTCGATTTGACGCAATCGTTAATTGTTCTTGCTGGTAACACAAAACGTGGATCAATAAAGCGAATCAATGAAGATACTTTAAAAATAGTTTTCTCAATAAAATAAAAATGTACACTCAAACAACAATAGAATGGCTAGCTAAAAAATATATATATTTTTTCATAAACTTGTTTTTTTTGATAGCAGCTTGTTCAAAAATGGCCAAAAATGGACATTGCCCTTTTATGTGAAAAATTCGAAAACCAAGTTTTTGGTTTTTTACTTTTATCTCTTCCAAAAAACATTTTTTTGTAACGAAATTTGGTGAAAACTTTCCTTTTGATGTTCCAAATGCACTGTATTTTATTTGATTAGAAATATTTATTTTTTTTAGCTTATTTTCAATAAATACTGAAAAATCAGCTTCACTTTCAATCGAAAAATCACCCTTCAAAATATCAGCTTTTTAAAAAAAATTGGTATGTTTTCTATTTGTTAAAATCTCTTTTTTCCGATGGTGAAGAAAAAAAATTAAGTTTTTTACTTGCAATACCAATTTCGGATAAAATAATCATGTCCCTTTTATTTCATAGTTTTAGCAGCTTAATGTAAATTTTCTGTAAATTACCTAAGAGAGGGACTATCTGGAGAGCTTTCAGAGTACACAACTATTAAAAATAAATTAGAAAGAACATTTTCAAAACGATGTCGAGTATCTTTTCGTTAAAAGAGACATGATTAATATATCCAAAAAGGGCACTGAAAGGAAGTTATATTTTTTCTTTACCATCGGAAAATAGAGATTTTAACAAATAGAAAACATACCAATTTTTTTAAAAAAGCTAATATTTTGACGGGTGATTTTTCGATTGAAAATGAGGCTGATTTTTCGGTATTTATTCAAAATACCTGAAAAAATAAATATTTCTAATCAAATAAATTACAGTGCATTTGTAACATCAAAATTAAAGTTTTCACCAAATTTCGAGTCAAAATATAGTTATTTGGAAGAGATAAAAATAAAAAACGTAAAACTTGGTTTTTAGAATTTTCCACATAAAATTTGAGGTTATGTGAAAAAAATGTTAGTACAAAAGTTTTAGATCTTTTTATTACCTACAACTTTGCCATATAATTTTTTTCTGTAGGACTTTTAGTTTTGCCGGAAATCGAGAAAACCCATTTTTTTACCCTTAAATAACCATCCCCATACCCTTCCCGACCCCAGATCGTCCGTAAATTATTTTACCTTTAATTTTTATTATATTCTCCTCCTATTCGAACGGGTTTCATTCTACTATAATTTATTTTCACTTTTCATTGTTTTTAAAGGCATGTGCACTGGCCTATGAGAACAAGGACACGTAATAAACTACAAGTGGCTTGAAATATGATGTACATGATAGTAATGAACAGATTAAAATACTGCTACAAATAAAATATAGAATTTAAAATGTTTATTTTAAGAGTAATAGACACACACATAACGTTTATATATAATATAATGTTATTTATGAGAGGAAGATGTTTAGAATAATTATATTTTATTATTAAACTACCGCGACCGCCATACTTGTAACTGAGCGGTTAAAATACTCCTGACTTTGAAGAGGTATCACGACGACTGTCCTCTAAAATGTTATTTTAGTAATTCAACCACTGCTTTTACCTCCTTTGTTTAAAATGTCGTATTATAATACTGACTTCTATTACTCGTGTACTTTTGTGATAACAAAACCTTTACTTACAGTTTAAACTAAAACTCTCTTCAGATGCAGCTTCAATGTTTGTCTGTTTTGACAACACAGTTTAAGAGTTTAACATGTTAAAAATATTATACTGTAGAGGAAAGATTCCATTCCCTCAAGAATCAAGATTGTCATAATAACATATTTCTTTATAATTGGAAAAAGGAATATTACTTACTAACGAACACTGGTTCAATATTATGAATTACGCTTCTTGAAATGAAGAAGAGGAAGAGAAAAATTATATAACATTTACACCGCTCCCAGGGTTATCTCTGGTAGTCTTGACTCGTGTGTGACTCTGTATGAAACTGGAATTGGTGCAAAAACACAGTCTAAAGTCAACACAGACTCAAAAGTCACTATTTTATTATCTTACTTTCACAAAAAAAGACTTTTATGATAAAATATGATGTATACCTAACACGAGAAACCGCTGAATGCATGTTATTAGGTATGCGCTGAGAAACTCCTCGTCAGGGAAAAATATGAACGAAAATGTACTTCAGTTATATATATAAGACACGGAGAAACAAGTATTTAAAATACATAAGGAACTTTGAAAGTTAGACAGTAGGTGGTTCCCAGAACGTATACGTTGGAATTTAAACCATTTGTATGTAAAAAACTAGGCCAATTGATAGATACTGAAAGAAATATTATAAAATACTAGCTGACCCGGCGGACTTTGTACCGCCCTATAATCAAGAAATATCTGTTAGGTACCTTTATATATCAATGAAGTTAATTTCTTTATTAAGTATAACTGACTCGACAGACAATGTTCTGTCTTCTTAACTGTGATTATTGAATTCTAATTGGTAGTATATTAATAAATCAACATTATTCCAAAAACAAAGTGTTTATTATTCTAATGCTTTATTCTAACTACGTGAATATTATTGCCAGTGACACATTATTTTAATAAAAAAGTGAAATATTCTAGTTTTTTTTTCTAGTAATCTTCGTTTTTTTTTTCTTACATAAGAACCTTCTCCTATTACATCAGTGATTCCAAAAGTGGTCCAGGTGAACCCCCAGGGGTCCACGGGAGACTTGCTGGGGGTCTACATAGGCGTGAACAAAAAATGGGGGTCCACGAAAATTTATCTGCTTTTGATAGTAAAGAGCAAAAATGTAAGCATAGTTTTTATAAGGGCCTACCTACATTGTTTTAAGTACCTAACTAAGCAGATAATATTTTAATAAGGCAAGCGACTGTTACTTGTCCAAACTTGCGTATTCGATATTACGTACAATTTCGTGTACAGACTTGCAAAGCGCTATCCGCCCGACAATGCTTAGTGCTTGTTCAGACATGAACTTGATCACCACTATAAATACTTGATGCCAAAGGCAAACTCATTCATTTGTTTCCAAAATTTCTAAAATTTTATTTTACCTATCGGAATATAGAGACAGAACTCAGAAGTGACACAATTTTTATTTTTTGGCGAGTTTAAGAATGTGGTAGAAATGTAGCAGCAGGGGGTCCACCGAAACCAGTAAAATTTTGAAAGTGGTCCACGAGAAAAATAAGTTTAGGGACTACTGTAATAAATAAAAAGAATTAGTGAAATCGGTCCAGCCATTCACGCGTGATGCCGTGACCAAGGGAAAAAGGGATTCATTTTTATATATATAGATTACTCGGGTACTTCCACAAGCAATATATTATTAAAAACAATGAGATAAAACTTTACGATGTACACGTATGTCCTCCCAAACCAGAAGCTTCCTATTTGACATCTGCCTGTGTGTGATTGGATCAATCCTGAGCTCCGATCTCAGAATCCAACCAACATCCTAGTCATTCTGAACAGAAACTTTACCGAAACAATAACAGGCCTCTTCATACTAATAGTCCTAAAGGGACAAGAATAATCGTTAATTATTCTATTTCTGTTTTCTGTAAACACTGCTATAGTTGCTTGACAAACTGCTGATCTCTTTAGGTCTCGCTTAGTATGTGAGAATTATACAGCCTTTGGAGAACTTCAAGTATCGGTTTACATTTCACCTTGAAAAGTCTTGAGAACTATGCGAGAAATCTTTCTGTAGTAGAATCAGACATGAGGAATCAGGAGAGAAACCAGGACAATTATAATGATGAAGAACTATATGTCGCTGCGGTCTTCAGTTATTGGGTACGATGTTATTTATTTCAGCAAATTAATTAAAAATCATAAGAGACCACAATGAGGCTCGGAGGTAAGATATTGTCCAAAACCAAATAAAAATGAATAATGCTATGGAATTATCCCAAAATCTAATAGAGGTGCTGTTTACAAACGTAAAATGGGGTACATTTGTAAACCAAGGTATACAACATGTGTATAAATAGTTTAATACCAGCATACTGCATAGTGACTAGTCCGCATAAAAATATATGTCAGTAATGTATTAGAATTATAATTTTCAGATGTACATTTAATTTTTCTTATGTAGAACACATTTAGTTCTCTTTGGAACAAACTAACGACTGACACAAGTTTCGCTTATGAATAAAAGCATTTTTTGCTGCTCGCTTTTATCTGAGGGTTATTTTTCATTAACTAACACAAAATTAAACAGTTTGTAGTTCAAATAAAAGACCAACATGTTATATTCCCAAAAGAGGATTGATGTCAGGCAGGCGGCCGGTCGTAAAAACAATAAGCCAAAACTATCCACAACATGTAAGGCAGACCCTGGCTAAAGCTGGAAAATTATATGTTTTGTGTTTCCGCTAAAGTTAAATTATTATTTATTTAAATCTATGAATGATAGACGTATTTAAAAATTACCTTTTTGTTCTATAAAATAAGGTGAAGGTTAAAAATAATCTACAGCTTCTGGCACTTCAAATAGATAAAATGTCTGTTTGTTAATTTGTTAAAATGTTATTGTATTTTATTCTTAATTGTGAATTGCACTTGGTAATATTATATTTTTAATTTCAGAATGTTATATGTGCTCGGAATCCTAGAAGCCAAGCCACATTTTTAAGAAACGTAATGTCAAACGGTAGTATACAGATGATACTTTTTACTGGTTTGATATTAAACTTATATTTGTTTTGTTTTGCTAATAAAAATAACATGTAACTAAAGATTGTCTCCTGGAAATTAATAAGATAGAAGTGAAATTATAATAAATAAATAAAATAATCTGATGTATGTTATAAATTGAGTGTTTTGTGTATGATTAAGTGATAAGAGGCTGGTGATTGTCGTATGATTTTGTAATCAAACTGCTATGGAAGGCAACGGGGACGCAGACCGAGACCGAGGCTCGTGAGTTCTTTGATGGTTTGATTATATTAGAAGAGTCGTTTGAAATAATCTTTAAAATGTTCCTTTATGTCATACAATTGTGACACATTAATGTATTTGATAATATGTATCCTGGTCTTAATTGATCAATATTTGTATACATATCTAGACTCAAACTGATTTTTTTTTTGTTTCATTATGAATACAATATATGTATACTGAATACTTTGATGTAATGTAGTTAATGTATAAATTACATATCATTTTATATTTTGAGTGTGAGTGAAGTTGTGCTTCTAAAGTTTTTATAAAATAACCAATGTGGTTGAATGTAACAATAATGAATATATGCAGTCTTTTAACTTAAACTAGTAACAAATGACAAGAATTAAAATATACAATATAATAGTTTGATGAGGTATGTAATGTTTAAAATGGGATTTAGTGATAAATCTTATAAGAAAGTATTATTATCTGGATATTAATTCCATTTCCTTTAGAAGAGTATTTTAACATGTTCTTTAATCTATTCCAACATGTATTAATAACTTCATGATTGTCGTAGTAATGAAGATATAAAAAGTGTAACAATGACATGTTTATTATTAATGAACATAGAGATGTTAATGTTATCAACTTTATTATTGTAGCTGTATATAGTGTTTACTGTAAATACTGTTATATGTTCCTGTGGTGGTACCAACATACTACAGTATAAGATACATAGAATATGTGGATGGCAATACTAAGGTGATACTTTTAGTGTTACCGCGGACCATAGGATTTTATGTGCTTTTAACATTACATAAACCATATGCTTCTTTGTTTTACACAAGATACATAAGTAATTACATTTTATAAACAGTATTAATGTTAATACAGTAGGACCCCGATTATCCGGACCTCGGTTATCCGAATTCGCGATTATCCGGACTGCCAATCGCGACGAGTTTTGTTCTAACACAAGCTGTTGCCGCGACTTCGTCCGCGTGGAATAGTGACTTCCGGCATATTTTATGTTCTTCCCACATAGTTCCCGTCCTTGCGGGGTTTTCGGAATGGTCGAGTTCCCGTAGAGTTTTCAAGATAAAACCTTTGTTTTTTTTTTATTCACAATGAAGTACTCTTAACCAACAACATATTTTTTTTTTGTTTATTTGAATAAAGATTAATATTATTATATTGATACAACCTAAACAAATTATTTCGACCAAATTAGTTACCATAAAAACGGTTTTTGTGAGTTAATCTTAAAAGATAGACATATACTGTCGCGGACTGTTTTTTAGATCATTAAAAGAGCTATTATTCTTTAATACATATTTTAAGGCTTCAAAGATGAAATAATTTCTCCCGTTTTTTATACATTTACCACTATATCTTTGCTCCTATTGGTCGTAGCGTGATGTTATATAGCCCAAAGCCTTCCTCGATAACTGGACTATCCAACACAAAAAGAATTATTCAATTCGAACCAGTAGTTTCGGAGATTAGCGCTTTCAAACAAACAAACAAACTCTTCAGCTTTATAATATTAGTATAGATTAACATGTCAGAACTTGCATAACGCCACGCCACTCGTGCCGTCCGTGATTTTCGTTGATTCTCGCTCATATGTATTTGTTGTTTTAAATAAACACCTAACATTACATATGTATGGTACAGACTACATATGTACATATGCAAAAAGCCCGTTTTTCTTCATATATTGGATTATCCGGACTTTCAATTATCCGGATGCCTACCGACAACAATTAGTCCGGATAATCGAGGTCCTACTGTACTTAATAATTTTTTGAATTATTTTATTAAAACAAGAAAGCATTATAAGGAGACATTGGTTTTTACCAAATCATGGTGATCAATAATCATTTTGCTAATACCTACATGAAGTCTAAAGTTTTGAAGTGATATTTGATACCCTCTGACCGAATGTGACTGTAGTATTCCTTACAGGAATAGACTTGTGATTGTTGGTTTAATGGTAAGCTTTTTGAACTATTCAAACTGACATACTTTTGTAAGAACACTGAGTTACCCCAGATCTTTAGCTTTGGACCCAACGGACTGCTTTAAATTGAAATTTACATGCACTACTTTGGCCTCTCTTTATAATTCTTTGTGATTTTGTCTGTCCCTGGAGATGATTAATACCACACTAGAACTTTAATATTATCAGCATAACTAGAACAGCCAGTTATAACAGATTGAATGTTTAGCAAATATTTATTTGTTTAAACCAGATACCATTGAGGTACCCCTGTGTTTGTTGACATTGGCTTGGACATGCAAAGAGCAACTAGACTGAAGAACGTCAACAATTAACATTTAGTTCAAGTTCAAATTCAGATCAGAGAATATGTCTTAGCAATAACGCTATTATTGTATGTCATTAAAATGGAACATACAGGAATACAGATCAGTCCTTATATAAATATATATTAAGACGAACTTATGTATGAATGAATATAAAGAATAGACTTTTATAAATTATGTTGAAACATTATCATGTGTTGTGTGGACAAAAGTTTATTTGAATTATGAATCTATTGAGGTCAGCAACATGAGATACTACAATCATATAACATGTGAGTAGGAGGTGATTAACATACACACAGTACATATGTGATGAGAACTACAGAATTTTACTAAAAATAATTGTAATTTTCAATATATCAATATAAAAAATGTCCTTTATAAAAATTATAAAAAACATCCTGTAATAAAATGATATAAAATCAATACTATTACAATAAGTAGTATCCATACTCATTAATATCATGTCTTTTGTAATAAATACATATGTTTACTTCAGCCTGGGCTTACTGTTCAGTTATAAATATAGAAGTTGGGTTAGGATTTTGTTCCATCCAGTGTTTTGGAAATGTCTACTTTTTTCTATTATTTGTCAGTAACAGTTTATTAAAATAACGATATTATAAGATTATGTTGTTACTAAAATGTAAATGTGTCATTATACTAATTACTGTTACGTTACTGTTCCAGGGGTAGCGTGGAGCACAGCGCGGCGGAGGGGGACGGAGACAGGGGCAGGTACAGGTGTGGTTCCAATCATGTATTATCTATACTAATATTATAAAGCTGAAGAGTTTGTTTGTTTGTTTGTTTGAAAGCGCTAATCTCCGAAACTACTGGTTCGAATTGAATAATTCTTTTTTTGTTGAATAGTCCAGTTATCGAGGAAGGCTTTGGGCTATATAACATCACGCTACGACCAATAGGAGCAAAGATATAGTGGTAAATGTGTAAAAAACGGGAGAAATCATTTCATCTTTGAAGCCTTCCGTTGCGTGCGCCGTGAAAACGGTTCAAGATAACAAAAAATATGTATTAAAGAATAATAGCTCTTTTAATGATCTAAAAAACAGTCCGCGACAGTATATGCCTATCTTTTAAGATTAACTCACAAAAACCGTTTTTATGGTACCTAATTTGGTCGAAATAATTTGTTTAAGTTGTATCAACATAATAATATTAATCTTTATTCAAATAAACAAATAAAATGTTGTTGGTTAAGAGTACTTCATTGTGAATAAAAAAAAACATAGGTTTTATCCTGAAAATTCTACGGGAACTCGACCATTCCGAAAACCCCGCAAGAACGGGAACTATGTGGGAAGAAACAAAAATCTGCCGGAAGTCACTATTCCACGCAGACGAAGTCGCGGCAAAAGCTAGTATATTAAATATATCGATGAGGACGTCCTCCGTGTGTGTATAGTGTACATATAATAGGTGAGTGTATCCAATAAGTGGGTGTGGGTCGTGTTCCAGCCTGGTGCGGTGCGCGTCTCAGTCGTCGCTGGACGAGTGTTCCCAACGTCGCGGCGCGGGCGAGGCGGGCGAGGCTGGTGCGGGCGCCGTGCACGCCTCCTCCTTACTGCACTCACTGGCGCGCCTCAGGAGGGACGACGTGCTGTGCGACGTGCGGCTCGTGGTATGCTCGCGGCTCTCGGTCCACCGAGCCCGCTCTATCACGCAGTCCTAACGTTTGGTTGTCGTTAGGCCCAGGCGCCGGGCGAGGCCCCGCAGTCCGCGGAGCCAGGCGAGGCGGTCGGCGTGTGCGCTCACCGGGCCGTGCTGGCCGCCTGCTCACCGTACTTCCGCGCCATGTTCACTCAGTTCGATGAGCGGACGCAGGCCGTCATCACCATACAGGTCGGTAGTCAATCCAACAATTTTATTGACATGATGAACTGTGCACGATCGATTGTTCTTAATATTCCTTTTATTTGCCACTTTAAATATAATAAAGTAACTAGCTTGTGTGACATAAAACGTTGAACTTTAAATGAAGCTAAAAAGGTTCTCCATAATTGGCTAATTTCATTGTCTTATAAAAATACAGAAAAAATTCTTATCGTACAAACGTGATTTTAGATTCATGATAATTATATTTATATCTTGTATATTTACTTTATTATGTATGTGTATGTATGTGTGTCTGTACATGTACATATATACAACGTGTAACATAATTAACGCACACCCTGAAAGTAGTTTGTTCAGAATCGGAATCTGGATCGATTTTTATAGTTTTTTATGTAGGTCATTTTTTTCCTCAAATTAAGATAGAACTAAGTGAATTACAGTCATCCTACACACAGTTATCTAAACACTTCATTGAAAATGAAATGGATCATAAGTCAGAGTATTAAGATTTTTAAAATGAAATATTAAATTAGTAATCATCATTCAATTAAAGAAAACTGATACTTGTTTCAAGGCTAAAATAGTACAATTTTACAAATATCTACGCACGCACAGCGACAGCCGGCACACATCAAATACCTACGCACGTGTCCATTGACCTCCTAGATCAGCTGATTTGACGCGACTCGACTTTTTTTTGTGGGGGCGAATTAAATCGCTAGTTTATAACACAGAGACAACAAGTGTGGAGGAACTAAAAAATAAGATAATTGCCGCCTTTGTAAAAGTGAAAAGTGACACTGCAGTATTATCTAAAATAAAACCACAATTGCGGAAACGGTCATTAAAGTGCATTAAACAAGGCGGTGGACATTTTGAAAATGTTTTAAAACGACAACGCCGTGCGAGTACAAATTAAACTATAAGTTTGTTTATGATCTTTAAATTTTTGTTAATATTTTGATTCACACCATTTAAATACGCCGACTTTATCGTAGGTATTGTGGTGTCTAATCAAATCACGCGTTATCAGCTGTTTAATAATTCTTATTTACAAATTTAATTTAACAAATCAGTAATTATAAAATATTGGCTTCACATTAAAAAAAAATTCAATGTCGACAATCTAAAGCCTGAAAAGTGTGATGGAAGGAAGAATCATAAATCATACTGTAGTTATTTCGTGTTCTTATTATTACCTACTTCTTATTATTGTCGGACGGCACTCGGGGAGAGGGGCGCGGGCGCGGCGAGTACATTGTGTCTGTCTGTGTGTGCGTGTGCAGCGGAGTGTTGGTGAATAGCTCACCATATTATTTGCACGAAATTGGGATAACTAATTTCACAAATAAAAAATGCAAACGCACATATAAATAATATTTGGTGTATGCATTGCGTTTATATTATTATATTCTAATTGGGGTGTTTGAGGGTGTGCGTTAATTACGTTACATGTATATGTGTGTGTACATATACATATACAGGGTGACTGGTGAATTACTATCAATATTTAAGGAGAATACTTGGTACATGATTCTCATTCGAATTATGTAAAAAAAATAGGTACTTAATTTTTGACCAAATTTCCGTATAAATAAATAAAGTGTGGACACGTTCCAAGTGTTCCAAGTGTGGACGCGTGCGGCGTCGTGCTGATACAACACCACGCCGCCTTACGCGCGTTTGTGTGTGTGTGTATACCTAATCTGTAGGGTGTTCACACGATGCGTTATTAATTACATAGCTTTTGGTTAACTTTACTTAGAAGTTTATTAATATTTATGTTATATTAATTTTTATTTTGTCAATGGTAATTCACCAGTCACCCTGTATATTTTGTTATCGTTATATTAATTACTATACATATATTTATGTTATTCCCTTTTATTTACTTGTTTTTGTATCTTTTTCTTTCTATATTTAAGATTTAATACTTTTGAGCCATTTGTAACATGTTTATAAAGAACACGCCATCTACCGTAGGTGAAGCTTGTTATAGTTAATCGTAAATAAGTCATCCACGACACAAGCTCGCTCAGTGTGGACGCCCCTGGACATCGCGTCATGTTATCACTTCAGCAAAATATTGTTATGTTTGTAATTGTGTTCCCTGTTAACATTAAGTTATTGCTGTTAATAAGGTATTTTTTCATTTTCATTTTCAATATTGGCACTATGCAAATTCGTTTGTACTACTTTACGTGCTCGTTTAAATAAATGTAAGTGGTAGTGTCGAGGGTAACCACACTCCAGGAGTCAGCTTGTGACTCGTGTTCACAGTATATAATATAAGTGTGTACGTATATTGCAGGACGTGGAGCCGTCAGCGCTGGCGTCCATCGTGGAGTACGTGTACTGCCCGGAGTCCTTGGTGATGTCGGAGGAGTCGGTCCAGTCGCTGCTGTCGGCCGCGTCGCTGCTGCAGGTCCGCGGGGTGCGCGCCGCCGCCTGCTCCTTCCTGGCCGCCGCGCTGGCTCCGGACAACGCGCTCGGCATCAGAGCCTTCGCTGAGCTGCACGCGTGCGCCGACCTGGCGGACGTGGCCGACCGGTTCGTGAAGAGACACTTCGCGGAGGTGCTGGAGTCCGAGGAGTTCCTGGCGCTGGAGTGTGACGTGCTGGCCGCGCTGCTGGACTCGGACCGGATCACGGTGCCCGACGAGGAGCTGCTGCTGGACGCGGTCATACGGTGGATGCAGCACGACCCGGAGGTCAGTCACCCCCGCACACACACACACACACACACACACACACACACACACACACACACACACACACACACACACATGCACGCACGCACGCACGTACGCACGCACGCACGCACACACGGCTTTAGTGTTCTAGACAGACTGGCCAGATGTTTGTCTTATCCATTAGAAAATCGTTTACTGAGTAATAGCACTTGTTAACTAGAAAAGAAAACAAAAGTTTTTTAAATGTTATATTACTTAATTCTTTTATCTCATTAGGTATTTTGTTATATATAGTATGGGCCGTGGCCAATATATTCTTTTTTAATAATGCAGCTTTGCAGTTGCCTATACATAAAAGGTTCTGATATTGAGACCTTAGATTTGTAGTGCAATTTCTGGTATCTCTTAAAGAAGGAAAAAGGTGCTTATTTGTTTTCACAAAGACTGCAATTTCAAATACATATATACAGGGTGACTGGTGAATTACTATCGATATTTGAGGACGTGATATTGGACGATCATATATGACAAAATAAAAATTAATATAACATAAATATTAATAAACTTCTAAGTAAAGTTAACCAAAAGTTATGGAATTAATTATTCATCGTGTGAACACCCTACAGATTAGGTATACACACACACACACACTCGCGCGCGGCGGCGTGTTGTTGTATCAGCACGTCGCCGCACGCGTCCACACTTGGAACACTTGGAACGTGTACACACTTTATTTATTTATACGGAAATTTGGTCAAAAATTAAGTACATATTTTTTTTACATAATTCGAATGAGAATCATGTACCGAGTATGCTCCTTAAATATTGATAGTAATTCACCAGTCACCCTGTATAAACAAGGAAATGTTAAAAGCTTATATTTCTTAAAAATCGGTATACAGCTGTCCGTAGCCTTCAAGCTGAAAATAGATCTATGGCATCGTTTTTGACCCTTAAAGATGACGAGAAACCATGTTGGGACTCTCATAAAAAATACCAAAGACGGATACTATTTTGATGCTTTTATGAAAACATGCAACAACCCGAGACGGATGTGGAACTTAATTCACAGTTTAGCTTGTAATAAGAATAAAAATAGTGTTGTTCCCCCAAAACTCATAATAGATGGTAAAAACTATTGGTGATCTTCAATGTATATGTGAGTCTTTTAACATTTATTTTTCTTCTATTGGTCCAATCTTGGCAAATAATATACCACAGAAATATCACAAAACAACGGCATACATAACACATTCTTACACAAAGACACCCTTACAGATTTAATGAGTTTAAGCAAACCACGAAAATTTAAATTCAAACAATTATTAAAAATTTTAATGCTAATCCTAGCTCAGGTATAGACAATATCACAATAAAATCATTAAAATGCATTAACAGCTTACTGTGAAAAGATTTAAGTCATTGTATTAATTAAGTGTATAAAAGAAGGAGTATTTCCTGATTCCCTAAAAATAGCAAAAGAAAAGTATCTGGGCCTGATCCTAGACCCGAAACTAACATGGCATGCACATATATGATCGTCAAATATCACGTCCTCAAGTATCGATAGTAATTCACCAGTCACCCTGTATAATACATCTCATTCAAGTGAACGTTGTATGTTCTTTATGAGAAATAAAGTTCTTTAACCACGAAGATACTTTTCTTATTTTATTTTATTTATTTCGTAATCCAACAGTTTTTTACATAAGTTTCTATATTAAGTATTATATAACATAAAATTAAAACCAAAATAGGATTACACAACTAACTTAAACATATTAATAACTAGAAGACGGTAGCATAAAAGCAAAACTTATAGTTTAAAAGTAATATAAAGTAATACGGGTGGGAATCCAATAGGTGTGTGTGTGTGTGTGTGTGTATGTTTGTTATTATGAATTTTTATCTTTTTAATTATAGCTATTTTAAAAGCTACTCTTGACAACAATTACCTCTGTATATTAATGACAAATCTTAAAAAAGAAAAACAAGTTACCACAGAATAAAGCCTCCCTTACAGAGCGTTCCTCAGGTCGGTGACGTCAGTCAATGTGTTATTTCAGAACCGCCGCAGTCGCCTGGGCGCCCTCCTGGAGCACGTCCGTCTGCCGCTCCTCCCGCAGGACGTGTTGGTGGCGCGCGCGGCCGCCGAGCCCCTCGCCTCCGCCGAGCTGAGAGTCAAGGTGACCGTCCTCCTCCTCCCCCTCCCCCCCTCCCGGTCCGTTCTGTAACTCGCTCCTCCTCTTTCAGGACCTGGTCATCGAGGCGCTGTCGTTCCATCTCCTCCGTCCGGAGCGTCGCGCCGCCGCCGCCGCTGCGAGCGCCCGGGCCCGGCCCCGGCAGCCTCCTCGCTCACCGAAAGTCCTGCTTGTGGTGGGCGGGCAGGCTCCCAAGGCCATCCGGGACGTGGAGGCCTTCCACATGGAGAGCGGCCGGTGGCGCGCCGCGGCTGAGCTGCCCACCCGCCGCTGCCGTGCCGGCCTCGCCGCAGTGGGCGCGCGGTTGTACGCCATAGGGGGCTTCAACGGGACCCTGCGCGTCCGCAGCGTGGACGTGTACGACGTGGGCGCCGACGCGTGGTCGCCTGGGCCGCCGCTGTGCGCCCGGCGCTCCACGCTGGGAGTCGCCGTGGTGGGGAACGTGATCTACGCCGTGGGAGGCTTCGACGGAGCGACCGGGCTGAGCTCGGCGGAGGCGCTGGACGTCCGCGAGGGCGTGTGGCGCTCCATAGCCAGCATGAGCACGCGGCGCTCCAGCGTGGGCGTGGCGGCGCTCGACGGGAAGCTGTACGCGGTGGGGGGGTACGACGGAGCGTCCCGCCAGTGTCTGCACACCGTGGAGCGGTACGACCCCGCCGCGGACGCCTGGGAGCCCGTGGCCGAGATGGCGGCGCGACGCTCCGGCGCCGGCGTGGGCGTGGCGGGCGGCGCGCTGTACGCGCTCGGCGGACACGACGGGCCCGCCGTGCGCCGCTCCGTGGAGCGCTACCGGGAGCGCGACGGCTGGGCCCCGGCGCCGCCCATGACGCACGCGCGACGGAACGCCGGCGTGGCCTCGCACCACGGCCGCCTGTACGTGGCGGGCGGGGACGACGGCGCCGCCAACTTGGCCACGGTGGAGGTGAGACTCCTCCTCCTCCTTGAGTCACCTCCTCTCCTTGTGTGTTCATTTATTTATATATTAACACCAACAAGATATACATTAATAAAAGCGAAAAATACAATATTGAAGTAATATGAAGTATACAAGTAATCATAAAATCAAAATGCTGTCTTATTGTAGGTGTTACATACATTTAAAATAAAAATAGACACGTAACATGCAGATAAAATTATATTACATTAATTGCACAAAGGAAAATTAAAAAAAAATACTAATAACAATCATCAACATAAACATTAAAATAATAATGTATTATAAAAATAAATTTAAAATATTTATAATTTCGTACTTTAATATCATTAATAAATAAAATAAAGAATTGCAATATCTAATAAAATGAAATAAATACAACAAATTAACCATCATATTAGATTACATTATAATTATATAACGAATAAAAACTTAATAAATTATATTTAAATTTCACAAGGCTATTACAAAATATGTCAATATCCATCTTTCTATCTAATTGCTTTTTATCAATGGTGGTACAATAATTTTTTGTTAATTTATAGATATCATTGTAACTTAACATTAATCTATTAACCGGAAAGTAGCGTCCTTGACGTGAGCGTGTATGTTTTTGTACAAACGGAGTATAAGACGAGGGTGTTAATATATAAGGTGTGTGTCGCAGGTGTTCGACCCGTCCACGGAGCAGTGGTCCATGCTGAGCTCGTCCATGTCGGTGGGCCGCTCGTACGCGGGCGTGGCGGTGGTGGAGCGCGCCGCCTGACGACACGCCCGCCGCGCGCCCGACCCGCGCCCCGGACACGACACGGACACGGACCCGGAGACCGAGGACCGCGCGCACACGCACGACGCGGAGGCCAGGTGAGTGTGTGTGTGACATACAACATGTATTCAATAAGTATCGTCAAGACTTAAGCTGAGCTTTGAATTTGTGTGAGTGAAAGTAAAAGGGTGATTCTATCGTCACGGGTGGGGCACTTGTACCTCGATTTTCGGCGTGTGTGGCTTATTTACGCTAATTGTATCAATGATATCTAATTGGTTTATATAGAATACTAGAAGACCCGGCGAACTTCGTATCGCCCTATAATCAAGAAATATCTGTTACGTTTTTTAATAAATAAATTTAGATTATACCTTAGCCTCAGAAACACGTGGTGGTTATGCTATTATTAAATAGTCGCTCATATATCACGTTTGTATTTTTAACATAGCGCCATCTATTGAATACTTACTTAACTCAGTCAACAGATAAATGTAATAATGACAAATAATTTTCTTTAATAGACAATTTGCAATAAAATAATATTGTGACTATAAATTGAGATGTAAGCTATAATATCTTTCAAGTTGGATCAAAATGCACACGGAATGCAAATCAAATTTAAAATTGGTTTAGTAGTTTAGGAGTCCATCGCGGACAAACACGTGACACGAAATTTTTATATATACATATAATAAATTTATCCATGTACTTTTATAGGTACAATAGAGACGGGAATAACACCATGTAAAATTTAATAAAGAAGACAGTGAATATTTGTCACGGGTGGGACAAAGTTGTGACATTCTTGTTACACATGCATCATATTTAATAAAACTCTGCTAGTTGATAAAACTTTTTAACGCAGACTACGATATTTCTTTGAGACAATAAACTAAACTTCACATTTGAATAGAAAATAATGTTCTATTATTTACACATATTTTTACAAAAAATAAATAAAGTGTGTCACGGGTGGGACTTTCACTGTCACGGGTGGGACACGTACGATTTACTTGGTACAAGGAGTCACTTATAAGTTTTTATTTCTTGATATGGATGCTTGTTTCATCATGGGAGTCAGTTCAGTAGCTTGGGTATAACATTTTAAACACTCAGCTTGACAGCTTTGCATCTTTTCCGAACCAAATCAGCATTAGATTCATTAATCAAGTTTGCTAATTAATAAAAAAAAATATATTAATATACTAATATTTTTTAAAGTATCGTGCAATTTTAAGTATTTTGTATAGATATATAAAATAATTAAAAAAAAAGAAAAACTTCAAAAAATTACATCAAGGTTTACTTTCCCGTAGAATCCCCCAAAAGTAGAATTAGGCAAAAACTTTTTAAAATTTAATCTTATTATATTTTAAATAAATACATAACATAAGTTTGAGAGCTATTCAAGATTAAAAATAAAATAAGCAAAACTTGTAAAAGGCCAAATGGAAACATGATGAAAAAAATTATTAATTAATAAAAATTTTGAAAAAACTATAGAAATTCTTCTTTACTTGACATTGCGTTTTCAACATTTAACGTTGCTACCAGTACAAAGGGTGAAGTGCGGAAGGTGTGGGGCGGAGTAAAAGCAGAATAAACCGGTTCAAAACTAGAAAAGAACCAAATTTCCGTATAAATAAATAAAGTGTGGATACGTTCCAAGTGTTTCAAGTGTGGACGCGTGCGACGGCGTGCTAATACAACACCACGCCGCCGCACGCGTGTGTGTGTGTGTGTGTGTGTATACCTAATATGTAGGGTGTTCACACGATGCGTAATTGATTACATAACTTTTGGTTAACTTTCCTTACAAGTTTATTAATATTTATGTTATATTAATTTTTATTTTGTCATATATGATCGTCAAATATATGATCGTCCTCAAGTATCGACAGTAATTCACCAGTCACCCTGTATATTTAACAAATATCTCGTCTGTTACAGCTACGTCAACGTGCACGTGTACGCCAGCGCGGAGGGCTCGCGGTGGAGGCCGCTCGGACCCAGGGAACGAGAACAGGTATAGAGAGGAGGAGGGAGGGAGAGGGAGGAGGAGGGAGGGAGAGGGAGGAGGAGGGAGGCGGGGGAGTGTAGCGGCGACTGGTTACAGGTGGAGGAGAACGTGTACGAGAGTGTGGCGGCGGGGGAGAGGGGCCGAGCGAGGGGAGCCTTCGGCCCACTCGGCGCGTACTGGTGGATGAGGGTGGCGCCGCCCTGCAGGAGGCACCGGCGCGTGTCGCAGACCGTGGAGTTCCACGAGCGGCCCCCCGCGCCCGCGGCCGGCGGCGTGCAGGACACGGTCCCGCGGGCGCGGCGCCTGGTGCGGGGCGTGTGCGGGCTGCGGCTCCAGCGGGCGCCGGGCCGGGGCGCGCGCCTGTCCGCCTCGTGCGGGACCATCGGCGCCCTGTCCGCGCCGGACGCCCCTCCCCCCTGCATGCTGCTCCTCCCTCCCCCGCGGGAGAGGCCGGACCCGGAGGAGGACGAGCCCGCTCCTCATCACTCCTCCGACTCCGAGCCCGAGGCGCGCCGCTGATCCTATGTGTAGTGTAATATTTCTCAGTGAGATGAATCTCAGAGCGGGCGCCGGTCGGGTCGCTCGTGCTGCGTGGAGACTGTCTTTCGTCTTTGGTAGAAAATAATATAATAAGTGCTACAGAACAAACGTAACGAAATAAAACATGTCCGTACTTTAAATAAGTTTATCGTTAAAGTCTCGTGTCCGGACGAGCCCCGTCGTGGCGGGTGTAATGTATCGTCCTCGTGTCTATTCCAAACATTCCTCTCTACATTATATATTATTATTATTATTATATACTCGACTCCCTGTGTTCCGCGCGTCGTGTTGTATGTTTGTCCGGTCATGTGTGACCTGTATCTGCTGCTCCATAATGATATGTTGGTGATCGCAGCTCGCTGGTCGCTGGTCGGTGCGTGTGTGTGTGTGTGCGTGTGTGCGTGTGTGTATGTGTGTTATGCGCGGAGGACGGTGACGGACTGAACCCTGTGGCTGTATGAAGCGGGTTCATCTTTATAACGTGTAATAATTAATTAGTTTAAACGCTACAATATAATTGTCGTCTGTACGTTAGTGTAAGTAGTGATGTTCTTTAATAAACTCCGTTTCTGTGATATTCGTTTCATTTTATTTCTTGTCCCTCCTCCCCACCTCGTGTGTTTCTTCACTATCCTCGTCCGACAGGTCCCGGACTGGACGAATCATTAATTACTTGATTTAATTGAAAGTTAAATTTATAATATTTGTTATATTTATATTGTTCATTGTATTTATTTGTTTCGTGTTTTATAACTGCTCGCAGGTTCATATATCGTTTACATTGTATATTTGGTTATTAGTGTCGTGAAAAACATCGAAAAGTCGTAACAGTTTTTCAGACAAGCGAAAAGTCAAAATGTTGGAAACGCTTGAAAAATGGTTTCAATCAAGAGATGTCAACACGTCTCCATAAGAAGACTTGTTGTCAAGTTTACGGATACCGTCTAAGAAGGAAAACCTCAGCATTGCACTGATTCAACGTGTGAGTACCGGGCTCTTCACGTTGCAGGGAGAGATACTTCAACAGTGACTGGACTTGCGATCCAAGTTTAGGTTTAAATTGTTTATCTCTAATAGTATGTAATATTGTAATCAGTGTCTTAGTAGATAAATTAATAAGTAATTAAAAAAGAGGTTTATCTCTCACTATATACTAAATTAATGTCTTGAAATCGTTGGAGCCGATTCCGAGTTTCCAATTATATATAAATATGTATACCTACAAGAATTGCCCGTTTAAAGAACTGATATGAGATATACAAAACCAGGTAAATGTCACTGTGTGTGTCTTGGTAAGCGGAATACAAGATACTTACACCTCATACGATCCGGGACTATCGATAGGCGGTGAATGCGTTTCTACGATTACTGAAAATGCACCAGTTAAATGTATTGTTTGTAAGAAAGATAACATAGGTTGTAATTTTTCAGTTGACTTGTTATTGATACGTATGAGAAACAATATACAATCTTAGAAGTTGTTTGTGCGCCTCAAGTCCGGTTATAATGAATTTATGAATTTTAAAGTCCGCTGTGTTAATAGAGCTTACGGTTCCTCGGGAAACCAACATCCCCAGGAACCATGCCATCAAGGTCGATAAGTATTACGAGATCACTAACGAATTCACTAGGAATAGGTTCGTCGTAGAATTTGTACGCGGTAGAAGTGGGAGCGAGAGGTATAACAGCTAAATCTCTCTACAACCTACTAAAAAACTTGGGCCTGTCCAGAACTCTTAATACATTCTTGGAACGTACTTCGAAGACGGCCCTAGTAGGTTCTTTTCAAATTTGGTTTAAGGTAGAGACAGTGGCGGGGCAAGACCTAAATTTGATGTGGGCAAGACAGATTTCGCGAGGCCCTATTTTATGGCAACTTGAAGCTCTTACTACATACCTGTTAGTTTTAAATACTTAAACGTAGATACGTTTTTTACCCTTCAAGCTTTGGTTTCCTTCAAAAGATATTGTAAAGCGTATTTTTTATACAAGTAATTACTGCGTTACATACTTATAACCAATTAAATATTTCTTACTTTATGTAAAATAGACGAGTACAGGTACCGGTGTAATTACAAATCACAAAGATAACGAAAACAATTAAAAAACGTCACTGTTTTCGGGGGCAATCAATATACTTAAACACTACCTATTTATTCGCTAAATATTAAAACATTAAACACACTATTCTTATTAAAATAGGTTTAGGTAATTAATCCTCATTTCCACAGAGGGTTGACGTCAGGCAGGCGACCGGTCGTAAAAACAAATAGCCAAAACTAATCACAACATGTAAGGCAGACCCTGGCTATAGCTGGGAAATTGCTAGGAAGCAGAAGAAGAACAAGATTTTTTTTATTCCCGCTTTAAAATATTTTGAGGCGCGAGGCCCTTTGTGCCGCGAGGCCGTAGGCGGTTGCCCACGTCGCCCACGCCTTACGCCGCCACTGGGTAGAGAGATGAGCTTGGACAGTGGAGGTGAGCGTTTAACACGCGTTAGATAGGGATACCTTAAACCTACACCTGGGTCGCAAGTCCAGTCACTGTTGAAGCATCTCTCCCTACAACGCGATGGAGACGGCACCCGCACGGTGAATCCATTGGATGCTTAGAGGTTTCGTCTCTCTTACAAGTAGCTTGCTTCGCTTTAGACTGAGAGACTAACAAAATATTCAAAATTCAAATACACTACAAAATATATTGTCTGAGGACACAAAGAGTCTGAAGAGAGAGCGAAGAGAATGATCGATGATGACTGAAGAAGATCTAAATCAGGAGATGTTTTCATCAAAACCATAACAGGTTTTCATTATTTGTTTTAATTTCCTAATATCAGGAGACAGCTGCTAATGGTTGCCCACTTTGTTACTTATTGTTAAGGGAGTAAGTAGTACGAAATACGAGTATATAATATGGATTACTTTAATGGCCATGAAGCCGTATCAACACTATATAAACGTGTTTTTTTTATATTATTTGTGTATTATATAAACTACTTCACGTATCATCACACTATGTTATATCCATGATTTTTTAAATGTGTTATCTGTCTTAACAAATAACTTAATTATTTATTACATATACTTGCAATGAAGTTTAAACAATTTATATTTTTAATATTCGTAATTTGTGGTGTTCCTCATATCTATATAATATGCCTGTATTTATAATAGTTTGAATAACGGGAACAAAACATAAAATAAACGAGTTCATTGTCTGTTGTTGACGACTCGGAACTCTTTTAATCAGTAATATTTAATTTTATGAATATTATTATATTTTTTTAAACGGCAGTTAGTATCGCTCAAACTGAAAAAACGTGTCGGATCAGTCTTCTAATATATTTCTTTGAACATTATTTCTTTTTATTTGAGAGTAAAATTATTTCAATAACATTACATACTCCCGTTATAATAAATACAGAGGTACATATGCTTGTAATTTTCTACAAAACTACAACATTGTTATTAAGTCACATAATTTAGGATTAAACAAACTGACAATTGCAAGAAACGATTACACACATTTATTAATTAGAAAGTTTCTGAAAAAATCATTTGAATCTCCAAGATATATTTAGGTTCGGTACAGTGTGAACCACAGCCCAAGCATTATTTACAAACTATAAAAAGCACTAATAGTTATGAATTAAAAATTTTTGTGTCTGGTGTCAGTGAGTGTTTTGGATATTAATTTTTTCTTGACAAATTAAACGATGAACGGATGTCTCATTAAACATTTTGATATAAATTGTAATAAATCATTTAAAATATTTCATTTCAGAACTGTCTGATGAATTATTTTTGCTGTTAATCGGTAGCTTTTTAAGACATTTAAATTTAAAATACTATGGATTTCAAAATGATTCATTTACTCGGTTTCTTTTGATTCTAAAATTTAATATTTTTATATTAAAAAAACCCATTTAATAATATCGTCCATGAGAATTCTTCTGGCGGTAACTTATGTTTATCTTCGGATGCCGAGAGGGTATGAAGGATTTATGTAAGAGAGAATTATTATGGAATTAGAACAACTGATCGATCATAATATATCCGATGTACCTATTTATTTTAAGACTTGCTCTTCTATACACACGGCTTCACCAGGTCTGATTTAGAATAGGTTTATAATTTAGATTTTTCGATAAAAAAAACAAATATAAAATTGATTACATATGTTTTAACATTAGTTTCTTAAATGGTACTTATAAGGGTGCCGCTACTTTAATAATAATTACAGCGCAGTTCTTTTATAAATATGTATGTATAAAGAAATCACTTAACGTGACGTCGTCTGTCTGTGTGTGTGTGTGTGTGTGTGTGTGTGTGTAGCTGTTTATATACAATCATAAGCCATGACAGTGACTCGCCATGTACAGTCTTAAAATTAAAATCATAACTGTTTGCGATAACACTGAACCATCGACGTGCGGAGTGGAGAAGTGAATTTGTTAAAAAATATTACATTCATGTATTTCGTCAAATTATTGAAGCGAGGATTGATTTTCTAATGTTGTTTTTAACATCAGATAATCTTTTTAAAATTATTTTCGATCAACTTGGTTGATAAATTGCTTTTACAAAACTGAAATCCATTTTTTGTTAATTGTTTTTTTTAATGTTATGTTATGACTCGTCGTAAAACTTAACCAGTGTTATCACGAGAGGCGCGCCCCGCCGGGTGCGAGCGCTAGTGTTGTCTACATCGTGACCACATATACACCGTCAGGAGCGAGCGGTGAACAGTCAGCCGCGGACAGGCGCCAGGCACCGGCGTGTGGGCTGTGGCGCGGACACAGACCACAGACCGACTACCGAGTGGACAGAGTCAGAGTGTTGTGTGTCGAGTGAGTGTCAAGTGTCGAGTGTCGGCCCGCGGAATACTGTTCCAACTCTCGTTACGGTAGTTGTGGACACAACAAACGGTAAGACGACAACACCTCTGTTAGATGTATGTACCTACTCACACGACGCACCTCATTGATGCACTTCATATAATATTATATTCATTATTTACATTCAGAATAAGTTTATTTTACTGTTTACGATTTTGCCAGATATGTTATTTAGATGAACTTGTAAAATTGGAAAACCTGCTATAATAAAGTTAATATGAAAGAACTCACGATGCATCCACATTACATAATGAACACACATATAAAGTTTGTATTAAGATGTACTAATTAAACTAATAAAAGGTTCAGTTTTAAAAAGTTACTACTTTTATTAACAGTGAAGTTAATGTTATCTTCGAACTGTATTTGCATCGTACGCTCTGGTAGTTATAATAAAAGTTATGACAGAAACATAAAAATAATTAAAACACATCACACACGTCAGTAATGATAATACTGAAGTTACTCGTCATGAAGAAACAAAAACACAAAAACATAACTATGACTCGGAAAGAAGTCCAAATACAGTAATGATTATAAAACTTCAATATGTTATAGGTAACTGTCAGTCGACTGACAACAGTTGAGTTATAAATAAGTATTGTAGAATACATCCGACATCGTGCAACACAACACAAGAGAAAAAATAATACGGAATAAATAAAAAATTAACAGTTATGACTATCAACCTTGCAAATACCTACAATTAAACATTAATCTGTTATAACAATAATTCCTCAGAACAGTCGGTCTCGTTGTTGAGTCCAGGAGTGTGTCTGTCTATCACACTGGTGGCTGTTTGTAATATATGTATATTAAACAACAGTGAGTTAGTTTTCTTCTCCTCTTTGAAGTCGGTCACCTCGCCGCGCTCGTTAGACCCCGACTTATTATAAATCATACACACATTATAATTTGCTCGCTTTCACTGTTCTCTCCACGCTACGTAATGACCCAACCATCCCTATATTAACGTACGTGTGTTCTTTACTTCATGTAACATATAACAGGGTCACCGGTCAGTCCTCATTACTCTTTGATTGCGATACATTCCTGGTTTTTGTTCAATCTGAACGATATAGTTGTATGACAACCGTTGTAAACGAACAGACGGACCACCTGTCTGTCGTCTGTCGCAGTTATAATGAGCAGTTAAAGTAGATCTATATATGTAATGAGGACCAGTTACCAGCCATTCATTAATGAGTGTTGCTTGTGTCTCTGTCGCGATGTATTCCTTCCTAATTTTATTTTTTTCTCGTACATAACTTTAATATCACATAAACAGACTCCGCGTGATCCTAGCTTACAATCATTGTCTAATGTCAACGTGTAATAGATCTCTCTGACTGTTCTTATGACTTGAGATTCTACATTATTTTGTTTGTTACTATTGAACTTTTTTTTAAATATTTTAAATGTGAAAATTCATGCAGTTTATTTGAAATAATCTATTTGTAATCAATAATGGTATATAATTTATATCTTTTAAAATCGTTTTAGGAGATCAAATCGTTTCTTTACACCTGCACTGACTCTAGAGCACACGTATGAATGTGTCAGAATATACATGATACTGGACCTGGAGGGTAACGTAACGTGTGATGAGGATCTATAACAAAGACGTCCCTTTAAAATATTGAACATTGTTATACATTATATTGACTAACGAGCCACGAGCTTCACTAGTAGGTATAATAAATTACAGTCAATCATATGTGGCAGCCTGTTGTCGAGTCAGTAACATATGTTCTGAGGAATTCAAACCACTTCTAGTACAGTAGTTATATGATTATTTGTCAACACTAATGATATTTTTACGTAAGATGTATGCCAGTCTAGTTAAATAAAAGTTGTTGAACAGGAAAACGAAATATATCTTATTGAATTATAACAAGACGGTTATTTATAGCAGAAAAAATATAATATAATAAAAATAAATATATTTTCTTAGTAATAATTATCGAAAACAGTTCACGTTAAATAATATTTTTATTATTATGGTTTGTCGTCTCAACTCAAATCTTTTATTATACACACTTGTTCTTTTCTACTATTTATGATATGTACCTACATATATGGTACAATTAAAGAAGTTTAAATAAATCCTCATGTTCACAGGGAACAGATAACATTCACTATCCATATATTAATAACTGTAGTTGTCTAGATATCGAAAGAGTAACAGAATATAAACATTAAGGTGTTATAATTGATCAACATCTCAAATGGTATAAACAAAAAGATCATTTAATAAAAAGGACAAGAAGTCTAATTTGGGTTTTTAATAAATTCCATCCCGTTCTAAAACCTGATCTGTTAAAATCAATTCTTACGTATTGTATCCCGGTCTGGGGAGGTACCTGCAAAAACCTACTTGTACACTTAGAAAGAGCCCACAGATCATTATTAAAAGTAATGTTCTTTAAAACGTATGGATGCGCAACATATAACTTAATCTATATTCAACAACCAAAATATTAACAATCAGACAACTTTACGTTCTACAAACTGTGTTAAGAGTTCATAAGTCAATAACATATAATAAACCAGACAAGAATAGAAGACGAAGTCATGCAGTAATTAATTTACAACATTGCAACACACAATACAACAAACAGTCTTCCTTTCGTTATAATAAAATAAATAGGATTATTAACATTTATGACCTTCAATATCATCAGTGTAAACAAATATTAACTAATTGGCTTTAGATATACTTCTATAGGTACTTCTTTATACTTTAGACTATCATGCTACTGAAGAATTGTTAACTGTACAAACGTAAGAAATAATAATATTCATATTAATTAATAAAAAGAAAATAATAGTAAGTAAATAGGTATAAAAATAAAATTATATAATACACACCCACACTAATACACACACACACTCACACACACACACACACACACACACACACACATATGTAAAATGTTTTCCAATTCCATCTTTAATCTTAAAAATAACTTATATATTTGTTAGTTTATAATTGTATCTTTCGATATATGTATATCCAGGAGGAGGAGCGGGTATTCTGAGATACAGGTTAAACATACTTCAAAATTCCTTTTGCCAACTATTGCTATACTAACTGATTTAAACAATAAAAAATATTTTTTTTTATTCACTGGTTAAATAAATGGAAGTGTTTTGGCACCAATTGTTCAAAGAGCGGGAGAAGTCTTCACTCGTTATGTTATTCCTGTCAGACATGTTCTGACATATGTATTATAGTGTATGTATTATGTAATGTACTTGATGTTTGTATGAAGCTGTCGAGGTCGGTGGTGGAGGTTAGCATGTCGGTGTACGAGCGTGAGGACCGCGAGCCGCTATGAGGAAGTTCATGCGCACTCGTCCCGGACACACCGGACACCCTGGACACAACGGACAGTCAGGACACCCGGGACACGTCGGACACTCCGCGCTCATCCCGCACGCAACCATCGGACACAAGACCAACGGTGTCACCAGTAGGTATCTCCAGCTTTTTATAGTTATCCGAGTCCTCGTTACTCACTTTAGACTACGGACAGACATGTCTTGTGACATATTTAAAGGGTACAGAACATCTCGCAAAAGCGTTTTAGAGTTACATCATAACATAAATACTACTCTGCCGTTCAATGTCCAGTGACAGCCTGACAGGATCATTCTATAAGTGTCCTTGTATTTGTTTGACCTTGTACGTAATATTTTTGTGAGCCAACTGTTCGCTTCTCTCATTACTTCATCGATAATAGTTTATTGACATACTAACTCTCTGTAGACCTTCACCTCGTCTTTGACTGTCTTTGCACCAAACCCTCGGATTACAATTCATACATTCATTACAAAGTATATTTTTAACACGATTACTTTTTGTGTTCCTTATAAATACTTATGAATATGTTTATTAAAATAGTGTGTGTTATATTATAACAAGGCCTCCGATGATATCAAGCAGTAACATTGATTTTATATAATATATTAACACCTCTACATTGAAATATAAAGCCGTGGCTGAATCTGAAAAATATTGACTATAACATACAAGGAACACACGAGTCAGTGCGTCACACACAAAGACGGATGACCTTCAATTAGTGGAAACTGGAACGAAGCAGCGAGTAGCGAGGTTGTACGGTGTAGATGCTCTTCATGCATCGACCAAATGCAGCAGCTGGTCCTATACATCAATAAAGAAACAATCGGGTTATGGACTGATAATAAGGCTGTAGGAAAAAAAAGATTTTATTCTGCAACGGCAAAATTTATGTCTCCATTTTCCTGCTCGTGTTACACGATACAGTTCAATACCAAATGCCACACGTGACTTATAGGAACTCAATGTATGCTAAATTGTTGACGGTTTATCGCTTTGAGTAATTGTAAATTTAACTTTGGACTGTTGGATACAGACTAAAGAAAATTAGGGGTAATAATTTCTGTACTCATTCCATAATAGCTTAACGTAACAGCAATATTTTTTTATCAATTTCACCACGGAACCCTGAAATCTTGAAGAAAATAATATTTCGTCCTGTCAGCTCTGACGACATGATCAATGAAACAGCGACGGGTTCCGGTTACTGTTGAAGTCATTCTTTGATAATATTAATTATTACATTTATTTTATTGTTGTTATTATTTTTATTCTCCATAGACACCGATCACAATCGCTCCTTTCAATACAAGTCGAGTTAATTTTAACTTCAATTTGGATTACTTGAATTGTAAAGTAATGTGAAAATCAGTTTAAAGTCAAATGTTATGGGTCATTTTTACCGATAGTTTTTTCATTAGAACTTGTTGTTTTACCGGAAATGGTGACAAACATATTTTTCACTCTTATAAACTCGCCCCGTCCCACTTCTTGTCTACAGATCGCATTTAATCGTTTCCCTTTAATTTTTCTTGCCGCGTCAACTTTTACAATGTGTTTCATTCCACTTCAGTGTATTTTTGTTTAACATTCATCTTCCTGTTCTATTAGTAATATCATATAATGAAATTTAATAATATTTCTTCAATATTTCCTGCCATAACTTCCAGTACATAGCTCGTGCGTGTGACTGTCGTAGGTATAGGATGACCTCAATGAATGTGGCCGGAGAAGTCACAACAATAGCTTGTCTAATGTGTAGTCCGTCTGATTGTCTGTTTGTTCACCTTCTTAATATGCTCCACTCCATGCATGTAGTGTGTGTGTCTTGATGTCAATTGTTCTGAAACCTATTTATAATAAATAACGTAATAAAACTTTGATACAGAGAAACTTGTATTGAAATGAGGAAGTTTTTTATAATAAGTAAGGGATGTACTGCTCCATTTATTTTTATATTTTCACGACTATTTGTACTAATTAGAGTTTTGGGAACTTTTCTTTGCTGAAGCATCATGACATATCCCAAGACTTATAAGTTATAACTATTTATTTTGAAGAACAAACGAAACCAAAATCATTTAATTTTTTTGTACTGTAACATCAGTTTTAGGCTAACAGTAGTTCAGTATTTCCAATATATTATTTTTTCGTATATAGTCAACAAACCAACAAAAAATCAAACCTTTCCTCTTTACAATATCAGTATAGATTATGCACTCTGAAACTTTATTATTAAATAAAATATAACCTGATTTAATTGACCTGATATTTCAACTCAAATGAATCAACTGTGTTCCTACGAGTATATAGATGATTTCTATAGTACTAATCTGTTGTTGTAGAATTTATTTAACGCAGCCTTTTATAAAAACTAAAAGAAAATACTAAAAATATTCTAAGTCGGTTTCATTTGAGTTTTACATGCCAAAGAAATTTCTTATATCTTAAATGTTGGAAAAATCTACGTCGAGTAATACAGATACGTCAGGCTACATCGGTTATAGTTTGTCAATGTTTACATCGAGTTAGTCCTCAGGAATGATAATTGTGTGTCGACTAACATTGACCTTCTACTACTTTATATAGTCAAAGTATTCTTGTGAACATAAAGCGTACCCTTGACTGGGAAATGGTTTAGGAAATACGGTCTCTGATTATAGATAATTTTGAAAATATTTAAAAGTTATTTATTGTAAAGAAATGGGTTTTATTTGAATGATTCCAGATGGTGTTGGAGGTGGTCCCAGGAAGGACGAGCTCTCAACTCTTCCGAGGTATGTATCACGTCGACTGAGGTTCACTTTTTTTATTCTATAGGGAGCCAACCATCAGGAGACCAGATGGAGGTACATATAGTCGCCCGTGGTAGAGGAAAGGGTTCCAAAAGGGAACGAACGGCTGGATCTCTTACTCATCCCACGAAACGAAGTCATTTGAGACTACTTCACGTCTTCTGTGAGAGGGTGGTACTTCCCCGGTCGAGCCAGCACATGTTCAAGCTGTAGTAACTTGACCACAGCTACGTTCTATCACCTCAAAAGTCTCATAATGATAATAATTACGATATTTCTTTAACATGTGACGAATTCTTTATGATCGGACAATGAACTATAAAGGTGTTGTTGTTCAGAGGTGCTCCCTGACACGCGAATCGACTCACCTATTTAAAATAGTGTAATACGTCTAACAGTTCCGCAGCGCTTCAATATTCAAGTTCTACAACTGTTATAAAAGTGTCTATTATAATGTATCATTAATTTATTTCGCTTATTTCTCACAAACACTCTTTAACTTGTTAGTCGTGTCTTAAATAAAATATCTTAGTTAAATAGTGCGCTCGGAACTCAACATTCAGAAATTTGTTATTGAATATTTTGATGTGTATATTATAAATAGTGTTTATATACATTGATCTGTCTGTCTGTGTGTGTGTAGGTACTGGAGCTCGTCGGAGGACGAGGGGGTGGAGTGTGCGGATGGAGCGGACACGTTGTTCATGGACAGAGACTTCCCCGCCGCCAGCTCCAGCCTGGGAGACAGACGGCTCGCCTCGCGGACCTCCTGGATGAGACCTCACGTATGTACACACACCAGACGGAGTCACGGCACGGACCCTATACACGTATATGACCTAGAGCTCTTGGACTACTTAAATATTAATTATAGTACAATTATCAGTATATATCCATGTACCTTAAGAGGAAATGAATCGACCGGCACGGCGTCCCCCTAACAAGTATTATGCTATAGGCCTCTGGGACATAAACAGATGCATACATTATAATATGGTAATGAGTATAATTCCGTATCTTGTACAGTCATGGAAGACATGTACTGGGATGGTGTCCATGTAAGAGGTTCACGTCACATCTCTAGCGGTGAGAATGTGATAGTAAAAGTGAAAGCGTAACAGTAGCATCATAATGAACAATATCTACAAACATATCCTATTATACACATCATAACAAAATAGTGGCAGTACTATTCCCGTTTTAACAGAGAAATATTCTGAAACTTGACTCTTTAAACTTGTGTTAACGTCGTCATAAAATAAATAACGTTCAGTCTTGTCCACTCTGAAAACTACTCTGAGAAAGTTTCAATTGCAGACACGGCTTTTATTTAACTCTCTATTAAATGTGCTCCTTCCTCCAGGACTATCACGGTCAGTCGAACAGCCTCTAATCTTTGGGGTCAATATATATAGTATCACATCATCTTATACACCGGTCTTCTAACGTGGTCTTGATAGTCTTCAAGACCGTTACTTGTTATTATTTCGAGCCAACTGAACAAATACTAGGTCTCATAAACGATCTCATTATCGGTAGCTTTAGAGGTGTAAATAACTGCACACACACACACACACACACACACACACACACACACACACACACACACACACACACACACACACACATATACACACGCACACACACACGTGCGTGTCACACGACTCAATGTTATATTTTTCGTGTCGTTATGTTTAACTCATAAATTCCACATTAAAGAAAACATTCTCAGGTCCGGTCAACTTTGTAATTTCCGTTACGTGAGAGTCAATTTGTAATATAATACTTAAAACAGTACACCTCAGGTGAATAATTTTAAATATATAATATACATATGTATGTGTATTATAGTGGTGTTGTCATGTTTATATACATATATATGAAAATGTTGAACTGCCGTCTCCTCCTCGTGTGAAGCGTCGTCTCTTAAATGGTCGTCTGAATCTTGAAACATTTTAAATAAACATTAAATGTCCTTATAGTTCATCACATATGAAGCTCCTGAACGCTAATGGATGAAATACATATAGACACTCGCTGCTAGCGTCCGCGCCACACCGACCTACAGTACAGACAAACATATTCAACTTATTATAAAAAGAATTAAAATTGATACGACTACAACAGATATAATAAGACTACAACAGGCTAGCTAAACACGATAATATGGCCAAGAAATGTACGCTCTAAGACCCTACTTAACAGTTCCATATGTGAAACGCTTCGTCCTCATTCAAACTCCATATCATTGTGATTAAACCAGCGTCACACACAGGCGTCACGTCGACACCGGTGATGATGTAATATATAAATATATGTAACTGTTTTATATATGTACGAACCGCCAAAATTAATATTCACCCATCACTCATCCGACCGGTGTAAGGAGTGCTTTGTGATTAGCATGATGTTCCTAGGACTACGTTATTTTTGTTTTCAGACCTGTTGTTAGTTTAATATCGAATACATCCATCATCATGTATATTTTCATATAAATAACTTTTTGCAAACTGAAAAGAAATGTATTAATCTGTAGTGATTGAAACTCAATAATTCATTTATTTAAACGTTTAATAGTTAATAGAACAACCGGACTAGTTACAAGTGAGTCCTCGTCAAGAAGCGTACGATTAGTTATTATAATTAATATTCATTTCGAGTTGCTAGGAGCGGGACCGACGTGTTCAATGTTAATAATGCATGCAATAATATTCTTGACATCTTTCTGATGTCATTGAAACGTAATAACTTGTGATGCTTCTGGTCCATGGTATTTGGTTCTCATCAACTTGCTAACACGACATGGACATTTACATCCCTCAATGTGTATAGATTAGGTAGGTATACCACTACTGTCGTCTTAAAACTTATGCTTGATATACTTTCCACTGTAGACCTCTGTCACTAGCCTCGTTCATTAAGTTCATATTGAGTACAGTCTGTTGAAATGTCTGTCTTCGACCTTTTTTCATCCATGTACAGGTGTCGGTAGGCGACCTGTGTACCATTCATGTAACAGTGATGCCACACACGTCCGCATGACCCTCCTTCACAGACGTGCTTGTATGTCGCTCACCGCACCGCGCACCTATACATATGATGAAACAGATACAGTTCACGTCATGGGTACCTTCAACGAGCTCTGCGTTAAGAATAACAACATCAGTGTCTGTCAACAACAAGTGGATGTTGTTAATATATAGTGTATGAAGGTACACCTTTAATGTAAACGGTATTTTAATATTCTGTATTCATACAACGTAACTGACCAAAAGGCTTCATGTCCGGAACTGAAGTCATCGTCGCTAGTTTGTTTTTTTGGTAACTTTAATTCGCCACAAAGCACTTCACAGTATATAAACTAATTAATGAACGCACGCTAATGTGCATTTGACTAACAAAACGTACTTCAACAATGAACTTTCTCCGACGCGTCTCAAGCAGAACGTGTTACAGTTTTTCCTACTTTTATATGAAGGGAAGTGCATGTGTTAGTGTTCTAGAGTAGGTACAACACACAGTGTGCGATGAGAACTCGTCACAGTTCATACGCCATCATCATCATCACTAACATGTCGTGATGGCTCCAACACTTCATCACCTCCCGCCCGCCGCGTCCCTGTCAGAGCTCCCCTCCTGTATCGACAGGATCATTGTCATCTCCTTCTGTATTACATTCGGGTCCCTTAACGTCACTCGTTGTATTCGTCGTTCTTTCTCCGCTTTCCCTCCTGTTGTTGTTTCTCACACATTCACCTCATGTTCAATACATATCATACAGCCATATAAGCTGACAGACTTTCAACCATTTAGTAATTGTGCTTCACTACCCCATGTACCTACTAGAGTGTTGTGGTCGATTTCTATTCTCTTATAAATCAGTAACAATATCTTTTTTCCTCTGACTTCTGGTCTCTCTAATAAATCATAAACAAAGAAAGTCGTCAACCTGACTCGTTACAATGGTGTTCGTTCTTCATGAGAAGATTCTTTAAATAGTGATATATATTGTAATGATACACTCAAACGCTGACTGTAACATACAGAGAACCGTTTGTTGGTGGGAGGTTTGACCCCGTGGTGCGGTGAGGTTGTTGTAAAATAATGAATAGATATTTCAAAACAAAATTTAAAAAAAAAAACAGAAACTACCAAAAACGAGGTCAAGAATGACCGTTTAATTATAACGCGATTTTTATTATTGTAGTTATGGACTGATCTTTGAGTGGATTTACTTTCGAAGCATTATTATACTGCATAGTGTAACAGTGAAACACGAGCTGGTTGAAGGAGCGGAGAACATAGAAGTAATGTTCCTTCTTAAAGAACACCAGAGCTGATCACATCACTCCGTGGTTCGAGAATGTTCGTGAGAAACTTTTATTTTCGTTGGCGTCACGAATATCTTCCGTTATTTTAATAGTCAAGTCGTTCTGTAGCGACCGAGTTCAAGACTTGATCTAATTGAATGAAATCGGATCATCTTCAAATAATTCCGGTAAAAACAGTTAACGGCCGTCTTTAGAAGAAAATTAAAGAAATGCGCTAGTCTTGGAAACATTGTAGTATTGGTAGTATCCCTCCCGTGACTGTGTGAACATAACGACCGACGATAATGAAACATGTTCTTGAGAACATGACGGACATACTCGTACAAGTCGAGGCGACCTTTACAAGTATATGTACATACATATATGTATATGTCGATTAGTAGACTCGTCATGATACAGATCATTGTGTAGCTTATGAATGACTCGGTCGTGGGAAGTGTGTCAGTCACTCGGCGCCGCTGGCTGCACCTCGACACTTCGCCGCGCCGGTAATATTTACGAGGGAATACAAAAACTTTTACATTCACAATTTAGGCATCTTTGATACATCCCAACAATACATTGTTACTTTATACAATAACGCACATATTTCCCACATTAGCCTCCGAAAAAACATTACAAGATTTAATTGTTTTATACGTACATATAACTATACAAAATATGATGCTCTTGAGAACAGTAAGTTAGCTTCGCACTATATTACACTAAACGTGGTTGAACACTTAGTCTCCATACGATATGATATTTACGAATTTTTATTTATTTATTTCAAAAGTTATTTTACACATTTTATACATTTATTGCTTCTATACTATCGAAGAATGAATTTCATTGGTGTTGTTGTTTTACAAAAAAAATATGTATACCTTTGTTAGAGGACATACATATAATTATATATTGTTATTACAAGTACCTATTGAATAAACAAATCAAACAAATATTAGCACAGTATTGGAATCTCACTATATGATATTACAACAGCTTATTTTCTTATACTTATTATAGTATTTAGAATTACTTATAATATTTAGAATTATGCTTATTTATTCTAATGTCACATAAATGTATAAAAAATAAACTTTAAACTTTTGGCGCGATTTCCAGGCGCGTCCACACTAAGCGAGCTTGTGTCGTGGATGCCTTATTTACGATTAACTATAACAAGTTCAAAAGTATTAAATCTAAATATACAGGGTGACTGGTGAATTACTATCAATATTTAAGGAGCATACTCAGTACATGATTCTCATTCGAATTATGTAAAAAAATAAGCACTTAATTTTTGACCAAATTTTCGTATAAATAAATAAAGTGTGTACACGTTCCAAGTGTTCCAAGTGTGGACGCGTGCGCCGGCGTGCTGATACAACAACACGCCGCCGCGCGCGAGTGTGTGTGTGTGTGTATACCTAATCTGTAGGGTGTTTATACGATGCGTAATTAATTACATAACTTTGGGTTAACTTTACTTAGAAGTTTATTAATATTTATGTTCTATTAATTTTTATTTTGTCATATATGATCGTCAAATATCACGTCCTCAAGTATCGATAGTAATTCACCAGTCACCCTGTATACACACATATACATACACATACATAGACACACAACACACACATATATATATACATATATTATATATTTTTTTAACAATAGTTTGTGATGCCGTAAAAGTTTTAGTTTCAAGTAAAATTGTTGGCAAGAAGTTATAACTTATAAGTATACTAAAAATTATATTGAACACGGTAAACAGGAACATACTTTAACTCCTTTATTGATCATATACAGATGGCGAAGGTTTTTAATACATCCAAAGCTAATAATGATAATGAATACTAGAACTATTCAATGAGTTTGTTGTTAGTTTAAATAATATATTTTGAATTGAGGTTGGAGTAACAGATCAGCTCATGTAGTCACATATGTACATTGTTTATAAATATGTCCTCTTTATAAAGATACGACTTCTCACAAAATAGTATTTTATGTATTAGCGGGCCTCTAGCCTCGTTACCTTGCGAATTCATTATATAGTAGGACCGCCAACCGTCAGGAGATCTGTCCTCGGCCGCGGTTCCTGGGAGACGCAGCCCTGGACGCCGGGCTAGCAGAGGAGCAGCTGGAGGACGAGCCCGCGGAGCTGCAGGCGGCGCGCTGGGACGTGCGGCCCGGACCCGCCGGGCCCGCTGTGGCCCTGGCGACCGCCGCGCTCTCACACACGCCGCGGCTGCTGGCACGGGTCGCGCCTCCTCACTCCTTCCGCACCAGATATACGGGGAAATTCAGGTGCTGCCACGTGTAGACTCGCTAATATACAACATAGGATTTTCTTTTCAAAATACTTTTAATAAGAAAAGTTAGGTTACCTCATTCTTCACATTCTCCTGTAGCTTATATATCTCTGTCACAGGTTTCGGTTTTGGGTGTTCGGGTCATGGCGTGAGGTGGTGATAGACGACCTGTTGCCGACCCGTGGTGGCGTGTTGCTCACTGCGCGCGGTGGCCTGGTCGACGACTTCACATTACCGCTTCTCGAGAAGGCCTACGCTAAGTAAAGCCGAATACAACGGAACTCCCGACGAGTGCGGTCTGATTTCCTTCGGAGTAACAAGTCAACTTGTCCGCAGACTGCAAGGCTCGCTGGCGTCACTGCGCGGGTGCGGCGCGGCTCAAGTACTACAAGACCTCACCGGCGCAGTCGTGCAGAGCTTCTCTCCGCCGCGGCAGCCTCGCTCGCTTTTGTTACAGGTGCTTCACTCGGCGGTGCCAAGGTCTACTCTATTGGTGGCGTCTACGGAGCGTGGGTCCACTGGGCTTGTTCCTGGCCGGGCCTACCTGGTGACTGGTCTGGCCCGAGTGCGTGAGACGGGAGGTGAGGGTGCTCTAGTGAGGCTGCTGGCTGCGGGGGGGCCCGCCGCGTGGTCGGGTGCATGGTCGCGAGGTTCTCCTGAGTGGCGAGCACTGCCCCCTGCTGATCTGGACCTGCTGGCCGGCCGCCTCACACACCCTGGACACTTTTGGTGAGGATCCGCTTACCCTCTACCAGTCAAGGTCAAAACCGGAGCCTTGATCCTATATTTAATTATGTATATAATTATAAAAATCGACACGTTTATTTTTTAAGGGGACTTATGTTATTGAAACGAATGTTTGTTAGAAGATGATTTATTACTGAATAATTAACACAACGATCTTAATATTTATGCATCTGACTTACATACTACTTATTACACTACACCTCGAGGGGTGAATTGAAAAAAAAAATGTTTAGATAATTTATTTTTTTTAGTAATAATTGAATTTAGGTTTTAAATGGTTTAGTTCTATATTTATGGATAATATAAGGCTTATTATATTTCAAAATTTTTACATGCACTCCTAAATCTTCTAAAACTACAAATGGCCCAACTCACTGTATATCCAGCTTATTTGCCGTTTCATTTTTAATTAAAATTAATTGACCATTTGTATAAGTTACATTATTTGTATATTTATCATAATTACACTTACGATTTTGTTTGCTTAAAATTAAATTTTCACGAGCATCCTGCTGCGCTACTTGTAACTTAAACTTAAGATCTAAAGCATAATTATCTGGGTTATATAATGGTTCAATATATTGACTTACTCTACAAGGTATTACACTAGGTCTACCAAAAACTAGCTCGAATGGTGTGTATTTCGTTTCTGTATGAACAGTATTATTAAAACTAAAACACCAAAAAGATAACCATTGACTCCAGGTGTCTTTCTGACCATCACACTGAATGCGTAAGAAAGCACCTCAATTTTTATGCGAATTTTCAAGTGCACCGATAGATTGGTGGTGATAAGCTGTAGTAGTCAATTTTTGTATATTTAAAATTTTACATACCTGTTCCATTACAGTAGATACGAACTCTGTTCCACGATCCGTAGCTATGGTGTTTGGTATCCCGAACCTTAATATAAAATTATTAACTAATGCTTTTGTTATACTTACCGTGTCTTTATTTTTTAGAGGATAGGCATCTACGAACTTAGTCAATTCACATTGAAGTGTTAAATGTAGCAACTGTCTTCAATGTCCCTTTGCAAAGTTCCAACGACGTCAAGATAGATCTTTTCAAAAGCATGTGAAGTCGTTGTAGTTATGTCCATGGGCGCCCTGACATACCTACAATGTTTCATTTTTTGACATTGAACGCACTTGCTGACAAATGTTTTAACATCTTTATCCAAGCCTGGCCAGTAAAATTTTCTTTTAATATTATTGGTCATTCTACGCACACCAGCATGACCTGCGGTGGCTAGTAAAGTTATGTAATATGTATTTTCTTTCTTCCTCTTGTCATATATTCTTTTAACTCCTCTTAGAACATAAATACGTGGACCACTCCAGTCCTTACGTTCTTTTATTTCTTTTATCAAATTTTTAATTTCATTATTCTTTACTATGCATAGTTCATTTATTTTTCTAGTTTTACAAAATTCTCATAACTTAGTGACAATTTCGGCTCGCGTAAATTGTGCCCTAAAGTTAAGATTAATATATAATATTTTTCTACGTGACTATAAATGAAACATTCTTTTTCTTCGTATAAATAATTATTATTTTTCAATTTATTAACTCCTCATTATTAATAAAAATCATTTCTACTGAGTCATTTAGTATCTTTAGTACCTCAACTACTCGTGGTTGATCAGGCCACGATTCGTTAAGTTTACTAATTTTAGAGTTATTATCCTGCTCTACTTTATTTTATAAACGTTTCTTTCAGCCTCTAGTCGTAACTAACAATATTTCTTCGTTTATTTGTTTTAAAGTGTCCGATGTTACATTAATTCTAGACAAAGCGTCCGCTACGCTATTATCCTCACCTTTTACATATAACATTTTAAAATCGTATTCTCCTAGTGCCAACCTAAACTTAAGAGGTCTACTTGAGGGGTCTTTCATTGAGAATAAATATAATAAAGGTCTATGGTCTGTCATAATCGTAAAAGATCTACCGTATACATATAGTCTAAAGTATTTTACCGATACAACCTGCAAGGAAAACATTATCAGCTAATTACTAACTGTGGATAACCAAAATTATGATTGGATTATCCAAAAGTAAGCAATGAAATGATTCCAAACTGTTCTATAGTGCGATATCCTTGGGATACAGTTTGAAGCCGGGATTGTATTGCGGTAGGACTTTTCTTTACCAATAATTTGTTTTTTAAATCCTTAATTAAATATTTTGTAGAGCTGTATTCGGGTAACATTCGTAATTTAGCATTCTGTGACAGCCTACTTTTTAAAACAAATGTAATAAGTAATTTCTATTGAGTCAATGATACCTTTAATGCTGTTTTCATTATTATTCATAACAGGAATTAAATTAGATGCTGTTTTCAAATCGAACTCCATTTTTAGTTCAGGATTCGAACACGTTTCGGTAGAATCACTGTCACTACTACTCATATGACATTTAGGCTTAGAACATAAATTTATAATTTGTGAGTAGTATGACTTTTTTTCATCGCTTATTGAAGCTATGAATGTAAGAGAGCTTAGGCTTTATTTCCTTATAAGCAATACATTGGATTATATTCGAACTTTTCTCAAATAATTTCTCAGTTTCCGCTAACTTATTTTTTATAACATTACCTTGTGATCTCGCTTTCCCTTCTTAATTAAATATTTTCTTATCAGTTTAAGGTCATCTAAACATTTAATTAATTCATCTTCATTCCCTTTTAACAATATATTAATAAAAGAAATACATACCAAATATATTAACTCACTTGAGTACTTACCATGGTAGGGGCTGCGACCTGATACATTGCAATATGAAACTCTTTGTGTACATTATACATACTTAATCGATTAAATAATATTAATAATAAATGTATCCTACATTTATTTTACTAGATTCTACACTTATTCATTATAAAAAACTTTAAAGTTTATAAATAGTCATTTTAACAGTTCAAAGTTTATTTCTGAAATTTTATTGGATCACTTTACAAAACACTCACACACTTTTTATTAATATTAAACATAAACACCTGTTTTCACGCACTTTCTTCGTAATTCTAATGCCGTCACTTCTCTCCTGGTTGGGTATGTCTCTTGCGCGGGTGAATGACCGTCTTAGGTTATTTTGTGTGATCTCATTCGATATCCAATTTATTTATTTATTTTATCGGCACATGGTTAGATTTTTTTTTTTGAGTAAAACAGTAACGAAGAATAAACTTAAATTGCTACATATTTCTTTATTTTCAAATTTCCCCCTCAAATATTTTCGCCCCAAATATGGCAAGGGTCGCCATGAGGGGACTTATGTTATTGAAACGAGTGTGTTTGTTAGAAGATGATTTATTACTGAATAATTAACGCAACGATCTTAATATTTATACATTTGACTTACATACGATGTTCTTATTACACTACACTAAGTATTACTATTATTCTCGGATATTATCGTTCCAGGATGTCATTCCAGGAGTTCGCGCGGTTATTTTCGCGACTGGAGCTGGTGCATGTAGGGCCGGATGACTGGCTCCTGGAGCCGGCGCTGCACGCCAGGCGGCCGTGGCGCGCGGTGTTGGCTCGTCGCCGCTGGAGACGCGGCTACAACGCGGGCGGGCCGCCGGCTTGTACTCGTACTGCGCACGCCAATCCTCAGTTCCACGTACATGTGCCACGTTCTGATTCCGGCAAGTGCCACGTTGTGGTGTCTGTCACTCAGCAGTACTCTCCCGCTGGTTCAGCCGATCGTCTTCACGGCATCGGATTCGCAGTATATGAGCTGCCCCCGGGTGCTCCTCCCCCTCGCGCCCCCCGAGCCCCCGCTGCTTTGGCTGATCTCGTGAGTCTCTTCTTTCACTTGTCACTTAGAAAAAAGGGTATTTTCACTGTATTTTTTTGTGCTCGCTATAAACCCGGTGGTACTTACAGCGAGCACTGGACGTGACACACTGGTCTCGAGCGCGCGAGGTGGCCACGTTCTTCACGCTGCCGGCAGGACAGTACCTGGTGGTGCCTCACACACACCGCCCACACCTCGAGACCACCTTCCTGCTGCGCATCCTGACCGACGAGCACACAGACGTGTGGTGAGCGATACTTCCTATCAACTCTGATTCAAGATGCCACGTCGTTCCCTCATCTTATTACTCTTTGCTTACTGACAGGGAGGTCAACGATGACAATGTGATCGTTCGTGACGTGGCGACCGAGTTCTTGGACGAAGGATGCCCTCTGGAGGTACATATGTACATACGCGTACATTTTTTACAGATACAACCAATGTTTTTAAAGTGAAATATTGCCCTACAATTAATATTCTATCCATCCTAAGCTCTACTAGTATTACTGACAGTAACGAAGCAGGCGTGAAATTAAAGATCGCGACAAAGTAACCAAGACCAAAATGGTACTAATTAGTATCGAACTCTCGCATTAATTATTAGTCCAGGATACATGGCTGTTTTTTGCACTTGATTACTAACAAGCTACTCGTAGTTTTAAGTGAGCAGCTTCGTTTCATTGAGACGCCCAACTTTTTCCTTTGTGATATTTCTTGATAGTGGTAGCTAACTTAGCTAGTAGAGATAAAATATGTTGTATATTTGATAATTTTCCAAAATTTATTACTAACTGGATTTATTTATGTTAAATCTTATGATAATTATCTAAATTATTCGAAAAAAAAATTGTCCTACAAAATGTATGGTTTGATCAAAGATCAGTCCCCCTCCTTTCAACATGAATCGATAACGAGGTCATCGCAAGATTACTAACCAGCTAATTTTTTTTAATTTACTTAGTTAATATTCAATATCTGGATACCGGGCTTTGCTCGGTAGGTAGGAAGTGTTTGATACAAAACAATATAAATCAATAATTAATATCTTAGTCTAACATCAAAACAAACGCTCATTGACTTCATGACACTTAACAACGCCATCTGCTGTTGTGTCGTTAAATCAATTAGTAAAAGCCATTAGCAAAAAGTAGTATTACTATTTGTCAATAGACGTCAGGAAGAGTCATATTTTAAACGATTTTCATGAAATTTAGTATATAGGAGGTTTCGAAGGCGAAAACTCGATTAAGCTAGGAATCATTTTTAGAAAATGTTATTTTATTTTAAAAAAATAACAAAAACGGGGACTGATCTTTGATCAAACCATACATTTTGTAGGACAATTTTTTTTTTCGAATAATTTAGATAATTATCATTAGATTTAACATAAATAAATCCAGTTAGTAATAAATTTTGGAAAATTATCAAATATACAACATATTTTATCTCTGCTAGCTAAGTTAGCTACTACTATCAAGAAATATCGCAAAGGAAAAAGTTGGGCGTCTCAATGAAACGAAGCTGCTCACTTAAAACTACGAGTAGCTTGTTAGTAATCAAGTGCAAAAAACAGCCATGTATTCTGGACTATATGTGATAGCTAGGATAAAAAAAAATGTCATCCATGTAAGACGCAAGTGATTTGCAGAATTCATGTATTTTGATTCTGTTTCGTTAGTACTATCTCCCAGTTTCGCAGATATCGTATTTCCACGTATTTTTATTTTCTTTTGTCGAGTGTTTTTTTTTTTTTTCTTATTAATGTTGTGAGACTAAAAGCTGCCCTTACCGTTACAGCCCGAGGTTCAGGCCGCGATAGCAAAAACGATCGGGAAAAGAGGCGTCGAAGAGGTGAGACTCGACGTGAGTAGTGAGGGAGGAACGGTGAGGAGCAGGGCGTGATGAGGACGGTGTGGTGTTGGCAGGTGGACGCGCGCGCGCTGCGGAGCCTGCTGCGGCGTGTGTGGCGGCGCGTGCTGCCGGCGCGACCGTCACGGGCGCTGTGCGGCGCGCTGGTGGCGCTGGGTGACCCGGCGGCGGCGGGCCGGCTGGAGGCGGGAGCGCTGCCGGCGCTGCTGGCGCGCCTGGCGCTGTGGCGGAGCGCGGTGCTGGGCGCGGCGCCGGGCTGCCGGGCCGCCGTCAGCGCCTACTGCCTGCGCGCGCTGCTGTGGGCGTGCGGCGTGCGAGCCTCCAACAAGGTGCTGGAGTGTCTCGTGCTGAGGTTCGCGCGCGGCGCTCGCCTGTCGCCCGACGCCTGCGTGCTGGCACTGGCCCGCCTGCATCTCGCACACGGTACTCGGAAAGAGATATGACCTAGTTTTATATGATATATAAATAGGACCTAGTTTTAGTTAGATGGATTATCATAAAATATTCTATATTTTTCAGAGAGATTCCGAAGCCTCGACAACAAAGTCAAATCCAATCCTATCTCACTGGAGGAGGTGGGTACATCAGTTCGTCAGTACTCATATGTAGTGGTCGACGTGTTTGTATCTCGTGTCCGTGTCTTGAAGGCGTATGTTTGTTTTTGTTTCAGATGCTGCTCATGACCATCTACTCCTGAGGACTCCTGTTGGTGCTCGGTCGTTGTTGTTAAACACATGTAACGATGTTGATTGTAATTTATCTTATTGTTGTTGTTGTTCGTCATGTTTTCCAAGTTTTTATTTGTTATCGGGCGGCGCGTCCGACGCGGTTGTGATAATATTATTGTACGTAACATGTTACAGAGACCCTTATATTTACTGTTTAATATATGTATATCTAATAGTCTGTGGAGACGTAGTGACCAAAGATAACATGTCACAGACTTGTGGTATTAGTCCATATTTATATATCTAATGTATTTTGAAATAAATCTACACTTTATTATTTAGAAATGTTTACTAATGTACAGAAGATAGTCTTATTTAAACGATTTAACTGCAATTGTAGCTGAAATGTATTCCCTGGAACCAACGTGGATAACAATTTAATGTAATAAAAAGAAAAATATTGTTGTTAATAAATATAAATTGAACTCTTAATAACAAAGAAATGTACCAATTTTAATAAAAAAAACTATATATAGTTGATTTATAAAATAAATGTTAAATTATGTTAAAACATTCCAAGTGTTGTGATACGAACTTCTATTACCAAATAAATATATTATTAAGAAGTGACTGCATCTGTTTTAATCTAGATATTTTACTTAACCATTTTTTATATCAAACAGGATGTACAAAATGAGAACAATCTTTACAAAAACAGTATATGTTTCCAGCTAGCAAATAATTCTTTCAGGATTGCATTTTGTTGATTTTGTTACTAGCGTTCCGCCGGCGGCTTTGCCCGCATGGAGTTCGGTTATATCGCTTTTCCAAGAGAACCTTTCAAAAGTCTGGGATAAAAACTATCCTATGTTCTTTCTCAAAGTCAACTCTATCTCTGTACCAAATTTCATCAAAATCAGTTCAGTGGTTTAGGTGTGAAAGCGTAACAGATAGACAGACAGAGTTACTTTCGCATTTATAATATCAGTAATAGTTTCAAGTAATGTGTCGTTGAATTGTAGTAATGTACTGGGCCAAAATAACACCATTGAACATGAGTCAACTTTGATGCCTTTTAATATATATTATGGTTTGCAAAAAATACTTAAAAAATATAGAAAAGAAAGCTTATTTATAAGACTACATTAATTAATTAGTTTTACTGCATAACAACGACTTTCATGTGAAGGGGTTTTGAGACGGCCTTGTATGGGGCTTTCCCATTGTGCGGCGACCGACGGCAGCGGCGGCGATGCAGATTACCTATTCGTTAAAAGGATCTTTAACGTCAAAAGCCAATTTTTTTTAACTTCATAGATACACCCATAACTTCTAAACATGATGTTCTTAGGTTCAGTGGTTAAAATTTTGTATACAAAAAGTTTAGCTTCGTAGTTCCCGTTCCGTTCTATTCGAATTTCGGGAATTCCGTGTGTAGAATTTCACCCCCACGGTGGTAAAAATAAGAAACGATTTTAAATTTCAAAAACGCTAGAACAAATGTTTAAATATATCCTATCAAGTGCTTAAATATCAAGTTTCATGGTTTTATCTTCTAAAATTAAGAAATCCCATACAAACTTTCAACCCTTATTTCACCCCTGCACTGGTCGAAATTTCAAAAACGCTAGAACAAATGTTTAAATATATCCTATCAAGTGCTTAAATATCAAGTTTCATGGTTTTATCTTCTAAAATTAAGAAATCCCATACAAACTTTCAACCCTTATTTCACCCCTGCACTGGTCGAAATTTCAAAAACGCTAGAACAAATGTTTAAATATATCCTATCAAGTGCTTAAATATCAAGTTTCATGGTTTTATCTTCTAAAATTAAGAAATCCCATACAAACTTTCAACCCTTATTTCACCCCTGCACTGGTCGAAATTTCAAAAACGCTAGAACAAATGTTTAAATATATCCTATCAAGTGCTTAAATATCAAGTTTCATGGTTTTATCTTCTAAAATTAAGAAATCCCATACAAACTTTCAACCCTTATTTCACCCCTGCACTGGTCGAAATTTCAAAAACGCTAGAACAAATGTTTAAATATATCCTATCAAGTGCTTAAATATCAAGTTTCATGGTTTTATCTTCTAAAATTAAGAAATCCCATACAAACTTTCAACCCTTATTTCACCCCCTCACTGGTCGAAATTTCAAAAACGCTAGAACAAATTTTTAAATATATCCTATCAAGTGCTTAAATATCAAGTTTCATGGTTTTATCTTCTAAAATTAAGAAATCCCAAACAAACTTTCAACCTTTTCATCCCCTTTTTCGCAATAAAAGGTAGCTTGTGTTTTTTCTCAGGGTTCAAAGTTTGTCTGTGCCAAATTTCATCAAAATCGGTTGAGAGGTTTAAGAGGAAAAGCGTAACAGACAGACAGAGTTACTTTCGCATTTATAATATTAGTTGGGATTGACTCCTCCCCCCCCCCCCCCCCCGCAGAGAGGCAACCACGCGACTTTTTTCTAATACTTGCATTTTTAAACTCGTGATATCTTCCGAATGAAATGTCCGAATTGAATAATTCAAAAAGTTATTAAGAGGTATTGAAGCCGTCTTGAATATAAAGTTATTTATTTTGGTAAGGTTTAATCCCAAGGTACAAATAAAGAGCCTTTTCAAGCGGCGGTATATAAATTAAATTTTTAGAATAAATAACCGCTTACTGTAACATAACTATAAAATTTAGACATATGCTGTCGCGACACTTTTTGTAGATAATGAGGAGTTCTGCAAAGTCGAAGTAAATGATTTTGTTCTATCATCAATAGTTTTCGCAGAGCACGCGACGTAAGGAATTTTTCAGATCATTTTGTTACACCTTGGGTTACATTATCGGAGTTTTAGTAAGGATCCCTAATTGTTTTTTAAATATAATATAGCCTATATTACTCGGGAATAATGTAGCTTTCCAAAGGTGAAAGAATTTTTGAAATCGGTCCAGTAGTTTCGCAGCCTATTCATTACAAATAAACAAACAAACAAATCATTCCTCCTTATTAATATAGAAGACTAACATTCCTTTTTTCCTAACAAAATATTTTTAGAACTAATATGATTCTGCACGGAACATCTCAGTCCGCAACTCTAATGAAAGAAAAATACTTTCAAATGCGGTTCGAAGACATTTTTTAAACCATCGCAAATTAAACTGAAAAATCAGTCGACCAACAATGAACACAACCTCGGTTTACGTTCCATGTTCATTGTCTAATCTTTATGAAGGATGTGGGTTGGAGAGCATTTAGATTTTAGAATGAGCCAGGTCGTGGCTCGTCATACATACATGTGCTATATGGACTTCAAAGTTAGAGTTGCTTACAACATATGTAAGTGGATCTTTGATAGTAGATCCTTGGGACAGGATCGGGATTGTATTACTAACGGACAGTGGTAGCAAGAAATATAGTGTAACATATCAAAATAATTTTACTCACGATTTACTTTCGTGAAGACATCTAATATATGTACATATTTAAAGTCTTCAAAATGATGCTTCTATAAAATTATAGTTTTTTCCTTAAAAACAAACGAAATAGACTTATTTGTGACAAATTTGTCACTCACAATAAACTTTAAAATATCAACTTTAGCCGTATTTAGATAAAGTATACAAAAGATTATATAGAGTGAACAAGGTCTATGGAAACTCATATTTTTAAGTTGACCAGTAACTTTATAAATAATATTAAAACCACAAAACAAAAGTTTAAAGAGTAACAAAGCATTCAACGTGACATCAACAAACGTACTTCCTATTGTTATAGACTTTTTTAAAAATTGTATCGATCCTGATAATCCTGCATTCAGTAAATTTGATCCCAAAAATTTCGTAACTAAAATATGAGCGAGATCCCGGGATCGAATCCTCTATCAGTATTAATCGTTTCTGAGATAAAGTTTAACATACATATAGACAATTATACTTTTTGATCAGCCTTGAGTTTAACAAAATCATATCGTGACAATTTAAACAATAGACCTAGGACAGTGGACAAGATCGGTAAAAGTTGAAAATAATTACTTAAATAGTATATCTATTTACAATTATAAGTATACAAACAATTTATAGACTCTTATTAGCTACTGTATAGTGTCCAGTAGGTCGGTAATCGCACCCTCTCTAAGTAAGCCAGTGCAGATGCCTTTAAAAACAATGAAAAATGAAAATAAATTATTGTAGAATGAAACCCGTTCGGAAAGGATGGGAATATTATAGAAAAATAATTTACGGGCGATATGAGGTCAGGAAGGGTACGGGGATGGGTATTTAAGGGTAAAAAATGGGTTTTCTCGATTTCCAGCAAAACTAAAAGTCTTACAGAAAAAAATTATATGGCAAAAGTTGTAGGTAATAAAAAGATCTAAAACTTTTATACTAACATATTTTTCACATAACCTCAAATTTTATGTAAAATATTCGAAAAACCAAGTTTTTGGTTTTTTTATTTTTATCTCTTCCAAAAAACAATTTTTTGTTACGAAATTTGGTGAAAACTTTTCTTTTGATGTTCCAAATGCACTGTAATTTATTTATATGAAATATTTATTTTTTCAGCTTATTTTGAAAAAATACCGAAAAATCAGACTCATTTTCAATCGAAAAATTACCCGTCAAAATATCAGCTTTTTTTAAAAAAAATGGTATGTTTCTGTTTGTTGAACTCTATTTTCCGATGGTGAACAAAAAATTATAAGTTTTTTACTTGCAGTTAACATTGTCTAAATCTGTATACGTACGGTATCAATATAAGCAGAAGCAGAAAGTAGTTGTTTTAATAAATATTTTACTAAATTATACTACTGTAATAAAGATAAATACACTTTAATACTCCATACTGCTATTTTTAGGTCACTAAACACTTACTCTGTACACATGTCTTTCAATCAACAAGTATTGATTTTTCCAGATATTGATATTCCCTGTCGACTGGCAGCACCGACTCGGCGTAGTTGTCATCAGTGTCACATTTGTAACTGTGGCTGTTAGACGCGTCGATGTAGCGCAAGATAACATTCGTATATTTAAATAAAAAAAATATTATAAACTGTATGTTTGAAAGCCTCAAACATATGAAACTATTTTGTGTTTGAAATATTGTAATCATGTTGAAGTTTATAATAATATTTTTTTATTGTTCTGCGATTTTACAAACGACTACGTCGTCTTCCGAAAGCCGGGCGGATTCCGGTCAGTTGAAATTGTTTGAAGAGCCGATATCTTACGATGTGGAGTCAACGGTGTTGTTGAACGAGCTGGAGCGGAAGGAGAAGGAGGTTAGCTACAAGATAAAGGCGAAGCTTAATGTGATCCCGCTCTGGACCGACGCCGGCGCACAAAGTCTTCTCAAGTTCGAGGTGTGTTTACTGGATATTTATAACAAATTCATGAGTTATATGAAAAAGACAAAAAAAAATTACTTTCTTACGCTATATGACAAAAATTTGATAAGGAACTTGTTTATTTATTTATAATTTTTTTGTATAAATTAAAGGAATTCTTAAAATAATATATTGTATAAACAAATTCGTCATTTTTATGAATATGTTTATAGTAGTAGTTCTTGTATATTATTTCTCATACTGTCATATCTGCCTCTTTGTTTTATGATCTCAATGTGTAAATGTTTTTAGTCTCTCAATATTATACTGACTTTTCCTATTATTGGTTTTAGCTCCTGTCACCACGTCTATTTTCCCGAAGCAAGAGTGTGACAGCAGATTACTTACCGATGAAGTCTATCTGGGACCTGTATTCACATTCCACATTTTATGCTCATTGGAAACTCGGTCTCATCAAAACTGCCTATTTGGACTTCAAAGATCCAGTGGAGATACAGAATTTTAAAAGGGCCCTGATAAGTGTGTTCCAGGTAGTAGCAATCATATATCATTACCAAAACTTGTCAAGTAGAACAGAGAATACAATTCATAATTATATTTCAAGTTTGAAGCGGTCAGCAAGGAGCTCAATGAAACAGATGTCTCCGGTACTTGTCATGTTCAATATGAAACCACGTCAAGCAACACGGTCAGGAAGTACAAGGTGGGATGGTACCATCAATTGTATTATTATTGGTAGTATTTTTTGTTTCCCCTTTTGTATAATAGAAGTGGAAAAAAAAAGTTGTGTTAGGTCAATAGAAAATACTGTCCTTTTCCATGCCGTGATAACTTTTAATTGAAACAACACTTAACTAAAAATGTAATTACCTTTATTTTAAAACCTATAAATAGTGTATGTTTTGTAAGTTGTCCTTACAAATAAATCAATGTAGCTTTAGATGGAATGGAAACTTTGGTTTACAGAGTTCATGTAGAGCGAACGACTGGCCTGAGTTGGAAGAGGGCGTGGTGAAGTCGCGGAGACTGGCCAGGTACACGTTGGATGAGCAGCGACACACGCTGAAGGACCTGCACGCGGAGGAGCTGCACGAGCTGGAGGCGGGCGGCAGGGCGGCCAGGGGGGGACTCAAGGCGCGGGCCTGGCTGAGGCTGACCGCGGGTCAGGCCACCGGGGTTACGCCTCCGCGGGCCTCCTCCTTTGCCGAGGCTCTGGACGCGCTCCCCGACCACGTGGAGATGGGGTCCCTCCAGGCCGCCCCCGTCCACGTGACGGACCCGCTCTACTTGGAGGTGAGATGCACACACACACATACACACACGCACACACACACACATCCCACACGACACGTGCCCTTGGGGTCGTCGTCTGTTCTATTCAATTCCGCTCCACTCGGCTCGCACAGCTGATGACGTCACCGTCCCTCTCGCACATTGAAGTCGTTAAAATATAATTAAAGCTGAGATTTAGTTTGACTTCAACCGATGAACTTTGACCTTGATAACAATATAATAATCAAATCTTTCTGTCAGTCTCTGGCCACCAGCAGCCGGCAGACAGGATGCTTCTCATGATTTACGAGTTCAAAACGTTTAAAACTGTTCGTGTGTAGGTAACCGTCATCGTTTCTCGTATGTTTTCGGTGCCGGCTGCCTGTTATATAAATAGAGTTCAATGATTACACTATCAGCGCCTCGTGAAGACGACTCGACCTTTGGATGTGATAACTGGTAGTGTGTGTAGTGGACACGTTGGATGTGGTGACTCAGGTCGATCCTTATCAAGTGAATTATTAATCTCAATGTGTTCACTGATTACACTATAACATAATAAAAAACGAAATACAATGGCTGTTACTAACACGGTTAAACGCTAATTATTAATTATTTTACACAAACAGAATGAACCATTTTTGAAACCTAGTATTTAAGTCAGTCACACTCTTATTTCTAATATAAAAATAAAATTAATTTATACCATAGAAATAAACCAATAGAAAGTGAAATATTAACTAACTGAAGCTAAATCATAAAAACCTTAAATATTTAACTCGATTTTTTTTTGAGAGCATATTTTTGTTTACTTTAGACTACTGTTACACATGATATCCAAACCGTTTTTGTTTTTTTTGCGACCTCGCATAACTTTTTGGCGACCTCGCATAACTTTTTGGCGAAGAATCATCTTATTCATCTCCATTAACGGAGAGCTGTTCGATTATCCATGACATGGTACGCAATTGGATACCTAGAAGACAGGTCCTTGGAGCAAGTGCTCAAATGAACAATAAACAAACATGTTTAGACGGGCTTTAAGCACGCCCCTTGTATCCGCGCCGCTAGTAGCATGCTTAAAATACGCACGTTTGTGGATTTTAAAGCGTGCTCCAATTTAGCAAGTTTATTTAGAGGAACATTTGGACACACGTGCTACAAAGTAGCAAGTGCTCAATTAAAGCATGCTTTCGTTCTTGAAATAAGCATGTGTAACAGTAGCCTGAAACTATTTTTATTTATTTATTGATTTAGGGACAACCAAAATGTGTCTTTAATTTTTGTATATGATCGAATCTTTCAGGAGAGTTTGGAGATAGAATTGGAGGCGGCCGTTTTGGAGTTACGAGAACGCTTGACGGACGGGACATCGGGGGCTGAGGGGGGCGAGGCGATGACAGCCCACGTGGTGAGGAGGCTTGTACGAGCGCTGAGAGACGCTCCGCTCCCCGCACTGGTGCCGCTGCTCTCCGAGGACCACGACCCGGAGTACCTGTGAGTGTGGAACAACGACATACGGTGGGGGAGGGGGACGGAACCTGTCGGGGACTCGCTGTAACATGTGTACGTTACAGGAGGCAAATGTGTATGTCCCTGGGGCTGGCGGGCACCGCGCACACACACGCCACAGCGATGCGCTTCTTCCGGCTGAGATCGAGAGACGCCCCCGTGAAGTTGGTGCACACCTACCTCGCCGCGCTGGCGCTGTCCCCGCAACCACACGTACGTACCGAGCTCGGACACGAATACTGCGTTAATAAACTACAGTCAGTCTGGGTAACTTTGATTCATCAGGTAACTTTGACAGTGGGACCATGAACTATGTAGTTTCGATTATTTTTTCGCATGAAACCAACACTATTCATATATGTTTATTTTAGATTTGCGATTCTAAACAAGCTTCCTAAACGCACCTTAAAAAAAAGTAAGTTGTGAAAGTAAAAAAAAAGTCAAAACTTTTTTTCTGAATATAGGGCGCGAATTTAAGTTTACTTTAGGGTGAATAACTTTTTGAATATTTTGTGATTTTGGTAAGTGAGATATTATACAGAGGCATTTGTGATTTTACTACCACATTTTCATGAAAAATTTGCATATAGGTCATATAATTTAACGTCTTATTTTGAAATTTCATGCATAAATATGAAGATACGTATTTTGAACAGAAACTGTGTCAAAGTTACCCTTAAATAGAAACTGAAATGGTGGTAGAAGAGGTGATTGAAGAATATGTACATCAAAATATATTGAGTTCTCACCTGGAACAACAGTTATATTTAAAACAGAAGGCACACTGTTTCCAGGAAAAGTGACAAGTTTCACATTCCCGTATTATACACTTGTTGTCATGAGTAGATCAACACAAGGTGGTTGGAAATGACCAGATAAAAGAGAAATTAATAAAATTAAATATGATGATGTTGTATCTACAGTAGATAACAGTATAAAACAGCCTGGGCTCTACACAATTAATGACGATTTGCTCTATATGGAGTGGGGAGAATAGACAATTTAGGCTCAAGATTTTTTTATTTATTTTATTTTATTTAGGCACACAAACAGAATATAATCAGGATTACATATGAGGTACAGTCTAAAAATTATTTTTAGCTTGATTACATTCCTAAGTATGTGTACATAATAATAATCATTACAAAAAATTTTAGCAAAAGATACATTAGTTACATTCGATTATAATTAAAAAATTAAATCAAATTAAAAAATTAAACTAAATTAAAAAATTAAATTAAATTAAATCAAAATAATAAATAAATTGTCAAAAAGTCATTGGAGAGTAAATGATTGAGATATAATATGCCTTACCCTATTTTTAAATTTTAAGCCTTGTAAAATTGGGATCAAATATATCTAACATGTCACTGTGTTTTGAGAGTAAATCATTGTATGTACGGCAGAATCTAACAATTGGATTATAATATGACGAAGGTATTCAAATGTTGATGTTGAGATCTAAATTTGATGTTAAAATTAATGAGCGATGACAAGGCAGATGAGTCGATTCTAGAATGAATTATTTTGTGCAGTGTATAAAATTCATTACACGTACGTCTTTGTTTTAGTGTGAGCTTATTAAAATAGCCAATTCTATCTTCGTAACAGGTTATCTTATTCTGCAATCCAAATTTGTGACACAAGAAGAAAATGAACCTTTTTTGAACACGTTCGATGTTGTCCCTGTGGATAGAATAGAAAGGCGACCATATTGTTGAGTTGTACTCTAAGATGCTACAAATTAGAAAATGTTTGTTTGTTTTAATTATTCTTGCTGGTTTTCTTTTTAATTTGAATAAAAATGTTAAATTGAAGGAGTTTTTAAGCGTTTTAGATGGTGTTAAAAATTGTGTGTAACATTGCCAAATGTTGTAGACTGATTCTTCATATATATTTTTTTTGTATAAGACAAAACTGCAAAATGGTCGTTTTATTGCGTCACATGCATCCATTAGTTAATAAATATATATACCAATGTTACCCAGATTGATAAAAATAATACTTATTACTACTTTTTTATGCATGGCTCTGTGTGTGTCAAAGTTACCCAACTTATGAGGGTAACTTACACACACACAGAATTAGGATTTTATACTATACTAGAAGACCCGGCGAACTTCGTATCGCCCTATAATCAAGAAATATCTGTTACGTTTTTTTATTTATATTTTTGGAGTTTACCTATTAAAGCCATAAATCTCCGTGTTTTGAAGTGCGACGGAATGATTGACATATTAGTTAGTTGTCAAATCTAATGTCAAAAAAAAAACGTTTGTATCAACAACTACTAATAAATTAATAATTAATTAAGAAACATTGTTCAGGGGACAAAATTGTGAGTCTAAACCATTCCCAGATCCCCTTGAACACACACAAAAAATTTCATCAAAATCGGTCCGGTCGTTTGAGAGAAGTTCAGTGACATACACACTCACAGAAGAATTATATATATAAAGATTGGTATGTTTTATAAACTTTCTGTGAATGTCTAGAGACGGAAAGTAATACGAGAGCACTGATAAAATAAAAACACTCCATGATTAAACCTATCGTTTAATTTTTTTAAATATATTATAAAATTATTTCAGGAATCCATCGTAGAGGACGTGCTGCGGCTGGCCGAAGAGTTGACCGACCTCGAGCTGGCGGAGAGCGCGCTGCTGGCCGGGGCCGCCGCCGCCGCCGGGGACGAGAGGCTGTCGGCCGGCGCCAGGAACACCATCACCAAGAGCCTCGTGCGGTGTAAGGTGAGGCCGGTGGATACTGGAGGGGGGTGTGGCACGTGGCGCTAACACGGGGACCTTACAGACCGACGAGTGTCGCCGGGTGAGGGTCGTGGCTCTCGGCAACCTGAGGCGGGAGGACACTGTGGAGCTGCTGCTGGAGCACGCTGAGTCGGGGTCGCGGGACGTGGCGCTGGCGGCGCTGGACGCGCTGGGCGGGGCGCGGGCGGCGCTGAGGACGGCCGCGCGCCTCCCGCGCCTGGAGCGACTCGTGCTGCGGCCGCGCCCGCTGGAGCTGCGCGCCGCCGCGCTCGACCTGCTGCTGGTGGTGAGCGCGGAGGCTCCCTTCGGCCTCACTCGCCTCGTTCTGGAGCTGCACGCGGGCGCGCCGCTGGAGCTGCTGCGTCTGGCCTGGCAGCGGCTGCACGCGCTGGCCGCCGACCACCCGCACGTGACGAACATGATGCAGCTCCTCCCTCAGCGACTCCGAGGCTGGGAGGTGCAGGCCATGGCGGGTGAGTGCTGTTTCATCGCTCCGACGTCCCTCCTTTGTTCATACATTTATCCACAACAGATATGAAATACAATTTAAACTAAACGAAATTCACAATTGATGGCAACAGCTCTATTTTATTTTATTTTTATTTATTGGGAAACAAACAGTATCACAACCAATCGACTAAAATAATACATACAATAATACACAAACCAACCAAGTTTCCTCCGATTACAAGTTCATTTGGAGCTGAGAAGAATAAAACGTCCAAACACACGTTGGCCAAAATATAAAATAACAGATTAAAATTGAAATACAAAAATTGATGACATTGAGCAAAAATAATAATATGATCAATGAAAATTAAGACAATTATTTTTTTTAAAAAATCATGAGATAAACATAAATTAATAAAAAAATAATTATAATAATTTAAAAATAAATTAATTACAATTAACAGGCATTACTAACTTCTTTTCTTATTTTATTTTTTGTACACATTGTATAATCTATATTGAAAAAACATTTATTATATTTATCACAGGCACGGAAACTAAAAGTATTTTGAGCATATTTGATTTTAGTGATAGGTTAATGAAAAAGGGACTGATGACGCGTATAAATTTTAGAACATCTAAAACATATATATTTTTTAACACATACGGTTGATTCTACAAAACTTTGAAGTATCTTAAATAAAAACAATTGATCTCTCTCCATGCAACGGTATTCTAAAGACGAAATGTGTGAGCGCTGTAAGAGATTCCCCGGCTACTCAGTAAACAGAAAAAGAATAATAAAAAGCGCGGAAATAGGTTCATAAACGACAACAAAGAAAGTTATGGCTGAGGAGTTCTAGAAGTAACTCCACACATTTATATTAAAAACGCTGATTCAGAATACTACGTACAGCCTCAGGAAACTAAGAGTTGAAGAAGTTGAAGCAAATTATAAAAATGTTACAGCTTTAATGACACGTGATGATGATGACAATATATTTTATGTCCAAAGCACCTTCCACCGTGTGTGAGGTCATGTGTTAAGTACTATTGCATGACGTTTTCGGACATCATTTTCTCAACTGAATTGTCCATATAATATACTTTTTAAGACTGATAATCTGCATCTGGTAGTGGCCAAATTGAGTGATAAATTTGACCTAATATTCAAGATCTATTTAGTTATAGTTGATACCCATCTCTTTATTTCCAGGCACGTCGTCAGTCCTGGTGCGGGAGCTGGGTGTGATGGACGGCTGGCGCGCGCGGCTCGGGTCCGTGCAGGTGGCGAGCGGCGGGCTGCTGCGACGAGGACGAGTCGAGCTGACCGCTGTGAGCCCGCGAGGGGAACACGATGACACGCTGGCCGTGAGTACAACAACAACAACGACTACGATGACGTACACACACACACACACACACACACACACACACACACACACACACACACACACACACACACACACACACACACACACACACACACACACACGGGTCATCCGTTGATATTAAGATCGGGGATCATAGCGATCTAATGTGGTTAATTACTGGCTTTGAAAGACACGTATTTGTAACTTTAAGTCGTATTTAATAATATTAGAAGATTTTAACATAGCATAATGAAAGCTTGGGCCAGTGGGCGGTCCACCGTATTTGTATGTATACATGAGATGTTTTATAAAGGATACTTTACACTACACTTAATTCTATAATATACCATACAGACTATATTTATTACACTCCGGCTCCTTATTATTCACCTCCGGGGGTGAAAGAAAAAAAAAAATGGGCTTACACATTTTTTTTTGTATACTACTTAACAAAAAGTTTTATTCTATTCTTATGTACTATGTCTATTTTATTTTCATTAATTATTTTAACATTAAATCCCATATCTTCTAATACAGTAAATGGTCCATTGAACAGTTCATCTAATTTTCCACTTGTTTCTGATTCTACTAAAATTAAATCATCTTTATTGTAAACAACAGGATTAACACACTTATCATATTTAGTTTTTCTATTATATTTGCTATGTGACAAATTATTTCGGGCATCTTTATAAGCAACTTGCAACCTATATTTAAGTTCACTAAAATAACTTTCTGGATTATACATAGGTTCTACTGTATTACGAATACATAATCGATTAAGGATATTACATTGTCTACCAAATACAAGTTCAAACGGTTGGTATTTTGTTTCAGTATGTACAGTAGTATTAAAGCAAAAGTCCAGTATGGTAACCAATAACACCAAGATTGCTTGTTTTTGTCGCAATAAATGCGTAAAAATGCGCCTAAATTTTTATGAGCATCCTCTAACGAACCTAGTGACTGATGATCGTATGCTGTTGATGTAATATTATCTATGTTTAATAATTTACATACCTGTTTCATGGTGGCAGAAGTAAACTCAGTTCCTCGGTCAGTTGCTATTATTTTAGGGATGCCGAATCTTAAAATATAATTATCAACTAACGCCCTAGCGACACTAATGGAATCCTTATTCTTAAGTGGATAAAAAAGGTTTAAAGATCTTTATTCTCAACAAGACAATACATAGCCACTTATTTGAGAACATTACTAACTTAAACATATAACATTGTTAACATTCGTCACACCAAGTTTTATTTAATCTATAGTGGTTAGTACGAAATTAATAAGAGAATAAAAGAAAAGGAAAACGCACCCACTGTATGCGTTAGTTGGTAAGATATTGCGCGAGTTACGTTTTAAATGCGCTAAGTGAAAGCTATTTTATCATAAAGCTGTGCTCCTTCAAATGTGATCATTTTTTTTATAATAAGCATCAGGATAAGCATCTATAAACTTACTTAACTGACACTGAATGGTTAATATATACATATTTTCATCATAATCTTTAGGAAGAGGGCCTACTATATCCATATATGTATATCTTTTCGAATGCATATGAAGCAGTTGTTGTTATCGCCATAGGCTCTTTTATGTATTTACAATGTTTAGATTTTTGGCATTTAGAACATTTTCTTATGAAATCTCTTACATCAGTTTCGAGATTTGGCCAATAAAATCGTCTCTTGATAGTATCGATCATTCTACGTCTGCGACATCATGCGACATTCAATGTTTAGGTGGAATTCTGGACCAGAGGACTCGAAGCCATCGCAGGAAATGGCCAGAACTCCGACGACGAAGAGGAGGAAGGTGTGGAGGTGAGCGGCGGACTGGCGCTGTCTGTGGGCGGGGTCCGCGGCAGGAGCGTGACGCTCTTCACGGGGCAGGGCGAGCTGCTGGGCCACGTGTGGGCCGGCACCGCCAGCGAGCCCACGGCCGTGCTGCGCGCCGCCCGCACGGTGAGCGCGGCCGGCCTCGCCCTGCCGCTGCTGGACGGGGCGGCGCTGCGCCTGGAGCGGGACGCGCTGCAGCTGCTGGCGCTGGACGCGGCGGCGCAGGTGTCGCTGTGGTCGAGGAGCGCGCGCTCGCAGATGGGGCTGAGTGTAGCGCTCGAGGCGGCCTGGGGGGCGCGCGTGCTGGCGGCAGGCGCCACGCTCACGGCGCGGGGCTGGCTGCGCGGCGCTCCGAGGATGGCGATCGAGGCGGACCTGGACTTCTACGACGGGAACGTGCTGTGTGTCCGAGTGTACACCACCGGCTGTGACAGCAGGTGGGTTGAACAGTGACGGGAGGTCGTCGTCTGTAGGAGGTGACTAATTCCTTCGTTTGTTCGTTTCTCAGCGCCGGGTCCGAGCTGGTGTCCAGGACGGGCATGAGGCACGTGCGGCGCCGCCGACACTCGTCCATGAAGAGCCCGGGCCGCACGCTCTCACTCGGCCGCATCAACGACTCGCTATGCTGCGTGCTCACCGCCATGGTGTAATGTCAAATAATATACACTTCAATAAACAACTTGAGTCTAACACACAACAATATTATTAAACTGACACACACACACACACACACACACACACACACACACAAACACACACAGTGTGTATACACTAACACAACACACAAGCAAATATACACTACATGTACAAACACACACATAAACACAAATATACCCAAGATTATCTAGGTGTATATAAAACCGCGCACATATAAATCTAAGCGCTCAACCAAAGCTCTCGGCCAAAAAGCGCCCCCCAGGGGTGTCTGTCTGTGATCACATCACACGACAGATGTTTAATATAGTTTATTTAATGTAACTGTTGTAGCTGTAAGCAAGTTATCTGGAAGGTATCGCGGGTCGCCGCTCCCGGCTCACTGTACACGAGCCGGATGTAATAAGGATAACGTTTTGAATCTCTGCTTTGTTCGTAATAACATTTTTTTTCTCTCACAGAGGATTATAATCATTTTCGCAATTTAAAATACATATTCTCGTTTAAAACGTTGTTTCATTTATCATGTCTCATCATATATTCTTAGAGAAGCTCACATGCTGTCCGTCTCTTACTGCTGATCATCCTTTTCTTTGCTGAATATCTTAAAGATGTCTTTTTTTTTAATACAGAGTGTATGAAAAACTGTGTCAACCCCCTTAACTGCGTTATCAGTATCGAAAATGGAACACAATCAAACAACTTACATTTACAAACTCTTCAATAAAAATAATAAAATTAAATATTAAATGATTATTATATGTAGAATAACAAAATGTTTGTAAGCCCTGGTATAACAAGATGACACTCAATGACGTCATCACACCTGCTGCGCTACTAGTGACGAACTCGAAGTTACATTCACATTATTAAAAATATCGATATTTAAAAAAATCATAACGATAAATAAATATTTAATATTCATATTATTTCGATACTTATTTTGATATATCAAACATTAATATTATTTTTGATTGTAAAACACCATTTTTAACAGAAATAGATTAACGATTTATCCTAATAATACAACATAGTTAATTTACCTGAACAAGTTTCAAATTATAATATCTATTATTAATAAAAGTTATTTTAAATGAAATTATTTTAATGTGAAAAGCATAACTATTTGTAACAATATTGAAAATGTCGATAGAATATTTATCGATATAACTAATTTTTACACTTTCAAATCTCTATTCGAACAACTAACAAAATAGTAATAATAACGCCGGCGGCCCGGCGCCTGCGGTCAATGGTCACGCATGCGTCGTCGCGACTATACGGTGTCTTGACCTTGTATGGGTCAGATGTTTGAAACATTTTTTCAAATAATGTCGATTTAAAATTTATTTAGCCTATGCACTGTAACTGACCTCTGCTTGATATTTTTTAAGTTATACTATTTTTTATAAAAAGCTTATACTTATATGTATACATGCCTTTAAGGGTTGACACAGTTTTTAGAACACCCTGTATAGACGTTCGTTCAATAAACGTTTCATGATCTTGCAGATTATGGAGGTAATTGAAATCCAATGAGAATCAGCAGGTTCTACATGGATACTTTTGTTTAGTTTGGGTACCACGTTGGCAAGCCACCACGTTACAAGATTTAGGCACTATAACACTCATCAGAGGTGGCTCAGTCGTGTTGATACAGGAGACACCTGGTGTGCACATGATTTTATCAAAAACACGGTTATACAGTCTGGGCCACTAGCTTTTTTGCACCTCAAAACTTCGCGAGGTTTCCAATACTTGTTTATTAGTAATGCTAACCTCTGGCATCAAAGACTCGCAGTCAGCTCAGCGAGGTGGACTTCTTTTAAAGATGTGTATTTTAGGCGAAAAGCGAAAACCAGCTAAGTTGCTCTCTCCTTTGGCTTATAAGGTATCGCAACATTAGATTTGTCCTCTTAGATCTTGACGACAAAATAACAAGCCACTACACAGGCACAGACAAGGTCGACGACACATATACAACATCTCTTATGGTGCAGATGTCCATGGGCAACGGTGTCTGTCTACCGTCAGGTTGGCCGCCTGCTGGTTTGAAACATGGAAACAAAAGACATGAATACACCTGGACATACAACACACACACTTCCGCCGGCGAATACGTGCTCATATTTATTAAGTTATATCACTTATTTTCTTGTATAAGAACCCTTTTTTTTTTTACGTTTTTTTTAACTAATTCTTTCACATATATGTATCGATTTATCGAATGATTGTAAAGCGTGATTGCATATCTCATTACGGTAACTGCATCCGTATTCTTATATAAGTTCATATTTGGCAGTGGTGCGCTCACCCTGCCCATACAACGACTAAACCTACATTTGTTTAATCCTTACTTATATACTTTTAAACACACATTACTAAATATTAATGTTTATAGACATTTAAAATAACATTTTTTTCACAATTTGGTAAAATTGTTTAAAGTCTCATCTATCAATGTGAAAAGTAATATTTTCGTTCGGTCCCCGCTCCTAGCGCTGCCTCCCAGCCAGGGAGGCGGTAGACACAACTACTCGGTGCTTATTTTCTATAAAAATAATATCAGGACTATCTACAAATCATGTGTTGTATGCAGGGAACATATTTTGCAGGCGTGTGTGTGTGTGAAAACTAAGTATGTGTCAGTGTTTTAGAGTCACAGCTTCTTTAACCCCAGTCGTTTAAGACGTCATACAAACTGTCACATAAAAAGGGACTATTTAATTTGTTGGTATACTGTTGGTGTTCTATTATTTTTTCGTCATTTTGTTATTATTATTGTCATTCTTAGGGCAAATGAATAACTTTTAATTAGCTAATGAGTGAATTTATTAACTTACTGGTATTAAATTAATTACAAGTACATTTTCAATGTCGGCGTTTGATAATAAAATTAATAAAAAAGGAAGATGTGTGACCAGTTTTGATTTAAGAAAAAAAGGTGATGTTACCTACTCATTTTAATAAAAAGTATTATGATGGTTTTAATTAGCTAGCAGGTTGTGTACCTATATGTTTAATCGATCAATATGATTATAACCAATCAATTGATCACATTGCCCGGTCACTATGAATACTGCCCGCATTGATCACGTGGCCCGTAACATATACACATAATATAAGTTATTTTGTTTTCCTTGTTTGTTGTGTTCAAATAATAATAAATAAGAATGTTTGAATCTCCCCTAGATACTCAGATATAAATAACTTTTATGAAGCGGTGATGAACAGGTTATAATCGTTTTAAGGCACTTTCGTGGCTCAGATATACAGATGTTCGTTCTTATTGCACTGCTGTAACATTATGCGCGTATATAAAAAGCACATATTCTCGACGTTCTATTACTTTGCAACAACCTTGATCACGGAGGACATCTCGTCTGCCCTTAGAAAATAATAAATTAAGTGTTGTAATCCGAAAATATTAGTTTCATTCAAATAAATACTACCGAAGGATCTCACTATTATCAATATTTCAGAGAAGGAATTATGATGAAAATTGTTTTTTTTTTTTTTCAAACATTTTGCTTACCCTACTCCAAATCTTTGTGTACGCCCCTGGTATTTGGTTATTCTATAAATTTCTATAGTTGAATGGAGTCATTCCATGGGACCCATTGAATTAATGTTATTTGCTATTGCTACGTGAATTTATATTTTAAGTATAGCGAAAATATATATCCCTTAATATATCAACACCGAATTCAGTGCCAGGAACGATACTTATTTTATGTGATACTCCATCAAAAGTATACTTTACTTTTTTACTAAATCTCTTACTATTCTTGGTTCAGTTCCATCAGGAGTTGCAATTACATATTTGGACAGTTTGATTTAACCAATGTATCTATTAAGATATCCTGTAAGTGTTTAGTTCGGGTTTGAATCAATTATTATTTTGGTTACCTTTGACTTCTTTGTATCTCTGTATGTTCCATGTCACGCCTGGTATAATTTCTCTTAATATGTCCTAAAGTTTCTTATGTTTTTCCTACACGATACTTTCTAATAATTTGTCTCTGATCATTTTCGTCGTCTATTTAACTTATTAGTTTTGTTCACTCTATCAAGTGCACACATTCTTTTTTAAATACATATATACAATTTTCGGTATTTTGTCTCCGAGGTATATCAACTTTAAGTTATTTAATATTTAATACTAATCAATATTTTACTAGTAGAAGAAGATTTAAATTTATTTGTTTTCTAGATTTTAATGATTTTACTCCAAGCTCGATTTTACTATCAGTTATTAATTAATTACTATTAAAATTTAATAGAAGTATGAAGTGCATCTAAATTTGTTCGCTCAATATTATTAACTTAACATTATATTGACTATAGTTTTAATTTTACTAAAACTACTTTCTTCTTCTTTCTTCTTTTGTTATGAGGAAGTACTGATACTAATTATAAAAATAAGTACAAGATAGGGTTGTTGAAGTCAACCTAGCTTGAATAAATTTATTGTTTTGTCTTGATATTGATTTCTATCGCAGCCATTACGTTTTCAATGTATTCTCGTCAACAAACAAAACATTAATATGTATTCAGTTTGTGTTTTGATTGTATCTATTCATTCCACGATGGAATAGTTCATATAAGGTTACTACCTACAATACCTAATATAAATACGATAGTTACAGACAGGTATTGAGTTAGAACGATGACGAATCTTTTTGGAAGGTTTAATTTAAATCTTTGTGATCTATCAACATTATTCTGGAATGTTGGAGCTGTTTTGAGAGTAATAACTATAAACATCAACAGGAGGCAGGCTCGGTGTAAGTGTCGTAAGAACAAAACTAACTTATACATATTGTCGGCAAGAAGAATATCTTAGATTAAAATACTTCGCTTGACTCATAGTCTGTTACGACTCTGTGGAAGAAAAATGTTCCTTAGATTTGTTTATGACTGAATGATTTACGTTTAAGATAATGGATTTTTACCATTGTTGTAACTGATTCATGAATATGTAAAATTCACATTC